TTTCTGCACTCATATCAGTTATCAGTAGTCACTAAGCTCTAGTTATTTGTATTTATTTATTTATTATTTTCTTTCTCAGTATTTGACCAGGACTCAGTTGTTCTTATTTTGGCCGTATTTATCCTGGCTGTTATATGTTCTAGAAGAGTGATGTCCCAAAAATAAGTAAGCCAAACAAAACGCGCAGGAATGGAGGCTTTTTTGGCAGCTGCAAGGCCAGCCAAGAATCCTTTTTTTGATAAGTAGAAAGGAATTCTGCCTCAAAAGGAAAGTCCAAGGATCTTTGTGTACATACAAATTGTTTCAAAATATTAGAGAGAGTATCTTGGACATAGGACCAAAAATCATCTACGTTTGCTACGTGAGCCACATTCCAGACTGTTGCAAAATGTTCAGTATACATATGACTACATGCATCAGCTGAACTCTGTATTAATGCATGAAATTGTCGTCGTGTTTGTTGTGCTGTTCAGCAGAGATACGTATATATATATTCTTAGATGCATCGCGATGCAGACGTGAACGATTCTGAATCGATTCACAAACGTCAAAAATCAATTTCTAAATATTTCATTTATAACATAATGTTGACGGAACACAAAAGGCGGAACTTGGAAGTGGGTAAGTGCAGCGCCCGGACGGTCTGTGACGGCACACAAGAAAAACACTACTGGATGAGTGAGAAATCCGACCGGCACCATTTAAGGTGGAACGGGAGAATTCAAAGGAGAAGCGACTTCAGCTTCGCCAATGTTTACTGTTTGACAGTCTCTCGTTGCAGATTTAACGTACCAGGAAACCAACTGCGCTGCTTATAAATGCGAATAACGCATCGCTGCTATGTGACCTGCAGTCTGCACGGCAATTCTCAGTCATTGCAAAACAGGGCTTTCGCGCTATGTTGCACACGTCCCGTCTCAAAGATACTTTACTGACACAGCGATCCCCCCTGTCTCTACAACGAGACCAAAACCAAAGTTATACAATCACTAAAGAAAACGGGTAGAATAGCTGTAACGTGCTGCGTGGACATCCACTGCCACTGGATCTTATTTCACCGTAACTGCGCATTTTATCGCAGATGAGTGGCAGCAGCTTCTCGTGCTCCAAACAAGAGCACTGAATGAGAGCCTTCCAGTTAGTTCACTTGCCACATCACTTCCATTTGTTTTATTAAAAAAGATATTGGAAAATTCATTATGGATCATTATAAATACTTTGCTTTAAAAGTACCAAGTCACTTTAAATAACAATAACACCGAGTCACTTAGTCACTTTAAAATGTATATTGTCTCTACATTCTGTATATATCTTGTGTATATTTTGTGTATATTTAATATATTTCAGTTGTTTTTTCTTGTATTTTTATTTTTACTTATTTACTTTCTGTAGAGTGATTAGCTGAGCCTCACCACAAGCATTTCAGTGCATAAATGTCCTATGTTGTGCAAGTGACAAATAAACTTGAACTCGAAACTTGAGCTCACACGGTGAGAAAATATAAATGCTATGTAGAAAAAAAAGATGCATCGAGATGCATCGATAATCGTTTTATAATCGCATCGCAGCCCTCTGAATCGTAATCGAATCAAATCATGAGGTGCCTAGAGATTCCCACCCCTAATATATATATTGGAAATTCTCACTGCTCACAGCTCAAGTTCTACAGATATTAAACACAATTAGTCTCATGTTGTCCATTTTGCTGCGCAAATGTTGAAAGAAGATGTGTCTGTGTTAAATGAGTGTTGTTTACCATCAACATAAGAATATAAATGAGTGTTGTGGGCCATCGTTTCAAGCCTATACCTACCAAAAAAAAGTCTTGTAGCACAGAATGTTAACTAGTTTTTTGTTTAATAACATTATTAAAAAAATACATAATTCACCAAACGAAGCATGTAGTGGTTTGTCCATACATTCACAACATAAACTGAATATGACAAGAATTAACCATATGGAATCGTATGGACATGAAGCCGGTTTTCTCTGATGTGTGAGCAAGGAGTGAGCAAGGAGCGGGAAATAAAAATGTGGAATGATTACAGAAAACTTGGAGCGAGAAGCGGAAATGTCTGCTGCTCCACTCACATACTCTGTTATAGAAGAAGGAAAAGTCCAAACAATTGATAAAAAATAGGGTAATATTGTAATGAACTGATATCCAATTCGATTTCTGTGCTGTCTCAATGCACTTGTTATTGTTTACAGGCTCTATAACTGGTTTAAATCTGCCTTTTTGATATATGCAGTTATTTGTTTTCTGGAAATACTGTAATACCTATGATGTACTCACAAAAATACAAAACACATATTTGTGCCCTCTAATGCACATGCATACCCCTGCTTTTGGGAGACAAGGCTTGAGTCAATGCTCTGTCTCGGCCTTGTCTTTTCCTCCCACGAACCCTCCTCTGCTCTGCCACTTTGCCCACACTAGCCTACTTTTACCTCCCAGAACTTACCAAGAGTCCAGTTATTTTGAGTCTAGCAAGATGTTCTTTGTATGTACCATCCCATCTACAAGACTGTATTTTGCAGGAAGAGCTATAAAAAGGGCACTGAAGAAAAAAGAAATAACATTTACCCCCAGAATTTTCTCTGAGGTACTGGGTCTCATATAGCAGAGTTTGAATTAAAACCTTGTGGTATGGGGATTTGAGTGAGAACTACGTAAGCCAGAGTATTAGCTAATACTGTAATCCAGAGTCCACTTTGTTGTCCCTTGTTGTTTTTGTATTTTGGTCATTTGACTTCTTGTCATAGTAGCTGACATCATGAATGCTTAATTAAGCCCATTGCATAGATGGTTGTAGGTATGTAGATGTGTGTGTAATAGGGAGTATAACAAAAGTTAATACCCCCTTTGTTCTAAGCAACAAATTAGTGTGCTGGTCAAAGTTATGTGGTTTAAATGTTATATAACCATACTTTAACTCTGTTTTACCTAACATCTCAACTGAAATACATTCAGAGACTTTAGCAATGTCCCCTTAACACATGTATGTCCTCGATGGGCATCAGTATGTGGAATTGAAGCTTTCTGTGTGCTGCAATGTTTTCTATCACTATATAAAAGAAGGGGCGGCACGGTGGCGCAGTGGGTAGTGCTGTCGCCTCACAGCAAGAATGGCCTGGGTTCGATTCCCAGCCGGACGACCAGGATCATTTCTGTGTGGAGTTTGCATGTTCTCCCCGTGTCTGCTTGGGTTTCCTCCGGGTACTCCGGTTTCCTCCCACAGTCCAAAGACATGCAGTCAGGCCAATTGGACACGCTAAATTGCCCCTACGTGTGAGTGAGTGTGTGACTGTGTATGTCTGTCTGTTTGCCCTGCGATGGACTGGCGACCTGTCCAGGGTGTATCCTGCCTTCCGCCCAATGACAGCTGGGATAGGCTCCAGCACCCCACCCAGAAGGATAAGCGGTTTAGATGATGTATGTATGTATAAAAAAGAAACAAAATGCAGGTATTGAGAGTAATAATTAAAGGCAATTGGACTGTGAAACATGTTTATACACATTTTTCTAGCTCAGAATGGTACTTTCTTGTACACAAAAATCTAAACATTTTCTGTCATGTTAGGTCATGTTATTAAATGATGATAGCATTGCAAAGTAGTGCTATTAAAGGAGAAGAGTAGATTAAATGACAGAAATAGCTGATTTGGAACCTTTTATTGCCCAGTGCAAAAAACAGCTATTTCTGCTTTTAATCATACCTGCATGGCTGAGTGCAAGCATAGATATGTTCATTCCTCTGTTTTACTTCTGTTTTGTTGCAAATCACATGACAGAGACAGATTTTTGTTGCATTTTTTAAATATTTGATGGATTTGCAGATGAGATTCACCATCAGGTATGACTTTTATAAGTAAACACCAATAATTTTTTATACTTATTCAGTGTGTGCGAGTAACTCCTACTACAAAGTCCTTATTCTAGTTTGCTGTTTTATGGTGCCATGGTGCACCCAGTCACTCCCTCAGACTTTGACTTAATCTGTTTTACGTTTAGCCAGACTTGTGACCATGTGACATACAACTACTCTTTTTCTCAGCCCCCAGTTAATTCTGTATGTAAGTCTTGTACACTACTGAATGTAGTTGTCATACAGACAGACTGAGCATGAAGTTGCCTGATAAGGGAAATTACCACACAGTCTCATTAGATTCTGGAGTTTGAAGAAATCTGCACTTGATGATCCAGGATCTACAGACAGCTCGAACTGAGAGTATCAGGTCTGAAAAAGTCTGTGTTCTTGTAATAATCTGCCAAGACTGAGAGAGTACAGTGTGCAATAGCTTTATCAGTTGACATGTCACGTAGATATGTTGATTAAAGGATTCATGAGCAAATGAAGTGAAAATTTTGACCTATGATATTCATGTGGATTTCTACAAAGGATGTTTAGCTTTTTGAATTAAGTTCATTGCCTTTTGGATTGCATGTGACATGATGGATAAATGTATTTGTAACCATTTTAGCTTGCTATAATATATTATAGCATATATAATATGCTATAATATTTTGGTAGAATCGTGTAAATGCAGTTAAAAATGACAAGCTCAACTGAGACTTGCAGGAATCCATTGAACATGATTTTACTAATAATAATCAAATTAGAAAGGAATGCAAAATAGAAATATTTTTAACACTGGTGACTTTTGGACCCCATTAATCACATCCACTCAGTGGTCTGTGGTAATGGCCACACTTGTTGCGCTTTGTTATTGCTGTAGTGCCTTTCATTTTATTTAAATAAAACTGTAGCACTCAAAACAGTGGAACGATCCCATAACAGGATTAATTATCTAACAAGCTTATTAACTCTCAATGGATGCCTTGTTTAGTGGATTAAGAGGTAAACAGTAATCAGGGATCAGTTTGTAATATTTAAGCTCTTTGCAGTGGTTGGGGTACAAAATACCATACAGCTTATAATAATAGTATAAATAATGTTGTTCATGAAATTGTTTTGTCTTCTCTGTACTATCTTTAGGTTTTGGCAGTGATGACTTTGGTGGCTGTTTGACACACCTTGCTTCCTCCCTCCTCCTCAAGCCCTTTCCCCTCCCTCCCTCTCTCTCCACTTGCCCCTGTATCCCTTCCTTGAATATTCTTCAAATAGTCACGCTTCCCAGGATGCTAATCAAAGAATATCGTATCCCCATGCCTCTGAGTGTGGAAGAGTACCGCATTGCCCAGCTCTACATGATCCAGGTAAAGCCACAAAGATTGTGAGGTTGGTTCCAGTGTCTTTTTTTCTATGATTTACAACTGTAGGGCTGAGCTATTAAATTAATATGTTAGTAGTTCTATAATCTTACAAATGACTTGACACTGATTATTTAAGTAGTTTTAAAAAGGGTCAAACAATAAAAATAAACTTATACCTTGAACCCTTTTATTGTACAGTAATTAGTATTATTATTCAGTAATTGCTCTAAACTGTTGTGTAAGTTATGAAGTTATGAGAGTGAGGAATTGAAGTGTGTGCTAACATACAGATCCTTACAGTTCAATTGAAAAAGCCATGTAACTAACCATATAAAAGATTCCTAAATATGTATTTGTTAATTGTATTAATGTAAACTAGGAAGCTGTAAAATGACACAAAAATGTGGCAAATAAATGATATATATGGATATGTTGGTCAGGTTCTTCTTAATTTGAGAGAGACCTGTAGAAGAATTTAAAATATGCAAATTGTCAACTAATGATTGCCAATTCATCAAGAAATTTAACCCCTTAAAATCCCAGACTTCTTACGTACTAAGGCTTATTATTCAGTAACTATAGGGACTTCAGTGCAAACTGGCTGAACTATTCTTATGTTGTAGAAGTGGGTAATAAAACTGTGGGCCCACTGTAACCCCACATATTAGGGGTTAAATTGCTGTTGTTTTTCTTAGAAAAAAAAAAAAAAGTAATCAAGCTTAATCAAGAAAATCATGACAGCTAATTCAGCTGTGATTCCTGAAACAAATTTTACTAATTCTATTAGAAAAATAAACAAATTACTGCTGAACAGAGTGAGACTGTTGACAAGGGAGAAATAACTAATCAACTTAAAGAGATCTCAGATAGAGTGAGGCAGTGCAACAATGAAGAACATCTTTGAAAGTGAAGGACACAAATCTCACACATTTTAAGGCAATGTTTATTCATTTAGTTTAAACAGACTGAAAAGGTGTCGGCAGTGTTATATAATGCTTTCACTATTAATAGTGCAATTTCATTAAGCAAAGGGATATTGACCAGATTAGTTTTAGCAATATTGCTCCATGATCAATCTTGTTTCCCTGTGCTTGTGTGGTGGCAGTCATAATCTGACAAGATTACAGTGGGTTGCCAGGTTGCTTTTGCCACGTGGATGACTTGTACTTGTGCTGAGAAATGTATTTCTTTTTTTGCAGGCTTTGTCACTCAAGGTTTATTAATGTGGCAGACCAAAGTGATGCCTAATTCATCAGTATTAAACGTTTATTTTAATGCAAATTTGTAGAGATATTTGGTAGTATAACAGCTAACACACAATACTATTAAAGTGAAAACAGCCCCAATAACAGCATTCATGCTAACAAGTGGTGCAAGTGTCTAAGGGTTTACTCCATCACTGAGAAATTGAGTTTGAATCCTGACAAAGCCATCTGTGCCCAGGATGTCTAAAGAACACTTGTTAGTTGCATTGTGCAGTTGATGGAGTTCTGACCCTGGATAAATTCCAAGAAAGACTGGGTAAAAAGGAAAATTAAGATTTTTGCTGGTGTTATTCTTATTTATTTTTTACAGAAGTAACTGTAGTTGAACAGTTTTTTATTGGCAACTTCACTGCCAGAATTTTTACCTTTTAGCATGTTTTTTTTTTCCTGAACAATAAAACATTGTGTTGTTAATCACTATGTCTATTCAGATTATACCAAAGTAGGTTTCAGTATGTGATAACATCAGAGTTTTCTCTGGCCTCTAGTTCTGTTATTTGCTTGATCCTGAAAGAGTAACGCTGTTTCTGGCCTGCACCACCAATGACCCATGATGACCCAGCCTCAAATCACAGCACCACTGTTACCCTGACAACCAGTGACATCAGTAGCAGCATGCCTTTGGTTATGTCTTCTCCATGTTTGCTGCTCAGAAAAAAAGATAAAGAGAGTTGGGAGGGCTGGAAGGAAGAAAGTGAGTGGGAAGGTTGTGCAGTGAGAGAAAGAGAGAAAGGCAAAGTCTCAAAAAGGAGTCTCAGTTTAACTTACTGGGTGTTGCCATGGTAACAAAATGACTGGTGTTCACCTGTCATGTTGTTGAGGGATGTGGCCCTCCAGCGTCCTTGTTGTTGGCTATTGTTCCAGAACTGAATTGTGACAACAGACTTAAAAAGCCCATGACATTAAAACCAAATTGTCCTCACTTTTTATTTAATTAAAATTGACGTAATTAACATTAAACATAAATGTTAGTTTTAAATGTAACAGTCACTCCCCAGTCTATGCTGTTCAAATATGAAAACCAACCTGCAAAAAGAGCTGTTTTGAATTTATCGTTTTTGTACATCATGAAAACCAGCATATTTAAATACACTGACCATGCACTTCATTAAATACACCTACTTAGTTTCTACTCTCTTTGTCCATTTTATGGGGTTCATTTACCATATAGCTGCGTTTTTTAGCTTTACAATTACTGACTGTACTCCATCTGTTTATCATTACCCCCCTTTCACCCTGTTCTTAAACGATCAGGCCCTCCACAGGATCACTACAGAGCGGTATTGTTTGGGTGATGAATCATTCAAAATACCAGTAGTACTGCTGTGTCTGCTCCTCTCGTACAGTTCGACATACACAAACACGCCACCTCAGTGTCCCTGCAATGATCCACCACCCAAATAATACCTGCTCTGTAGTGGTCCTAAGGGGGGCCTGATCATTTGAGAACAGTGTAAAAAGGGGCTAAAATAGTATGCAGAAAATGGATGCACAAGGACATGCAGTAGAATGAAGTGGCTGGTCGATGTTTATCTGCCTATTCAGACTACAGCAGTTTAGCTTTCCATGTTCACGTTCACGCTAAAGTTATAAGGAATGTTTCAGATACGACTTCTTTTAGATTTAGGCATGATCAGTGCAGATAATCAGAGCAGTCCTCATTTACATATATCATTCTTAAAGAAACAGTGGCAAAACCAGCCTATTTAATTCTGAAGGATGAAGAGAGATTGGAAAATGGTCACAAACATTACATAAACATTATTAATGAACAAGAAAAAGACATAAAGTGCAACAAAAATAGAGGTTATGGTCCCTTAATGTGATTTTTCAGCAAAACATTAAATCTACAACTGAAAGTCTTTATGTTAAGTGGGAAAGTGAGACTGTAATTGTTGTTCAACAAATGGCTCTGTCTTCCAGGAGAACTGATTCTGACTGTGTGTGACAAAGTTTTTGTGGTCTGTGTCTCAGAGAAGACTAATGTGTGTGTGTGTGTGTGTGTGTGTGTGTGTGTGTGTGTGTGTGTATAATGTCTGATCAGCCACTGGTGGTGTTGAGAGCAGGAGCACATGTAATGAAACGCCTGTCAGGGTTAATGAGGAGCTTTGAGTTGGATAGCTCACACTCCTCTCCTCTCCTCCTTTGCTCTTTTTTTATTCCTTTTTTGCTCATCCCACACTGGTCATACAGAACTACACGGACTTCAGGCCACACAGGCATCAGCAGATAGCATTCCATCAACTTTCCATTTTCCATTTTATAAGAGATAGAATGAAAATGCATCAAAACATGAAGGCATAAATGTAGCATTTGCTCAAATGGAAAAAAAATGATATTTGAAAAATATTTAATATTACAATAATTGCTGCTTCCATCACCTACATTGTCAAAAGTGTTAAAACCTTTACATAAGAACCCATAGGTGGAAACCTGCCCACTGACACAAGTCACCATAATATAGCATGATTGAAATCGTTAGAACAGTACATAGGCCTATGTGTTGAAGTAAAATCCTGAGATACTTTGACGGTACTTCTGATGTTAGTTCTGCCTTCAGACAGAAGGTCTGCCTTCAGACAGGATGTTAACTCTTAAAGATATGTTGTTGTGTTAATAGCCTGCATTTTGTGATATGTATTGTTGCTAATGTGATATATACTGTAGAGGTACAGTGCTGTGCAAAATTCAGAGACCATGCTTCATTTATTTAATTTCCAGTCAAAATGGCCATTAAGTACAAGTTATTTATTTATCAGGATCTGAGGAGATTAGACGTAAGATGCATAAGGAACAGGCAAGTCAAAAGAAGATAAGTGAAAAACAAGAAGTTTCCAAAACTGTAGTTCAAATGGAGCTCATAAAAACCATACAAGACCTGATATATCCCCAAAACTGTCACCATCAGATAAATAATACTTCAGTACATCTGAAAAAATTCACAGGTGTTTCTGTCCAACTTAATGCTATGGGTCTAAAAGGGTGTATAGCTGTGAATAACCCCTTACTGAGAAAAGAAAATAGGCAAATCAAACAAAGAAGCTGCTCATGTTCTTAGAACAATAGACCTCATTCACCAACCGTTCTTAAGAACATATTTCTTCTTAAAATCCGCTTAGGGCATTTTCACGAAGATTGGTGCATTGGTGAATGAGGCCCATTGGACTGAAAACAAAGACCAGACTGCAATATCATTGAATATCTAGGATCATTGAATACTTGGATCATGAGAAGCAGAAGTGCAACCAGCTTCTAAGACGAAACTTAAAAATATCCCTGTAGATTTTTTTAACGAAAATAATGAAAGTTGTAATAAATCTAAACAGTGGACATGCTAAATACTGAAAAAAACAATAGTTGTTGAAGCTTCTGCTTAGTTTTCTTTTAAATATGTGTTTTCTGCCTTTCCTTTTTTTTTAACTTATTTTTAGTGCAATTATATCTTCGTACAGTACACATATCTTCAAAGACACAACACAGGGCACAGGGATATCAGGTTTATCTGATTTTCCAGACATTTGGTACATACACAGTCTCCCACCAGTTGGCACTAATTCAAATCATAGATGTCAAATACCATGTATCATAAAACAAAAACATTCAATTTGGTGTATGTTCATTTGGTGTACATGCATTATAAATTCAAGTTTCAGGTTTTCACTTTAAATGTTATGCTACTGAGCTGGACTTTGCTGGTGTAGAATAGATAATTGAAACTAGTCAGGTTGAAAACCATGTTTTCAGCATGTTTACATGACAAAAAAGCTACACCTGATCTTTCCCAACAGAGTATCCTTTTGCATACATACAAAATGAAAATCACTTTCACTGTGCAAAAGAATGCTTCTTTCGTCATCCACAGTACAAACTTCTTCTTCCATGCGTAACGCAGTAATTTATATCTGTGTACTTTGACTAATTGGTCACCAAAGTCTTGCCTATGTAGGTCTAAAGAAAGGCAAATAGAGGTGTACTCCTTATCCAAGAAAGGAACGCAGTAAGTAACTGGTCATGTGTTTTGTTGGTTCAGCATTGGTTGTCTCCATTATATGCCAAGGTTGTTATGGAATCATTAGGTGTGGTCTTCTCAAATATTGATTTTCCATTTTCATTTTTTAGTCCAATAGTGACAGAATGAAAAGAAGAGGCAATGGCTCATGAAATCAAATAATAGGGATTTGAAAGTTTGAGTCAAATGCTTGTGCCTTTTCAAAAGCTCTGCCTTTGAATGAACAGAATGCCAAGGTCACACAATTCCCAGAAATGTTTAACTTACTCCAGGGTAAGTTAAAATTAGATATTAAATTAGATTTTCTAACATGCATGAAAATAGCCCTTTTACCATTAACTTGCTCTAATACATGGGAGCTGAGAGGGTGTAGCTAATTGTTTTTTGGGCTTAGTGGTGAACAAATATTCAGTTAAAATATTCAGTTAAAATTACAAAAATGAAAATGTTATATATTTATTGTGTATTTCTTTAGGCTCCCACACCATATGCAAAGAGGTTTCCACACATTGTTGTGGGCAGTGATCACAGTATGAATCTTTTATGCATTTTAGTTCCTTTTGCAGTTCCTTTTAGGCAAGTTATGTTTATGTATAACACCTAAGGATCCATTTTTTACATTGATTATTTTGTATTGTAATCTCACATTCATTCTCTCATCTGCCTCCAGAAAAAGAGTCGTGAGGAGAGCTGTGGTGAGGGCAGTGGTGTGGAGATCCTGGAGAACCGGCCATATACAGATGGACCTGGAGGAACTGGTCAATACACACACAAGGTCTATCACATAGGCATGCACATCCCCAGTTGGTTCCGCTCCATCCTGCCCAAAGCAGCTCTCAGGGTGGAGGAGGAATCCTGGAATGCATATCCATACACACGCACACGGTGAGTGTCTATATGTTTTTCTTACCTATCTGTCTTTTGATTTTAACTCTTCCTTGTGTGTGTCAATCTGTCTTTTCATTCATATATACAAGGGGTTTGCCTCTCATGGTTATCTCACGCTGTTTCATCATTTTCTGTAAGTGCTCCCAAGATAATGGTGTCAAATCACTGTCTGTCCTTTTTAACGTGAAAACATGAAATTTAAAACAGATCTTAAACTGTTCTCATGTAACTGATTGTCGTAGCATACGTCAAAGGTTTATGTCCTGTTATATACCTCTTTTTTTGTTAACTGACAGTGTGAAGTGGATTGCAACTAGTTATGTTTATTCAGTTATATATTTTAAAGGATTTGTACTTCTGAGTATTTTCAAATAACACTTATGTACTTTTTTGTACTTTTTATTATTATAATTATTATTTGTAGTGTTTGTGAGGAAAGCAATCTACTTCTTATTCAGTTGCGCCTTAGCCATTCATTAACTGTTCTAACAAAGTTCTGCTGACATTTTATTTGCAACCCTGTACTTTTTCTTGACCTGATACTTTCTTACTCCTACCAAAGTTGTTTTTTGCTAGGCTACTTGAAATTCTACTTGATTCATTATTTCAATGAAGTAACAATAGTTCAACTTATAGGAAACTTATTTTTCAGTGGTTGCGATGTAAACACAGAAATTCAGAGTGGTTTCTTGTGAAATGGTTCATTGTAAAGAATCTTTCAAACTCATTTCTTTCTATCACAGTCATGTGTGATAGGAACCAGGAGTCTCAGTGTCTGCAACACAAATATAGCCAATTTATGTACTATTGAAAACCACCAGCGAACCTACCATTTCATATGATACTTTTTTTGGTAGAATAGCTTTAAGAGGCATTGAACAATTGGTTGTCTGGTACTATCACTGCCACAATTCTGGCTTGTTAAGTTTCTCAAGAATAGAGCATGCAACATAAAATCACTCTGAATGACTTTGTATGTAGCATAAAATTACTCTGATTGACTTTGCATACATCATAATGATTTAATTATGCAGAAATTAAAAAAATAGGTTGAATTCCCCTTTAATGTGGGCACTCTACACATGATTGTGGTATGCTTGTACATTAATTCCCCTGGCAAAGCATGCAGACGTAAAGTAACACATCACTAAAGAAAGCAGACAACAGGTGTGACAAAATGAACAAAAATGACATTGAAATCAGCCAAACAGTGATTTTGTATGGTAACAGTCTCAGGAGTGACTAGTGCAGACTAGAGAAAGTTTATAAAATATATATTTATGTACTAATGAAGCCACAAATTGAGAAGAGATGCAAATAATAATGAGGGAAAGGTGCCAAGGCAGAGTCAGAGGAGGAGCGAACCAGTAAGGAGCGGACCAGTGCTTAATAAGGTAGTAGAGATGCCAAACGGTGATAACACAGTGCAGAGTAAGGTGGAGATGAGTACACTCCAATAACAAAGAGGAATAAATTGGTAGAAAGGTAAAGATATCAGTGGTAAAGGTAATATATGAATATTAGTAGAATTAGAATTAGAATTTCTATGCCTATCATACTTTTTTTTTCTCTAATCTCTTTTCTCATTCTTTCTTCTCTCTTCCTAGATATACTTGCCCATTTGTGGAGAAGTTTTCAATTGACATTGAGACATACTACAAATCTGATACAGGAAACCAAGCAGATGTTTTTAATTTGTCTCCAGTGGAGAGGAGGCAAAGAACTCTTGGTATGTTCAGATGCCCATCCTATCTGATCACTGAATAATTGTAGAATAGTTTTGGAAGGACTTGATTGATTAGGTAATGATTACATCAAATGTCTTTGTGGCTTTCAGTGATTAAAGATCAGTTTTAACAGTTTTAATATGCTTATATTTTTCAGGCCTTATGTTTACCCTGTAACAATTACTAGACTCCTGTATTTTCACGTGGCCTCTAGAGGCCATTTAATGATACTGTTTTAATTTTATTATAAGTATTTGCAAATTATTATCAATTACCAATATTCTGTGTACTTGTAGGGTGTAGATGGAGATCTTTTCCAGGTTTGATTTACTAGGCATCATTTTAATTGAATACTTAAGTGTAAATATATAATGCAACCATTTTGATATTTCTATGGGATTTGTAAGATATAAACATGAATTCAATTTCTTTTAATTCAGATGGCTACTATATGTTTAATGGACAACCAGAAGACTGGGATTTATAGTGGATTTATAGACTCTCTAATACTCCTAAGCAAGATTCCATCCTTGTAATATTTTAGAGTACATTCTGTGACTGGGAAATGTATTATCACAATATAAAAATGTATGTTTTTTGTCCAATATTGTCATAATGCAAAGTAAACTTACACGTTTAATGGTGCTTGCCAGGTCTCAGAATCAATTTTAAATTAACAATAAATAGAATGTTGTCTTAAGATTGACCCTGTTTATTGTATGATTTTGTAATAAAATTCATAAAAATTCGAGAAAAAAAATTCAAGAAAGAACTCATACAGCTCTTCAGTATGTTAATATGATGGTCGCTGGATGGCATTTTTCTGTTTAAAATAGCAGAACGGATCAGCTATAATGTCAGTTTGGCAACCTTTTTACAGTTTGTCATGTTGAATTCTTGTCCAGATCTCATTGACATAGTGAAGGACCCAATCCCACCTCATGAGTACAAAGTGGAAGAGGACCCTCGTATATACCACTCCATCAAAACCAATCGGGGGCCTCTGAATGATGACTGGATTGAAGAGTTTGTGAAAGATCCCAGCAAGTCACCAATCATGTGTGCTTACAAACTCTGCAAAGTGGAGTTCCGCTACTGGGGCATGCAGTCCAAAATAGAGCGCTTCATTCATGATGTTGGTGTGTATTTTTGTATTTGTTTTAACTAGAATGATGAACCAATAATAACAATAATAATCTGTCAGCAAAGTTATTGCCCAAGAACATGTGTTATGGTTGCGCATTCACTCATTGAGTAGTCTATTTCTAATTTCTAATATTTCTATTCCTAATATATCTTAATTGTTTTGGCTTGTTCTGTGTATGGGGTTATTCTCTGGCAGGGCAGATTTTCTTTATTCAAAATGTCACACTCTATTTCTCTCTGTCTACATGTCTTAAATGTAGACATGGTTCATAAGCCATGTTCATAGTTCATAAGGTGATCCGGGAGGAGCTCATATTGGAGCTGCTACTCCTCCACTTTGAGAGGAGCCAGTTGAGTTGGTTCAGGTATCTGATTACGATACCCCCTGGCCGCCTCTCGTTGGAAGTTTACCAGGCACAGCCGACTAGGAATAGACCCCGAGGTTGTCCCAGGACCCACTGTTGGGATTATACCTCCAAGTTGGCTTGGCAGCAGCTGGAAGAAGTTGCGGGGAACAGGTGTCTGGAATTCTCTGCTTTCCCTTTGCTACCGTGATCCTAGCTGGATATAGGATTTCAGCTGCTCAACAGTTCAGGGTCTCCTTTGCCATATTTTTTGTTCTATAATATACCATAAGTTTTCAGTGGGTGACAGGTCTGGACTGCAGGCAGGTTAGTTTAGGACTCGCAGCATTTGTTGCTTCAAAACTTGTATAAATTGTTTAGCATTAATATTGTCTACACTAATGTGCAAGTCACCCATGCCGTGTGCACTGATGCACCCAATGCCATCACAGATGCTGGCTTTTGAAGTATGCACTCGTTCCAAGCTGGATGGTCCCTCTCTTCTTTAGCCCGAAGGACACTGCAAAAAAGAAATTCAATTTTTGATTCATCAGACCACAGGACAATTTTTCACATTGCCTCAGTCTGTCTTAAATGAGCTTGGACCTAGAGAAGGTGTCAGCATTTCTGGATCCTGTTTATGTATGGTTTCATCTTTGCATTGGGTTACAACTTGTATTTGTGGATGCAACAACAACCTGTTTTCACAGATAATGGTTTCTGGAAGTATTTCTGAGCCCATGCAGTGATTTCCATTATAGAATCATGTTTTTAATGCAGTGCTGCCTGAGGGAACAAGGTGCAACATGGAACAAAATAGACAGTACATATTGCAAACATGCAGACGTAAGTGTGCAAAACATTAAACTAGAAACAATACAGTACATTCGGTAATTAAAACAGACGTTAGACACCGTAAACAAACAAGACCGCATTGGACTGAGCACACAGCCCTGAAGGGCACCGGTGCTCAGTATGGTGGTGCTGGAGATGTTGTTGCCGATCCTGACTAATTGAAGTGACTTCAGATTGGCATGGTTGAAATCTCCAGCGACAAGAAACGGTCCGTCTGGGTGTGTGTTTTGGAGATTGCTGATAGCACTGTATAGCTCGTTCAGTCCTTGTTCGTCCTGTCCCAATGTTTATGTTCCGTAAATGATGAACTTTGCAAGTTCTTCGCTATTTTACACTGAGAAACATTATTTTTGAATTGTTGCACTATTTGCCTACGCCGACTTTCACAGAGTGGAGATTCCCTTTTTATTCCCAATCATGTTACTGACCTGTTGCTATTTAATGTAATTTGTTGTTAGATGTTCATTTAGGTGTTTTTTTACACAGCTTTACCAGTCTTTTGTTCCTCCTGTCTCAATGTTGCTGGCATCAAATTCAAAATGGGCATATATTTTTCAAAGAACAATAAAATTTCTCAGTTTCAACATATCTTGCCTTTGTACTATTTTCAATTAAGTATAAGGTTTAAATCATTTGCACATCATTGCATTCTGTTTTTATTTACATTTTGCACAGGGTCCCAACTTTTTTGAAAACAGGGTTATACAGGGTCGTATAGTTGTACAGTTAGCACTAATTCTGCTGTATATGAAAAACAAGGCAAAACAATATATTTGAATATGTTTGACAGGTCTTAGGAAGGTGATGGTGCGTGCCCATCGGCAGGCCTGGTGCTGGCAGGATGAGTGGTATGGTCTAACCATGGAAGATATCCGGCAATTAGAGCTGGAAACCCAGCTGGCCTTGGCCCAGAAAATGGCACAGTATGCTGAGGAGGCAACGGAGGCCAATGGTGGGGCAGACTCCTTCCCTGAGAAGAGCCAGGAGGCTCAGGACACACCCAGCCCAAGCCCAGGAGAAGAGGTTACAGTGGTGGACACCCTACAGGCAAGGGGCACACTGACCAAGCAGTGGTCCACATCATCCAGGTCCTCCAGATCATCCAAAAGAGGAGGTGTGTGGGCACTGCTATAGTTCAGAGTGTTTGTGTTGTGTTGTGTATATGCACTGTGTGCATATACTAGTGCACATACACTTTTTGAGAAGGGTGTTCAGTGTTTTTTTTGCCAGATTGTCACTGTATAGGCATTTTGTTGTCTTAAGCTTAAGATGATGCTTGTTGCACTTTACGACACACAAACAGTACCAGTCAAAAACCAAGAAACTACTGCTCTAAAAACTTATTTTTCCTTATTTTTCCCAGATTTTAGAGTGGATTCAAATTTTCTAAAACTGCTTTTGCTCTTGCAGGTCATTCAGTATAATTGTATAACTTCACAAAGTTCTGTTTACAACTTTCTTCTGCATTTCCATGTTATAAATGTAATCAGTGAAGCTGTTTGATTTTATCATATTCCAGTGAGTCCATCCCGTCACAGTATCTCAGAATGGAGGATGCAGAGCATTGCTCGTGACTCAGAGGATAACTCAGACGAAGAGTTCTTCGATGCACATGGTAAATATTGCCTCTCCCTAAGTGAGTGGAAGTGCTGTGTGTGTTGCAATAAAGTATGTTGTCTTCTGCATTTTATTCTTGTACCAAAACCTTATATTCAATTACATAATGGGAATATCACATTTTATAATTCATTAAGGTTATTCCAAATGTAGTCATAGCCATCTTTCTTACAGTTTCAGTTCGGGTACTTCCCCTGCTACAGCAAAAGTTATAGTTATTTGTTATATTTTGAGTTCCAGTTAGTTCAGCTTCATAGAGAGTAGTTCAAGCAGAGTTCTGTTTATTTCTGGAACACACGCTTTACTAGCTAGAACATTGCTCTGTACAAACATACTTCTTTTTGGCCTTAAAAACTGCAGACAGCTTGATTCTGAAAAGTCTGCCCAGTTTATAATGGGTAGGCCTTGTGTAAATTTATTTATTGGTTCACTACAATAAATGGCAATAAAACAGTGATCTGCCTTTGCAGCTTACAGAACGACAGCCCAAACTATGTAAAAACTTTGCAATAAGAAAATCAGGCAAATACTTTTTCATAACACTGTAAAATATTGTGCGAATGAATTAGCCCCTTAAATGATCAGTAGTCTTAATGCCAAATAGGTTGGGAAAAGTCAAGGCATATTTTTATTCTTAGCTTACGCTTCACTGAAAGTAACCATAGAAGCAAAGCTGGCAAGAAACTGCATGTAAAATGTTGTGATGTTAAACATTTTAAGTAATGCTGGGAAATGGCACAACATCAGTTGTTTGGGAAATAAAACATTTAATTACAGTAGCTGCATGTAAGATTTAGGATTGGGCTTATGCTTCCAAAGTCTGATACTATTAATATAAACAACTTCTTGATCACTGGATTATAATGAGAACTTGGAAAAAATCTGGTTATTTGTATTTGCATCTGCCACAACAATGTCTTAATTATTGGTTATCATTATCAGCACCCAATATTTAAAATTTGCAGCTGTTTTGCAATGTTGAAATTCAAATATAATTTAAACTTACATGCAGCTCAGTAAATGTTGTTTTTCTTTTGTTGTCGGTGGTAGTGGTCTCTATTACATACAAACTGAGAATCAGGTTTGCCCTTTCTTTTTGTTTTGTAGCTGGGCTTTGGGATGTGGTTGGGGCATCTGATCCTAGATCTGCAGCTATGGATAACTTTTACTTTGTGTGCTGTTGCTTTCTTTCTGTCTTCTTCACGCTGCATGTCTTCCTGGCACAGACTACTTCTTATGTTACCCAGAAACTCAGCATGCTTTGGGTCTGCAGATGAAATAAGAGCGAATTCCCTGGAAAGCCTTGTTGTGCTGTGCTGCTGACTACTTGCCTGCTGTACTTGATGGTGGATTTGCAAAGAGTGTTTTTTTACCAATCTTTTTCTTTTGTGTTGATGTCTTGCTCATTTACCTTTATGTCTTCAAAGCAATGAAATAAATAAATAAATATATGACCCACACCACCAGCATTTAAATAGTCTTGCACATGTGAATTTTGTGTCCTCAAATAGAATATTTCTTGCTGCCCCATGTTCAGATTTCATGTATGTTGCCTGTATTTGGAAAAAAATATGCTTTTATTAATTTTTTTGGGTTGCATACTTTTGAGTCTTTTGAGGAATATCTGTTAATAATTATTAAATTATTAAATATGTGATGCATTCAAATCTATTAATTATGTCAATAAGTAAAAGGCATGCCAATTAGAAATGGTAGAGGGTGTGACCAGATAAGAGAAACGCACTTTATGGAGGGAACAATGAAAAACACCTTTGTCTGTTCTTTAGTACAGAGGTGTCCAATCTGCAAGGGGCTGGTGTGGCTGCAGGTTTTTTATTCCAACAAAGCAGGAGCTCACATGAACAGCTTTTAGAAGACTGACAAACTGATTAAACAAGTAGATTTAGGTGTGTTCTGCATGTTTGGAATGAAAACCTGCAGTCACACTGTCCAATTGCGGATAAGATTGGACACCCCTGCTTTAGTACTGTGTTGAGTTGCCCTTTGCTTTTGTGAGAACTGTGGCACATGATGTGACATAAACTTGTCATGAAGAAGTACTTGTCATAATAACATTCTGCAGATTTGACCCTATGAATTTCTAAAATAGCGTTAAAAACAAATAGTATTATCATTTGGTCACACAATTTCATGTTTTTGAGCAGAAAAAAAAAGAAACATCTACTGAGTTAATAAAAGAAATGTAATAAATGTAATACATTTCACAGTGGATTATAAATATTATAATAGAATTTGAATAGAGTTTAGATTTTAAACTGTAGAGTTTAATAGAATTTGCCAATTTATTATGTGCATGTACTATGTACCTACACTTCATTGGCCATTTTTCAGATACCTGTCATATAGCTGTGTTTGGTAGGTATAAAATGACCATCTATTGCTGCACAATTTATCAGCCCTCCTGTACCATATCTGTCACTGGAAAGGGACAAATGTAGGGCCACCACTGAGCAGATATGTTTTGGATGGTCACAGAACATCAGAGACACCAACATGGTAGTAGCATGTTAGTGTGTATTATGCTGCTACAAGTATATAAGGCACAGCGTTGCTGAGGTTTTCAAACACCGTACTCTCTGAAAACTAGCCAAATTGGCTATTTGGCACATTTACAGAAATGTTTATGAATTTACTGACCACTCCATTAGACACACCTGTGATGTAGGTGTACAACTAGAGACTATAGCTCATCATCTTTTTATCCATGAACAATTTGTGTCAGTCATCTTATAGTCCTTTGTCAGGGATCAGTTTCTGACCACAGAACTATTAAGGTGTTTTAAAAACCCACACCACCACTGTGCCATTGAACATTTTTTTAAGTCTAGGCTTAGGCTTAATTTAGGTTTGGGAAATTGACACTAGATCTTCTAGACATTCTCATACAATTAAACATTTTTACAAGTTTACAATTTAAAACAATTCAAGATAAAATTTAAGTCAATGTAATCATCAGTGCTGGGGTAGTCGATAAAAAAGGTAACCCTTTACACATTACTAATTACTTCTCTCAACCTGTAAAGAGATTACATTACTCATTATGTCCTGAAAAATTAATCTCAATACTCATATACTATACTATACTACACTGTAAGTTACCTTCTGAAGCTCAAACTGAAATCTGTTCAAATTAAAAAGGGAAAAAACAACAGTACTACTAAAACAGCTGTCTCAGAATAAGACCTTTATGAATAAAGATTTAAATGCTTACAGAGCTGTTACCACCTAAATTGTATATTATTAAAATACATAATATAACTTGATGCTTGTCCTTTTATTCTTTGATTACAGAGGACTTTTCAGACAGTGAGGAGATATTTCCTAAAGAGATTGCCAAGTGGAATTCTAACGATCTCATGGATAAGATTGAAGCAGGGGATCTAGAAGAATCTACAGGTACTTGATATCTGTATGCTTTTAAAGAATGAGAATTTGCTAAATAAACCATGCTATTGGGTTATTGCATTGAGGTTCATAATCCACATTAATGGCATAAGGGCTAAAATACCTATTAATCTAGGTTATCTTATTTTAAATGTTGACTTCTATTTAGTGAATATAGTTGCACACATACAGCTTGTGTAATCTCCATAGAAAAGCATCACCAATTACAATGGGATGCTTTGGAGTAGTTACACATGAACCTAAGATCACTATGCCCAAAGCATCTGGGCTGTGGAGAATAGCAACTGCGTTCTTTGGAGTGATGGAGCACCATCCAATACCTTTGAGATGAGTTGGAGTGCTGCTTGTGGTCCAGAACTAATTATTCTTTATCAGTACCTGATCTCACTAATGCTCTTTTGGCTAAAAGCAATCAAATCCTCATAATGTTCCAACGTCTAGTGTTAAGCTTTTTGAGAGTAGAGGCTGTCACTGTAGGACAGTGCGGGACAAACCCCCATTCATACCCTTGATTTCAGAAGAAACATTAGATAAGATGTTTACAAACTTTTGAACATATAGTGTATGTAATATGATGACACTAATAGTAGGCTTATTTAGTTTGACAGTGTTCTGCATGGTCTGATGGAAATATCGTATTTTTAAGCCATTTAATTTGTGACAGATTGTAAATGAGAAATTATGACTAAAACTAAATAAGTAAATGCATAAAGGACATATGGATAGTATTATTGTTATTGACTGATTATTTTTTGTCACCAGAAGATCTGTACCAAGACATGGGAGAATATACAAGGACAGCCAGTCAAGAGAGGTTAAATGAGGTATGCCATCTGTTTCAGTTAGTTTAATTATTTTCGATTAGTGGCTTATGATTGTCTTTATGAACTTTTTAATCAGAAGAGTATTTTAGTAGCATACTAGGTGATGTTATAAGAGAGTACCATCTTGACAGTCAACACAAAAAATACCTGCCCATCAAGTCTCAGCTATACTATATCCATAGCCAACTATGCATGACTGTATTCGGAGAAATATGGAGAAAATTAAAAATAACAAAATAATAGTAAATAAAAAACGATGCACACTTTTAAAGGTATGTAAGATGATAGGTAATATGATCAGAGAGTCACATTCACTCTTGGCTGCCATCCTCTCATCTGCTTTCGAAGAGATTTTTTTGACTCTTCTCCTAAGCATATGGAGGATAAACAGTTTTGGTAAATTAACATTATCGGTCTTAACAAAAATAAGTTGCACATATTTCATTCATATGATTCTATAATGGTTCAATGATGTGTTTGTGTTCTTGCAAAATAATTTGTTTGGGAGTAGACAAGGCATACAATTGGTTTTAATATGTAATTTTGGTAATGACATGAGAGGATTCCATAGTCAAAGACAGTTGAACACAACGTTGTTATAAGCCATAAATCAGAAATTTATTCCTGTAGTATTTTTGTCCCTTTGCACATGCTGTAGATGAGTGGCACAGCTAACATCCCCATCATCACCATAACCAGGCACCATTCAGTAAGTAAACAAGGACTGGTTTTGGTAGTGAAAATTGTCGATGAAGTTGTCAACATGCATCACATTGTTCTATGTCACTGTTTAAGAATGTTTGGAGTCTCATACAGTAGTAGTTGTGTGTTATTTTGCAAACTAAATGTGATGTATCCTGATGAATGGCTCTTTAATTTGCACTACCAAAATAAAACCATATGTGTTATGTCCAGAGTAGTTCCCCTAACATATCATTTTAGTTGTCTGTGGTAGCTTCCTGTTTTCGTCTTCCTTTCCTTATGGATAAGTCAAGGCTAGCAGCCATGTTAGTGGTTAGTAATAATTCGGGCAATAGGCAATATGACAAAATATTATGAATATTGTGATAAAATATGTCACAGCATACTTTTCTGAGTACATCACAGGTATCGTAAGTATTTCTAGAACACTGACCATAAAAAGATTTAAGCAAATTGTTAAAAGCCGGTAAACAACAACCAGTGATGTCACACTGTCAAATTAAAGCCTTATAATAACAAGTAGCGAATCACTGATCTGATATACTGGATCGGTATCAGCACCATTGTCGACCTTTTTAAATGGATTTGGCATCAGCAAAACATGGCCAATCCACATTTAATATTGTTTCTTTGACACCATCATTATAAAATTATAACATCACATTATCCAGGACTTTGTCATAAACAGTGTATTTGTGATCTTATGTATTTATTACTTTTTCTCTTCTGTAGTTAGGAAGTGATATATAGTTACAGCCTCTTGTTACCTTACACACACTAAAATAATTCTAAAGTAATTCTATATTGTGAAGTATAAATGTTTTGAAGAAGAAAAAAATAGCATTCAGAACAGTACTCAGTATTGCTACCCTGAGTTCAGATGTCAGAAACAATATTGGGAGAGAAAACGGAGTGTTATTGTTGCATCACTAATAACAAAGAACTGACTGGATCATTATACTATTGTCTTATTATACATTTTTTTAACTGCTGTTTGATTGGCCTTCCGAATTCCTTATTACAACTGACTAAAAATTAAAAATAGCTACTTTAATGCCACTATTGTTATGTAGATGCATAGTGTTTGTTCCAGCTAAAATATTGTGAGATGTATTGTGTACTCTGAATACACTGAGTATTACATATACATATATATAGTAGCAGTAGTGTAGCTAAACCAACAATTATTGTAGGCATGTCACATTAAAATGTTTAGTGACATATATTCACTGATCTATAAAAATGTATGAAGTTGAATTTCATGTCTATGTTGCATACATTTGCTGTATTTAGCATTTAATCTTTGTAATTAATCATAATATTACAAGCAGTGATCCAAAGGCATACTCCAGCATTTTTCAACCTACTAACTCTGCCTGCCACATTTCCAGTGTATGGTTTCAGTTCTTTTCGAAACTGGAAAACTGTAGAAAAACTACTGTCCATAGTAATTGACTGTACAGTTGAGGAAGATAAATTATATTTGCTGCAGATATTTTATATTCAGGTTTGGCAGTATAACATCTTTTTGTTACAGTGAGTGAATATAAATTTTACGCGCTCTTTGGCTGCTGTAACGAGACAGAAAGGGCCAGACGCTTGCGGTAAAAACAAAAGATGAGGCTTTAATATCCAAGGGTTTGACAAGAAACAGTAAACAGGCGTGGGTCAGATCCAAAACAGTAAAAAGGTACAAAATGGCAACCATAACCAAAGGGCAAAGACAAAAGGGAAAAACCAGAAATCCAGAAAAACAGTCCAAACACAAAAAGGCAATCACAAAAACACAGGAGAAACGCTCAGCAGTTCTACAAGAGAAGCAATACCTCACAATCTGGCTAAGCTAAAGCCCGGGCTTTTAAACTAAACAAGTCATGTGACATGGAACACAGGTGAACAGAGTTAGTATTCAGGAGACAGTGAGCGCTGATTGGAGCGTGAGGGAAGGTCAGGGGTCACGTGAGTCAGGTGATCTCTCAGAGGATTATGGAGTCTGAGTGTGCCTCAGAGCCGGAGGGATGTGTGACAGTACCCCCCCCAAAGAGTCCGGGGTGGCCTCGGAGCGAGGCCAGCCAGGACGACCACCACGCTCACCACCAAAGATCCGAACAGGAGCAGACCCAGAGCCGCCGCAGCGCTGGTGTAGCGGGACAAGGCCTCAAAAGCACCTAATTTCCCACTTACCGTAAGACACGGGTATTTTAATTAAATTCAAGTGAGGGCTTGACCATGGTCCAGGGAACAAAACCAAATTGAAGTTTTTCATATGCACTCCATGACAGAGATGACTGTGATAAAGGGTTATTTATTGATAGAGGTGTATAAACATAAAGCAATCGATTACAAAGGTATATAGGTACTAAATATTGGATTACTAGTTATGGAAAGAAACCAGAGATATTGAATATACTGAACAAAAGTACTAAGATTAGCTGATTTTCCAAATTATGTGGCGTTTGAGCAGCAAGCAGAACAACCCTGACACTAGTGTAAAGCTGGCCTAAGTATCAATAAAAAAAAAGCAAAATCACAGTGAGACTGAGACCACAAAAGGGCAGTGCGAGTGAATCTACGACCTGGATGCCTCAGAGCTGCGGGGATGGCGTGTCGCGTTGAGGGGAAGAGAGGCTGCTGCTGGCATGGGCTGGAGCAGGGTCCGCAGGTCAAGGGTCAAAGCTGCTGGACGCCTCAGTGCCGTGTTGATGCGCGTGCCACGTTGAGGAAGAGAAGCCGCTGCTCACACAGGCTAGGAAGGATCTGCAGGTCAAAGGCAAGGCCGCTTGAGGTGCAAGCCCTTGGTCAACGCTTTGGACCGGACCCCACTGGCAAGGCAGGCTTCCGGCGACGCTTGGCGGCCTCTCCGGTGAGGAACTCAGATCTTCTTCTTGGCGATGGAGGCAGGCGGTGGTCGGAGCAGGCTCTTGATGTGGATTTCAGTCAGCACTGTTTTGCTTCTGTTTCTGTTCTAAAACTAGGTTCTGAGCGGCCTATCGTTGGCAAGTAGACTTTCAAAATAGATTGACAAAACTTGAAAAACAAACGCAGCTAGATGCAGCTCTTCAATAGTCTAACCTTACAGTTACAACACTAAGATTACTGAGTAAATGAAACAAAACGGATTAAGACACAAGACAAACAACTAACATTTAAGATCTGCAGAACTTAGCTAAAGTGCAAAACGAGGAGAACGGGCTTCTCTACTTGGAGTTTCGTTAAGGTTACATGTTGGCTGTCTCGCTCCCTTCAGGGCCAACTTTCCCTGTCCTTCTGTTTCTTCTTCTCGTTCTCCCCACTGTTTCTCTTTCTTGCTGGCTTTAAAGAAAGAACTTTGAGGGGCTGAGCTAAGGCAGAGCTAAGGCGGGGAAAAGGTTTTGGTTGGTTTGTTAGGTTACCTATAATGAATATGCAATTTCTTTGAATGCTGCTCAAGTGTCACATAATCCTTTGGAGATTCTGGGTGTGGTTACACTTAAGTAAAGGAAGCATGCAATTTCACATATAAAACATTGTTTCCATAGTGACTATTGCAAATGACTATGGAGCTTACAGATCATTATCCCTTAACGTAAACCATGATATGGTTACATACAATAAGTTGAATCCTTAACCATTCTAGTCATATAAGAAGGAACTACTTAGTCAAAAGAATTAAATTGTTAAGACAATTCCAAGGTTATACGTCACATTACTATTTCTAAACAATGCTTACATGAACGGTTACATAATAACTCAGAGTAAAATAAGTGAGTACGTAATCATCAATAATTCTGTAGATATGTTGGGAGAAACTCTATGATTAAAGTGTACATAGTCACACAAGCTACAAACTTTAGAATCCTACTTCTAATAACACTACAAGAAGACTTGCAAGAAAAGCAGATATAAGATTAACAGTGATCACGGAATACATGGGTTGTTTCTCAAACAAAAGAAAAATTATATAATGGGTGAAATGAACATAGTTGTGAATGATCAAAGATCAATATAATAACCTAGATCAGTGAGGAAGGGTTACAATCCAAGAATCAAAATAACTACTAGAATATAAAAGAACATAGTGTAGAAAATTAGGTATTAATTCCCTTTGGCAGGGATTAATCAATTCACGCCTGACAAGGCAACATGTTAACAGTAACAGAGGTGTTCTTCACAGTTTGATAAAGGAAAGGCATTTGATTTATACTTGATTAAAGATCACATTGTGAATAATTTGCCAGAAAGCAAGGCTCTCAGGAGCCTAGCCTCTGCACAGACCCCAAATTTATGATACTGAAGGAATGCACTTAAGAGTATCTGGCCACACCAAGGGGTCTGCTCAGGGATTTGTGAGGTCTCAACAGTCCCCTCACCCAGAGTTGATTGGTGGGCCATGTTTGGCCTTTGTTTTAGATAAGATGTCTCTCTTTGTGGGGGAAGGTGAGATGTATGGGTGTGAGAGAGAGGGAAAGGAATTTTCAAAAGTCACAATTTATCAGTATTCCAAAATTTACTTCAGTGATGTCCACAGGTCTCTTCAGGATATTTATAAAGGGGTGGCATGACGTTCTATTATGTTGCACTTAAACTGTTAGTCAAAAGAAAAAGAAAGTCTTCAGACCTCTGGGTCAAAGTAGGTCAGTTCTGAGGTGAGCCACCCCCCTCCCCACTTCTGCACCAGGTTGCCAAGGGGGGGGAGCCAATGGGGGCTGTGAGACGTGTCTTTAGCAGTCAGCCATAAATTTACTATTGGTCCTTCTAAACATCCTGCCGCTGCGCATGCAGATGCAGATGCAGATGCAGATGCAGATGCAGATGCAGATGCAGATGCAGATCTCACTTTGCTCAAAAAGTTCTGATCCGTTTATGAATTAAAACAGCAAAGCACACTACACTGGACATATGGGGTTCGTCTACGACGACCCCGCAGATGATCAGGAAGTGAACTTGGGAGCACCTTTCATGGACGACCCCTAGGGTGAGGAGCAGGTTTTCCAGGGTGTTGACTGTGGAAGTCTGCAATTAGGCCAGGATCCAGGACGTAATGTGCTGAGACCCAACACTGCTCCTCTGGGCTGTATCCCTCCTAGTCCACTAAATACTGGAGGTCACCTCCACGTCTCTGGGAGTCCAGCAGCCGACGGACAGCATAAACTGGTGCACTCTCTCCTCCGGGGGAGGCGGCGTGACGTCCGGCATAGCCTCGTCCAAAGGCCCTGCAATGACAGGTTTCAGAAGTGAAACATGAAAAGAACGGGATATTCTGTAACGAGGGGGCTAATCTAATTTATAAGTCACATCATTGATTCTTTTAAGCACTTTAAATGGACCAATATATTTAGGCTGTAACATTTTACTTCCCTCCATAGCTCTGAAGTCTTTGGTAGATAACCACACACGGTCTCCAGGTTGGTATACGGGTGTAGCACTTCGATGACTACTGCCTCTACCTTTTTATCATCCATTATCACGCCTTGAGAACTGATCACATACCCTAAGAAAGCAAGAGACTGGAGATGGAATTCACATTTTTCGCCCTTAACAAATAGATTATTTTCAAGGAGATGTTTCAGAACAGCACGAACATGTTCTACATGAGTATGTTTGTTGGGAGAATACACAAGGATGTCATCAAGATAGGCGATGACGCATTTACCTAACATGTCTCTTAGAACTTCGTTAATGAAAGCCTGGAAAGTGTAATGAGCTGATCTAACGTTAAGCCATCGTCTTTGCAAGCCTACACCCAATTCCTCAAGGAATTCCAAAATGTATTTGATCACCCATATGAAGGAAAGGTTAGTGGGGAGTTGTTATCCAAACTACACCAATTAGTTTGGTGTATTTTGGATAACAACAAAAGTATTCCAGGCTTTCATTAACGAAGTTCTAAGAGACATGTTAGGTAAATGCGTCATCGCCTATCTTGATGACATCCTTGTGTATTCTCCCAACAAACATACTCATGTAGAACATGTTCGTGCTGTTCTGAAACATCTCCTTGAAAATAATCTATTTGTTAAGGGCGAAAAATGTGAATTCCATCTCCAGTCTCTTGCTTTCTTAGGGTATGTGATCAGTTCTCAAGGCGTGATAATGGATGATAAAAAGGTAGAGGCAGTAGTCATCGAAGTGCTACACCCGTATACCAACCTGGAGACCGTGTGTGGTTATCTACCAAAGACTTCAGAGCTATGGAGGGAAGTAAAATGTTACAGCCTAAATATATTGGTCCATTTAAAGTGCTTAAAAGAATCAATGATGTGACTTATAAATTAGATTAGCCCCCTCGTTACAGAATATCCCGTTCTTTTCATGTTTCACTTCTGTCATTGCAGGGCCTTTGGACGAGGCTATGCCGGACGTCACGCCGCCTCCCCCGGAGGAGAGAGTGCACCAGTTTATGCTGTCCGTCGGCTGCTGGACTCCCAGAGACGTGGAGGTGACCTCCAGTATTTAGTGGACTAGGAGGGATACAGCCCAGAGGAGCAGTGTTGGGTCTCAGCACATTACGTCCTGGATCCTGGCCTAATTGCAGACTTCCACAGTCAACACCCTGGAAAACCTGCTCCTCACCCTAGGGGTCGTCCATGAAAGGTGCTCCCAAGTTCACTTCCTGATCATCTGCGGGGTCGTCGTAGACGCAGCGTGCTGGGTGTAGGAAAAGGTTATGTAGGAAAGGTTATGTATATGAGACCAGCTGGCTGTGGCCCATTCTAGACGAGAGACTATAAATGAAGTTTTAGCCTGATCAGAGCTTGCTGGGGAGTTATCAAAAAAGATTGAGCACTGGAGCAAAAATCCACGAAAGTTATCAGGGTTCCCATCAAATTTATCAAGTTTACTCACTGGAAACAGGGAGCTTGGTGTTTCAGCTTGGGCCGAAGGGCTGGTGGCACTTGCCTCTGGTTCTGCGATGCTCAAATTCTGAAGTTGATTAGTGAGTCCTTTTACACTTGCCACGAGTTGCATCATTTGAGCTTGTTGTTGTGATTGCTAGTGTGCTAGTGACTCAAGAGAGTGGGTAACTCCAGATAACGCATGCTGATGTCGGCCTAGCAATTGGCCTTGTTCAGCTAAAGCCTTCTGAAAAGCCTCCGGATCCGCCGTCTGCATTGCTGCCGAGGTATTCTGTAACGAGACAGAAAGGGCCAGACGCTCGCAGTAAAAACAAAAGATGAGGCTTTAATATCCAAGGGTTTGACAAGAATCGTGGTCAGTAAACAGGCGTGGGTCAGATCCAAAACAGTAAAAAGGTACAAAATGGCAACCATAACCAAAGGGCAAAGACAAAAGGGAAAAACCAGAAATCCAGAAAAACAGTCCAAGCACAAAAAGGCAATCACAAAAACACAGTAGAAATGCTCAGTAGTTCTACAAGAGAAGCGATACCTCACAATTTGGCTAAGCTAAAGCCCGGGCTTTTAAACTAAACTAAACAAGTCATGTGACATGGAACACAGGTGAACAGAGTTAGTATTCAGGAGACAGTGAGCGCTGATTGGAGCGTGAGGGAAGGTCAGGGGTCACGTGAGTCAGGTGATCTCTCAGAGGATTCTGGGAGATGGAGTCTGAGTGTGCCTCAGAGCCGGAGGGATGTGTGACAGCTGCAACCCTCCTATCTGCTTATGGTTAAAAAAAACTGCAGAATTTGTTTTAGTAGGAAGCCATTTCATGTAAGTGTATTGATGATGCTAGTTCGCTGATTCTTCCTCTAATCCTAACATTAGAAAATGGGAAATGATTGTGTGGAAGTGTGGAAGGTCAAACCTCACTGGACAACTTTACCCTGCTTATGTGCAGAACATGTCTGCTGGTACTGTGTTGCTAAGATTGTTCTTGGTTGGATAGTTCTTTTGGACTATGACGATTAGCAGATGAGTTCTGCGCTAATTTTAGTAGTTTGGGCAAATTGTCTTATACCTAGCCATTTATTATAATCAATACAGTCATAAATAATACATCTGTTGGGAATGGACATGTTTTTTGTAATAATTGTTAACAAAATTAGTGCATCTACTTGTTTGGAAGAGAGCAGGGTTGGTTGGCACAGATTTCACTCTCTGCTGTTTATCCCATACATACCACACATTACAATAATCCCATCAGCAAATGAAAACTGGATATTTTAGCTAAAAACAGACAAGTTTAATGCAAGAAAACATTTTCCTACAATTTGTCTATTCATGACTATATCAATGTTGTGGCCATAACATGTTGGTACATGTTATGGGGATGGTTAGCATAGTGTTTAAAAGCTATTGAAATAATCTATAATATGTGAGTTCAGCAAGGCACATGTTGTGCTTTTAAATGACTTAAGTATTGTAAGTAAAGAAAACAGTTACTATAGTAGAATGTTAGTAGAAAGTAGAGTAGTAGTAGAGTAGTAGTCGAGTTAGTAGAAAGCTTAGCAGTTGTAAAGGAATTAAGAACCATTTTAATACAGAACCAGTTTAATATGTAGCATATGCTTGGATGCTGTACTTTAAGATACTGATTATTATATTGAAGCAAAGACATCAGTTCATTTTATCAGAAAAGTGAAATGAATCGTGGATTGTTAATGCTGTTTTAGACTCAACCTGAAACTAGATATGCCAACACCAGTGACCATTTATTGGAATTTGTGAAAATTACAGCAGCTTCAAACACCTGCAAGACAGCCTCTCACATTAAACATCTGACATATTTTTTTTTGTTAATGCAACAGTGAGATGTCACAGTATTTTAAAAATGGAATAATTTCTGGCAATGGTTGTGAAGTTCATTGCCGGAAGGATTTCTACAACACTTTCAGTAATATTGATGTGTTGTTTTCATTTCTCTAAACAGTTGTAATGTTTTTTATTTGGCACCTTTAAAAATGACTTTGATCATTAAATTCCACCCTGAGTTGAGAATGTTAAAAGTTTTTATTGCAACCCAAAACAGTATTGTAAGTGTTAAGAAGGTGTGATCACACTGTTCTAAATGTCTCACTCTAGCACTGTTTTTAACTGAGATGTGTTTTAGCCTTTAGCTGCTTGTTTTAGCAGACTGACTGGAGGAGACTTTGCCTATACAGTTGCATGGCATTTAAGAGACAGAATTGACATTCATTTGTCTTGACACCTCTCATTCATTCAGTTTTTTTTATCCTTCTTCTGTTATCCACCTTCTCACCCACCCATTCAATTACCATGCATCCATCCTTATTTCCTTTTCAGGATGGATTTTGTCCTCAGTCTTTGCAGCCCTCCAAGATCCATGTCCTGATCCTTGTTCTTCATGGTGGAAACATTTTGGACACAGGCTGTGGAGAACAAAGCTCCAAGCAAGGCGACGTCAACACCATTACCACTGCATTCGACACAGTAATGCGTGTGCACTATCCCTCCGCCCGGGGCCATATTGCTATTCGTCTGGTGCCCTGTCCAGCCATCTGTGCTGAAGCCTTTTCTTTAGTGTCCAAGTAAGAAAGAAATCAGTTCATTATTATTATTAATATTATTATTATTATATTATCTCTTCTTGCCTCAAACCACATCCAGTGGTTCAGGAATCTGCTTATGACTTGCTTATGTGGTGTGTGACGCAGCATGACATACTGTTAACTATAAAAATGGTTTGTTGCATAGGTAAAAGCAGTAGTAGCAGCCATCATAAAACCTGTATTTTGTTTATGCTTTTGTCCATTTTCAAACATGTGTCCTCTGATCAATTGCATTTGTATATAGGTAAAATTAGGTAAAATTGTGTACATTTGATTTTGGCTGAACTGTCTGTGTTGTTTCAGTTTGAGCCCATACAGTTATGATGAGGGCTGTTTATCCAGCAGTCAAGACCACATTCCCCTGGCTGCTCTCCCGCTTCTCGCCACTTCCTCACCGCAGTATCAAGATGCTGTGGCAACTGTAATTAGTCGAGCCAATCAGGTCTATTCAGACTTCCTCCGGTCCCTGGATGGGGCTAGCTTCTCAGGGCAGGTGAGCATATCATAAGCAGTCTGTCTGTCACTCTCTCTGTTCTCTGTATGACACAAACATACAGACACACACACACACACACACACATACACACACACATACACATACGTGTATCTACATTTACATTCACAGGATTTAGCAGACACTCTTATCCAGAGCGGCTTACAAAAGTGCTTTGTTGTCTACTCAGAGAATATATCCTAGCTAGTACAAATAGTTTAGAGGAAAACCTACTCCTGAGCTCAGATATTGCTAGAAACAAAAGCCTATGTTAAAACTTAAAGAAAAAAACTGAATTAGATGTGTGCGATACAATATAATATAAAATATGTGCAGTATAATACATTTCAGTAAGTGCTTATATTCGTGCTCACATAAGTGCTGTAAGAAGAGGTGTGTCTTCAATCTGCATTTGAGAGAGAGTCTGCTGTTCGGACTGCCAGTGGGAGTTTGTTCCGCCACGTGGGTGCTAGGACAGAGAAGAGTCTTGATGCTTGTCCTCCATGCATCTTGAAGGTTTGTGGGTCAAGCCATGCTGTACTTGAAGCTCAAAGGGCTTGAGATACCGTTCGAGTTTTGACCATTGCCATTGCCATTAGGTAGGGAGGGGCTGGTCCATTTTTGGCCTTGTAGGCAAGCATCAGGGTTTTAAATCTGATGCAGGTAGCTACAGGAAGCCAGTGAAGGTAGCGCAGCAGTGGAGTGACATAAGTAAACTTTGAAGGAAGATTGAAGACAAGCCATGCAGTTGCATTCTGGATGAGTTTCAGGGGCCTGATGGCCCACATAGGAAGACCAGCCAAGAGAGAGTTGCAAGCCTTGAGATGACAAGAGAGTGAACTAGCACCTGGGTGGCCTCTCTTGAGAGAGAGGGTTGAATCCTCTAGATGCTGTACAGGAGAGACCTGCATAACTGAGTCAGAACGAAAACTGGTCATCCAGAATCACATCGAGAATTCCTGCATGTTCAGACGGAACAACCACAAAGTTCTCGAATGAGATGGCAAGATCATGGTGAGGACCTGTAGTACCAGGGATGAATAGCAGCTCAGTCTTTCTAGGATTAAGCTTCAGGTGGTGAGCTGCCATCCGTGAAGAGATGTCAGTCAGACATGCTGAGATGCAACTACAAACCTGAGTATCAGAAGGTGGGAAGGAAAGTATTAGTTGGGTGTCATCAGCATAGCAGTGGTAAGAGTGATTAAGAGTGATTCTGAGTGATTAAGAGAGACAGTTGAATATAGACAACACATTCAAGAACTTTTGAGAGGAAAGAAAGGACTGAGGAAAGAAAGGACTTGCTGCTGCTGCTGTTTTCTCTGTCGTTTGCACTGACACCGTAAAGAAGCAGCAGGTAAACATGTATAAGTGAGGGTCATTTATTTAAAAATGTGATCAGGGTGGTATTTGTCATGCTCTCAGTTTTCATTAGCTGTTGCAGGAGTCTGTTCAGATTGAGTCGTCGTCCAGTTTACACTACTAGATTAAACTCAGAGTCGGGTCGAAAAAATCAAACATGTTTGAGATGCTCCGACTGGTCTGAAACATGATCGGGAGGCAAAAAAATCTAAGTCTGCACACTAATCAATTCTCTTTCTAACTGTCGACTCAGACTGACCCAAAAATCTGCAGGCTAGAGCCAACTAGCACATACTCGGCCAGGCTGAGCATCGGGGCTAAAATTGGGGTAAAAGTCGTTTAGTGTAACCCTGGCTTTAGGGGAGTAGGAGCAAGAGGATGAGAACAAATGAAAGGACTAATGGCAGAGGAAAAAGACTGGTGGATTGTATTACCCTCCTCAAAGAAGGTGACAAAATCCTCTGGGATTTCCTCCACTTTCTCTCAGCCTTTCTTAGCTCTTGTTCATTGCTGCACAGGACACCTGTCAGCCATGGGGCAGGTGGGGAGGATCTTGCTGGGCTAAAGGAGAGAGGGCACAGAAGGATAATTGCAGATGAGAGTGAAGAAAGGAAAGTACCTGTAGCTGTGTCCAGGGAGAGAGAAGAATAGTAGTTAGGATAGTTGAAACAAGAGACGAGGGAGGAATGGAGGGAAGGTTGCACAGAGTAAAAGAAGAGCATGAAGGGGTGGTATGGACAGGAGGAACAGAGAGGGAGAGTGTGAAAGATAGAAAGTGATGATTAGAGCAGTGAAGAGGAGTTACTGTTACATACAGCGCTGGGGTAGGTCTGCTGAAGATCAGGTCCAGAATGTTGCCTGCTCTGTATCTCACTATCTGAGTATTTCTGTCACCTAATACTTTTTACTTTTACTCACTACGTTTTCAGAACAGTTTTGTTACTTTAGTTTTATCAATCTATTTATGTATCTATTTTATCTCTGTATCTATTTCTGTATGTTTAACCATGCAGTTGTATTCATGCTTGTAATGAAGTGCAAATCGGAATCCTACTGGATGTGAATGGGAGCGGCATGAACATGTGATTAACATGAACATGCCTGTAAGCCATGAAAGTAAGGCTCCACCAGTGAGCATGCAGGAAAAGGAAGAAAAATAAAAAGATGAAATCATGAATCCAAAGAAAACAAAAGCATTAAGCCTGCGCTGAATGCAAAGAATGCATCTGAAAAAACCTGCATCCATGGCCTTAACCAATGCCAGAGTGACTGGTTGGAAGAGTTAGAAGAATTCCACGGTGGGCTGGTAGTATTTTGGGCCAGTTACTGCAAGCTAATGAATAAATACATAAGCGCAAGAATGCTTAGACTGTAAATGATGAATCTAAGTGTATATCTGTAGTAATTCAGAGGTTAAACCAGTGACCCACATCTCAGGTGAGCCCTAGTTTGCTGACTGTAACTTAGATTCGTATAGTGGGTAGAGATTAAATAAAGCTGAAGATAACTTCATTTCCCATCCTGTTCCACCGTAAATGATGTAGCAGTTACATCCAGACAGCTGTAAGGGAGCTAGCAAGACTTTTTAAGGTGGAACAGGAAATTTGAATAAGAAGAACTTTAGCCCTGAGAGATGAGTGTGAATTTGTGAATCTAGCCAAAATATTATCCAATTTAGTACTGTCTGAACACAGCAGGCAGCTCTACAGTGTTAATGACATTTGCTTCAAGCCTTCAGTTCATTATCAGCATGCCACTTTTTTAATTTGAAGCTTTAGATGCTGTTAAAAGATTAACTGGTGATGTTTAAAAGTACATCTGTCCCTTAAAGTATGTCGTTGTCTAGCTGTCCAAAGCAGAAAATAAATATAAAAACTGTCGGCGTCGGCTTTCTGTAAATTTGATACTTAGAGAATGCTCTTTTACAACTAAAGCTGGCATGGGCTTTATAAAAATGTCAAAGCAAACATCTAATGTTACTTCAGTGCATTGAGTCATCACAGGTAAGACATAAATAGACTGTAAACGTGTTTCATGCCTGCCGTGGCAGTATGCTCATTAGGTTTAGGTTTTTAAGATTGCTGTGTTGTTTTCATCTTCGCACATAGTCTTTATTGGGTCTGCCCGCCGTGGCAGCTTTTTTTTAAGTTGTACATTTTTAACCTAGTAAACTTAATGAGGCTGAAGTTAGTTACTTATTCACACCTTTAAATTCATTTAGGCTGAGTTTTATAAGTTAGATTTCATGCTAATTTAAATGAAATGTAATTTACTATAATTTACTATTTATTTGTGTTTCTGTGGTTTACCATCCATTCTCTTAAAATAAAAATGTAACAATACTTTAGCCAACAAAAATTCTGCCTTCACATCACAAAAACATCCCTAGACAAATGCTTTTAATAAAGATTATATTTTTTTCTTGTATTCCTTGTATAGTAAATATTTAATTTTGTTTGGTTTTAGAAAAGCCCTTTAAGGCTTTAGTGCCCATGGGTTTTTTTAAGTTCTTCATTTTACAGTTATTTAAAAGTCAGAACCTACAAATTATTTTTTCTAGCCCCCATCTTCCTTTATTTTCCTGTGTGCACTATTGCTTGGGATAACAAGTTGGCAGTTATTTGTTAAGGATTAAATGAACATTTGGCCAGGCTAAAACCTGTGAGAGACAGGATCTTGATCTAGGATATGTAAATTTTCTGGCCTAGTGTGAATAATGCCATCAACATCCACCTGGAATTTCGGCTTCCTATTCATATACCTGTGTGCATTAATGCTCATCAATGCTTTACAAGGAAATGAGCATTACAAAAAGAAGTCCGGGTCCGAGCCCCCATGAGCAAGCCAGTGGCGACAGTGGCAAGGAAAAACTCCCTAGGAGAAACAGGAAGAAACCTTGAGAGGAACCAGGACTCAGAAGGGGAACCCATCCTCCTCTGGTCGACACCGGATAGTAAACATTGTTAGTATAAAGTATTATAGTACAAAAAACAGGGTAAAACCTGAAGGAAACAATTAATTTGAATAGTTCAGTTCATGCAGCAGAAGCAGCAGCATCAGTGGGGTCAGGTTGTGAGGGTGAGGTTTGCACGGTGAGCAGTGGCACCCGATCAAGGCAGCAGAGGCAGCAGCATCAGCAGCAGGATGTGACAACACCTGTTGTAAAAAGCGCTATATAAATAAACTTTACTTACTTACTTACTCAATGCGCAGCGATGCCGGTTATTTTAATGTATTAAATCAGCTTGGATCAGGCAAAACCAGGTTTGTCTTACAGTGGGAGATGGTTTTGTCTATCTGTGATATGTAGTTATTCTGGCCCAATGTGAATAATCTTATTCAATATCTACCAGGAATTTCAGCTTCCTTTACCTGTGGGCACCACTGCTCTGTGTGCCATGTTGCCCGTTATTTTTTAGTATTAAATTAGCTTGGGCCTGGCTAAAATCAGGATTTCCTTACAGTGGGAGGCTGGTTCTCTACATGTGATATGTAATTTCTCTGGCCTGACGTGAATAAGGATTTTCAGCTTCCTATTCATTTACCTGTGGGGACCACTGCTCTATGTGCCATGTTGCCAATTATTATGATGAAAAGTCATCTTGGGCCAGGCTAAAAACAGGTTTTTCTTACAGAATTAGACTTGTTCTCTATCTGTGATATGTAATTTATCTGGCCTAGTATGAATAATGCCTTCAACTTCCACCTGGAATTTCACTGTCCTACCTTCTGTTCAATGTGCCACTTTGTCAGTTATTTTATAAGTATTTAATGAGCTTCGGCCAGACTAAAACCAGGTTTTGCATACAGGGACAGAGCCATTCTCTTTTTGGAATCTGTTATTGGTTTTACCCCATGTGAATAAATCCCTCTGAAATTTCAGCTTCTTATCCATTTATTTCTTCACACGATTACTCATAGTGCAATACTGCCTGCTAATTCTTAAATCGGAAAATACTATTAAATCACTATTAAATCACATTTAATTTGAATTAGCTTGAAATCTAACTTAACTCTGCCTGAATTTTTTCTTTGGTCTTATACTTTAAACTACTTTCAATACAATTACAAAGTAGAAATGAATTAAAGAAACATCCTATATCTGCAGAAGTAAATGTCCCTTTCAGGCCTGAATTATGTTCCAATGATGGAAAAAACAGAAAAAAATGCTGTAATGCACTCAAAAACAAGACTCAGTAAAAAAAAATCAAATATAACATTTTATTGTTATGTTTTAAAATGTCTGTTGCAGTGGACAGTCGGTCTTATCAGTTGTAAAGCAAAGCTATAAAAAATATGAATTGCCTTTTTTTTTGGTTTGTTTTTCCTTTTTGGAACATAAACTACAAGTTTTATGCATGATGTCTATATATATATATAAATATATATATATATAGCCTTTCAACAAAGTCAAACCACCTTGGGAGCCACAACATTTAATGTCCAGTATGTGTTAATGTCGTAGTATGGGATAAAAATATAAACGAGAGCACAGATTTACTTTGCTCTACTTTAAGCTTCAGCTACAGCTGCTTTCCTCTCATCTCCGCCAGAAAACTTTTCTTCAAAACTAGAAGACTTTCTTGTAAAATGTCTCAGCATCTGGCTGTTTTACGAGGCTGAAGTCGCTTCTCATTCGCTTCTCGTTCTAATTTTCCCGTTTCACCTTAAATTCTGCCTTAGGTGCCGAATGTAACTGCTGCACCATTTAAGGTGGAACGGGAAAATTCGAAAGAGAGTCTCTCGTTGCAGATTTAACCAACCGCGCTGCTTATAAATGCAAATAAGTCCTCAGACAGTAGAAAGATAGAAATCCTGTATAGAGGAAAAAGATGCATCGAGATGCATCGATAATCGTTTTATAATCGCATCGCAGCCCTCTGAATCGTAATCGAATCAAATCGTGAGGTACCTAAAGATTCCCATATATATATATATATATATATATATATATATATATATATATATAACCCGGCTTTCTGATTTATTGCTTATGTTTTGTATCCAGGTTAAATGTATTGAAATATGTAGGGTGATGACTGCACTGCTGTCAGAAATAGCCTATAGCCTGCGGTAATGACATTGCAGGACATTAGCGCGTTGTGTGTGTGTAGAGTTTGAGGTGGGCTTGTCTGCATTATGTAACTCCCGGTCTGAAAAGATTTCCCACTCTGGCCCTGGCCTTACTTAAAGGAATTATTTTTTCTGGTGTTTAGTATAGACTGCTAAAATGAAATTCAACAGAGTACCTCTAACCCTCAATAAAAAGGTCCTGTTTAAAAAATTGAGTTAGAAATATTTTTTTAAGAAATACTTTTACCTTTGTACTTTAAGTACATACAGGAGCATGTACTTTTATAAGCATAATAGTATAACTTTAAAAGCATAACTTGAGTAAAAAAATGTTATTCATATGTCAACTTTTACTTGAGTACTTTTTAATATATAATATATACTATGTATGTATGTGTATGTATATACACACACTGTTGATTGTATATTGTTTTGAGTTGGGTCTTTTCCAGCTGTATTATTTTTCTTTTCCAGGTGTGTCTGATAGGAGACTGTGTCGGGGGCATCCTGGGGTTTGATGCACTCTGCAGCAGCAGTCAGACAGTATGTGAAAGCCAAAGCAGTAGTCGGCGTGGGAGTGTGGTGAGCGTTCAGGTGAGGCCAATCTGCTGGTATACCACTCTACTCAACCTGGTAACAATGAAATTACACCTATACAAAAATAGATGTTAATTACGATTTTGGCTTTTCTATAGCAAGTCTATAGTTTACAGTCTAATCTGGTCAGTCATGGTCCTATGGTGGTTTCTTTCCATTGATGGACAGGGTAGAGGGTGACTAGAATTATACAGCAACAGATGGGCTACAGACAGTATACATATATTTATATGGTAGGTGCACCTTATAAACTGGTCCATGAATGTAAATACAAGGTAATACAAGGTATTAGTAATAAACTAATAACAGGCAACACACTGTATATGTACATTCAAATAAGGAACATGAATTGTCCAGCACTGTTTAGTTTACAATGCTCTCTCTCTTTAATTTTTTTCCCCCACATCACCTGTATGCTGGCCATTCACCCTCAGGATCCAGATCTCCTGTCCCCTGGTATTATCATCAACTGCAGCCATGACACGTCTTCTTCTGGGCCGCTGTCCACCCTGGAGGGTAGCCGACAGCTTAGCCGCAGTAATATTGACATCCCCCACTCTGGTGGTCCTGATGACCCTAGAAGGCAGCTTCCCCGAAAGAGGAGTGACTCCTCTACCTATGAGATAGATACAATCAAGCAGCACCAAGCCTTTCTGTCCAGGTCTGTCTTTTTGACACTAAATATATACCATAATAACTGTTGTGTCGATATAGTGTTTCATCACGTTTCCATACAGCTCAAGTGTTCACATGGTTCAGATGAGTTGCAAAATTATGTAAATAAAAATGATGAAATTTTAATAGTTTCCCCAAGCTATCTACAGGTGAATTCCAGAGTGCCTCTACAATAATGACAGAAACTTTTTCAAGATGCAAAGCACCTTGGAGACTTGACTTGTAACTAAGTTACATAGTCATGTTTAGCAGACTGACAATTCATATAGATTTTGGACATTGAAACAAAGCAAACTGGCATAAGCTCTCCCAATACTGCATGCATGTTTGCAGTTACAAATTTCAATATGGGACAAAAATTTACAACCCTGTTTTCAAAACAAGCTGGGACCCTGTGCAAAATGTTTGGACCTGTCACCCACTGAAAACATACGGTGCTTTATGAAACATAAAATTATGACAAAGGAGACCCAGAACTGTTGTGCAGCTGAAATCCTATATCAAGCAATAATAGGTAAACATTTGACTTTCAAAACTACAGTTTTGCTGTTGTTCTCCTCAAAAAACACGTACAAAGTGTTCTTAAAGAGAAGAAGAGGTGATGCAACACAGTGGTAAACATGCCCCTGTCCCAACTTTTATAAAGCATGTTGCTGGCATCTAATTCAAAATGGGCATATATTTTTCAAAAACAGTGCAGTTAATTTAAACGATTTTCACATCTTTGCATTTGTACAACCTTCCAACTTTTTGGTAACAGGGTTGTATAACCTAAAGGAGTTCCATTGTTTAGTGTTACTTAATATGTGATTTTTAAGTTAATATAGGTGAGAGACAGCAATGACAGTAGGTGTAGTGGAAATATCTTAGTCTCTGACTCCAGACATGTATTTGAGCTGACACTTTCTTTAGTAGGCAAACAACGAAATCATAGCTGGATTTAAAGCAACCTTTAGGCATTTTAGACTTTACATGAGCTTTTAATTTTAAAGTCATGTCATACTGCTTAATGTTATCCACCTGGAAATATTTACGTGCCTTAGTTTACACACATTTGAATTAGTTCTGTAGTACTCAACTACCTGGTGGACTAAAACTACCATAAACACTTTAGGATGTACTGCTTCTCAGTTCACGTGGTTACGTGTGAGGAGGTGGCTTAGGCAGTTGGGAAGTGCTGTTTTACTATATGATGCCTTCTTTCATTTTACAGTGACATAATTAATGAAATACAGATTTCATAAAGTGCCACTTCTTCTTAACAACTACTGAGCTTATTAGACAAAAGAGAGATTTTAAAAATTAAAAATAGATTTTAAGGTCTGATGTGTTTTGTGTTCCCAGTTTGCACTCCAGTGTGCTAAGAAATGATCCAGGCTCTCGCAGATCCAGTAACAGTACAATGTTGGAGGGTGGTACGTTAGGGAAGTTTGATTTTGAAGTCGCAGACTTCTTCCTCTTTGGGTCCCCCTTGGGCTTGGTCCTTGCCCTTAGGAAGATTGTAATTCCTATGCTGGATGGTAAGAGCTATTTTTTGTATCAGCATCCTAAATATTACAGAAATTACAAGAGCCATCTAAATGTAATTATTGAAATTGTATCCTATCTCAAATGGTACTCATGTGAGAAGGTATTTCATAGACAACAATAGTCATTTGATTAAGTTAGATCCTTAGCATTATAGTAGTTGCTGTTGTTTCAGATAACAAGCTGGAATGCCAACTGAGGATTGTCCTACCTCAGCCCAAAGCAGTACTGTGCTTCACATATGTCTGTTGGCAAACATTGTGGTAAAAACAAGACTCTAAACCTTCAAACTGACAGCCTTGATTTGAAGGGTTTTTAGATAAGCTAGAAATCAAAGGAATGTTATGGATATGATTTCAGAACAAAGTTAAATAAAAGTAGTTCCAGAACAATGAAAAACTGCATGTACCAAGGATAATTATAGAAACTTTGTGAACCAAAGCAACCACTATGTAGTAACTGCATAAACTGCAACAAGTAGTTGATTAGATGTCAGACTCATAAAGTTTAGTTTATATAATAATTTTTTTTATTTTATTGTGTATTGTGAAAATGACTTTTTCACCAGTATCAGTTATATTTTTGCCATATTGACCACACTTGCTACCTACTGCAGTAGTGCTGAGAACTTCAGGAATTGTAAGGCTGTGTTCTCCTCTGATGCCCCCCAGTGGCTCAGCTGCGTCCTGCCTGTCAGCAAGTCTACAACCTTTTTCACCCGGCTGACCCATCTGCCTCGCGCTTGGAGCCCCTGCTAGAGAAGAAGTTCCACCTGCTCCCTCCCTTTAACGTGCCCCGCTACCAGCGCTTCCCCCTGGGGGATGGCAACTCTGCCCTGCTCGGTAAATGGATAGAAACCTCTCATAATGCTTGCTTTAGCATCTAAAAAAAATAGCTTTTTTCTGTGTGCTTGAAATGAGAGCCTAAAGGATCTTGTTAAAATGGCCAACTTGCTGAATGAAAAGATCCATATTTGGTATCAACAGAGGACATTAATCTAGCGTAGCATTACTGCTGTTTAACATGCTTAATACTGTATTTTTTGTACTACAACCAGGCCTTAATATCCTAATCTTAAATGCTTGCATTTATTTATTTATTTATTACAATTGTTTTCTGCTGAAGGCTTTGCTGGGCTGTAACATTACCTGTCAACATTATCGTCATGGTTGTTCCAGTTTATTTATAGACTTAATTGTTTTTGCCTTTGTTTCTCATGCCCCTGTTAAGTTGCCCTTCTGACTTTAACTGTCACACCCATAATTTGTGGATATTGTGGGTAACAGAAAAGTATTTTGAATGGAGTGCATTTGCCTCCCAAAACAAGCTTGAGCTTGCACAGCCACAGTTAAGTTATTGTCACAGTTACCCTTTGGTTAACAAATGCACCTAGCAATATGTTTTATTACATTTTATTATCTATTATATATTAACTTCAGTTCTGTTTGTTCCGCTGTTGTGACCTTAAACTAATAAATTGCAGTGTATTTAAGTGCAGTTTGTGCATTTTTAAAAATTCCTCTAGAACACACCAAACAATATCTGCATTTCAGTTCATACAATAGGGCAAAATTGGTTATTTGTTGAAAGTGTTGAATATTGGCCATATTTAGGGGCAGTTACTGCTATCTTACTTTTTAGCAAGCTGTTTAGCCTAATCTGCATTCTCCTGATAGGCAGCTTACTTATGTTGGCTCAGCAAGCTTCATAGAAATAAATACAGTTTTGCTTAACTTTATGAAATGAAATGCAAAAACTGACTGGTGCACTTTGAAGTAGAGATGACATGATGTTAAAGTCATCTCTACTTCAAATGTTAAAAGATGTTAAAATCTTGTGTATGGGCTAATCCAGTAGATACACATGGCATAATCAGATTAGATGATCAGATTCAGGAACAACAAAGGGGTGTTAAACCAGGATAGTGCCCATCCAATGAATCTCATTTCACTTGGAATAATGTGTTGACCGTTAAGATGTCAGAAGGAAGTCACTCAAAGGATTGTGTCAAGGGCAAGTTAACGGGGGGACTTGTAAAACAGGTTAATCAAACATGGCCTTGTTTTTTTTTTATGTCCTTGCTGCTTTATGATTTTTTGTCCATTCCTTGACTTCCCTTTTTTCTCCCTTTCCTTTGCCCTCCCACTCTCCTTTCACCAAACCTTGATCCCACTGTTTTTCCCTTGTCACCTTTGATTCTTTACCCTTTACCCTACTCAGTGGAGACAGTGCAAATTCACCCTCAGTTGCTGCTGGAGAGTTTGCAGCGCTGTCAGGAAGTGGTCAGTGAGACATGCATCTCCGTGCCTGTGCTCAACTGGCCTGAGAACACGTCCAGGGCCACATCCTCATCTCTCGACTGTGTGTAACTGAATTATCTTTAGTGGTTTGATAATTGAATTACAGCCAAGAATTACTAATGCACATATAGTCAATAGTGGTAGGCATTCAGTGTCACTAAAATGGAGCGTGGTTGATAATGCCACTACCCCACACATGGAATATTGGAAGCTCTGTTCCTTGTCCGGACAAGAAAACCACTAAATAATAATACTTACAACAAGACTCCTAATGTTAAATTCACCTACCATTATACATTGCACGGCGTAAGAGTGTCTAGTGAATACATAAATGTTTACAAAGTTTGTCATGTCTGATTTAGTTATGTCATGGCTATGTACAAGTAATTGACGATGAGCCTTCAGGTTTTGACCTGTCTACTGCTTATTGCACTTTGTGATAGGATTACAGTATCAAGTTTTAAAATGCAAAAAGTTATTAATTAATATAAATTAAAATACATGAAATTGGTTATTAATATTGGTATCAGCCAATAATTAAAATTCTGGGTTATCATAATGTCCTTAAAAATTCCTTATCGATGCATCCCTAATTTCTGTTGTTGAATTCATTTAATTTTGCTTGTTCTTGAGCTTTTTCAGTCTTACCCATACAGGAAAACACCAACTGAATTTACATGCTGAAAATGGGCTCAATTTTTCTGGCTCATTGGCTTTTCCAATTTTAGGACAGCTACAGTTTTTGTTGTGTAAAGTAGCTTACATTTTAGATATATTTATGACTAACATTAAGTTCTGTAATCTTGTTTCGTAATAAACAATGGTTGTTAGGTTGTAATGTAAAACAATAGCTCTGCTTTGCTATATTCAAAATGTAATTGTACAAGGAGTAAATGTATGCTCTTCTGCATAAGCTTGCCAAAATTAACTTCAACCTTTGTGTGTCTGACATCTGGTTATGTAAGCCATCGTGGCATTCATTTTCACATTTTCAGTGTTCGCAAAGTTCAGTTGCAAATCGAGACCATGCCAAGCCAGCTTTGCGCTGCCCCCAAATTTATGAAGATATTATCAAGACTAAGAATATTTATGAAGGACCCCTACCCTGAATTATTATATTCATGCATATATAAAAGGCAAGTCTGAAAAATCAGCCCATCTTCTCTGACATCTTTGATAAGTACGCTGGTAAACGTTACAGTTTACGTTTACATCATCTTGTGTACGGGTAATGTGATTCACATGGGTAATGTGTGCACCCACAATGATGTGTCTTCACCTACATGTCTTGCCTCTCTCTACCTGCATTTGTGCATGTGTGTGTTCATGTGTGAAGTCTAACCATGCTGGTTGCCATTGGTGAAATATTCAGGTTCAAAAAGTAACAGTTCTCCCTCATTGCCTGGACACCTCTGCTGTTGGCTTGGGCTAATTAGAGAAGCCAGGGAGTTTTACTTTCTGAACCACCTTTGCTGGTTGCTTTTGAGTAGCTGTACCTGTCACAAAGCTTGCTGTACTGATTTTATCTCACTTGCGATATTTAAACTAAGGTGTGCCAACATTTTATTCATATCAAATTGTCATTTTGGTCACAAAGTGGCTTGTAGCCATTAAGGTTTCTCATAAGTAATCACTTGTGTATAATTACATGGTTGTCATGCATTCTTAGAAAACCAGTAGGTGTTGTTTGTGTGCTACCTAACGTTCATTAGTATTTGACTTCATTCAATAGCAACTGCGTTTGGTGTAGCAGTATAAATTCAAATGTATCCTGTCTCCAAGAGAGCCATGAGAAGAATTCATTTTGCCTCATTCTTGAGTTGGCAGGACCTTATGTATCAGTACCGTATATATCTTTGAATGTAACTTTTTGCAACACATTATTTTAAGCTATTTCATGCTGTGTAGCTACAATCGTCTTGGTAAGTATTGGGTTGGAGAAATAAGAACATCAACTGAAGATTCAATGATTTATGTCATATTTGCAGTGATACTCTATTTTGAGTGGTCCTTTTTAGATGAAACAAACACCAGACTCTCAGTAACATGTTAAAAACATATGAGAGTAGGTTTTGGGTTGAGGTTAAGGTTAGGGTTAGGATTAAGGTCAGGGTTATATACAATGTAAGTAATGTATCAACAGTATCTACAAGATATTTACTTCAGTGTGTTCAGATGCTGCACTACTGCTACTTCACTGATATGTTGTTGATGAGTTACTGATAATCTGTTAAGAGTTTATTAATCATCCACAAAGGACCACTCCAAATAAAGTGTTACCATATTTGCTTTAGTTATGGGCCTTGTTCAGTATTACGTTTGTGTTTGTAAAATACATAAGTGAATTAGACATATGTAATGATTATAAAACAGTGCTTTTTTAAATCCAGACATTAAAAACACATTAAAAACCCTCTAAATAAGTGTTCAACAATAAGCATTTTATGTGTAGGTTAAACTGAAAACATACTTTGATTATTTGTTTTAAACTTCTGCCATTTCCAACTAAACATTAACCCCTTAAATGGCCAGGGAACCAGCGGGCTCAAAGTTTTATTACACAACATGACATATGTATGTGAATTTAAAACAGTGCTTTATTTTTTTTTAATCCACCTATTTAAAAGTAGAAATAAATAAAAAGTGCATTAAAAACCCTCCAAACCTTTGTTTTATGATCTATGTGTAGGTTAAACTGAAATATATATATTTTGTGAAAGTAGTCTTTACAAAGTGCACATATGTCAATTTGTAGGTTTACTTACTTCAGGAATAGCATCATTTACCACAGTACCCTCATTTGGCTCACAAACTTATTACAATGCCAAATTCGCCATGCATTCTATCCTGTCCACCTCATTATCATGTGTATGTGTATGTGTGTTTGTGTGTTTCCGAAGTCTCTGAAGATGTGTGTCTAATGGGCTCTCCTTGTTTCGGCTCACTAGCGGATGTTGTTCAGTCTCATGGTGGTGTCTTCATGGACAGTTCGTACCCCTCCTCCCCCATAACCGCCCCCCAGTGTCGGGGCCCAGTGCGGCGAGCCAGTGAGGTCAGCATTGCCAGCCAGGTCTCAGGGATGGCAGACAGTTACACTGCCTCCAACATAGCCAACAGTAAGTGTGCCCTAACCATGCCCTGTTTGCATTCTCTCTCTGTCTGTCTCTCTCTCTTTCTCTCTCTCTCTCTCTCTCTCTCTCTCACACACACACACACATGTGCAATCATATAAACCCCTTGTCTTTCACACATGCCCTTTACAACACACGCATTTCCTCCAAGCAGTTCAACAAGTTAGATTGAACAGAACATACATAGAAGCATTTGAGAAAGTAAAGGAGGAACCTAAGGTTTAATTCTGTGTTTTATGTTCATTGTCTTGTTTAATGCAAATGCACAACAAAATGCATGCAGTCCATGCAAAAAGTCACTGCATTTTATTCCATCAAACTGGCCTAGCTTGTTCTTTTTAAGTGTCAAAAACATGTTAAAACAATTTATACAAATTTATATTTTAATCTTTCTGATGAGAGATAAGTTGGTAAATAGGTTGGATAGGTATATTTCAAATTTATTTTAATCTTTTTTTTTGAAGAAATCAAAATTCCTGAGTTCAAGTTGTCTAATGTCTTTTGTCATAGCAAACACAAGCCAAGTTAATAAAACAAAAAAATCCAGCCTTTTGGCCCAACTCGCCTTGACGTCCCAAAAGTTCTTCCCAAGAAGCCCTTCTCCCAAATCACATAGAAAAGAAAAGAGTGTCTTCTTGCCAGCACCAGACCTAGATCCAGATGCTGAGGCAAGTCCATGTTCTCCGTTGGGTTTTCAGCGAACCAACACAGCTTCCTTGGATTTTGCCATGTGTGATCTGGTTTCTATGGACTCACAGCCAGACATTGACGAAGGTATTCAACACTGGACCACAGCCACCACTGGCCCTCATCTTCTGTCCTCCACCTGGCAATCTAACAAATCTCTCTTTTATCTCCAAACCTTCATGATCATTGTATAGGGCAAGCCAAAGTGGAAACAGAATTACTGTTTATGCACCTACTGCACAGTTAGGTTCACAAATCTTTGGACATGCTATTTTTATTGTCTACCACAGCAAGATCCAAAATGAGTGAACAATGTAGGAATTACAGCCATTTCATTCTCATATTCATTACTTTATTTCAACTCCAATATGTTGTGGTAGACAGCTAAAGTAACAGTAACTTTGTCGAGGTACAAATACTCATGGATCTGACTGTAAATAGTTTATCCATGAAGAAGAGTTTGTCCTTGAAGAGGTCTTGCTGCTAAGCCATTATGTGAAGCTGTTGTGAGACCAAAGCCTTTTCATATTGTCCTTTGTCAAGATTGTTACATATATCATACAGGTATCATAGTTTGTGCTATTTCTGTGATGGTCCTAGAGAACAGTGGTCATGAAGGGCATGTCAAGGAGATAATTTAAACAGCCCTGAAAAGGAGCTCCTGACATCACCAGAACTCACCTAAACTCTTATCCTGAAACTTTGCTAATACATCTGGGGTTTTCCACAGCTGTTTTCTTGCTGCCTTCTCAATTCCTTCTTTCTCTTGGGTTCCAAATTATAAATAATTATATCAAATGAAAATTTGTGAAAATGGGCGTTTAGCCACTGTTGTCAAGATTATTTACTTAAATTACTCTTCGGTAGTTTGAAACACCAGGGTGCCCTTTGTCTGGTAAATCTGTTTTCTTATCCTGTGTGACATATATTTTGGCTGCTTAATAATGTGTATTAATCCAATGCCTTTTAACTAATCAAACTGTCACAAATTATAATTCAGAATCTGAAGAAAGATGCTTTAATTGACCTATTTCATACACATAGCACTGTGGGCACTTAAATTCAGATACTTCAACAACATTTTTTTATACCAGTACCAGTGTGACAGTCTCAACAGTTTTATCATTTTTTAAAATTATTTCTTAGACAACTTTTTACAGCATTTGAATAATTTAGATTTAAAAACATCATGATACAACTGAAAAAGTCTACTTGTTTTCACAGGACTTGCTGGTTGTGTTCAAACTCGCTCCCTATTTAAGAAATAGTGCATTATGTAGTGTGTCTGCCATTCTGTAGTATTTGAATTCAAGTGAACCATTCCGAATACAGTGCCAGTCATTCTTAGGACATAAAAATCCTGAAATTTGAAGTTAGAAAATAAGATAGAAGCTAGAAGTTAGAAGCTTAATCCATAATTCTCTAATTCAACACTTATGTATTTTATTTGTTTGCAAATGTGAAATGGGTCCATATTACTAACTTTTCATTTAGTGTTTTTGCTTTGTGTTTGTCTTTGTAAGATACAGCCATGATACTGTAACAGCAACAGCTGTATTTTGAAGTTTATCATAGCATGTAAATTGTCTATGATTATGCTTAATTTATTGTTCATTAAGCCTCGCTGACCATTCAACAATGAACAATCAGTCCTGATCCAAGCCTGACTTGTTTGTACCCTTTTAATAGTTGCTGCCCGTTGGTGGGGCACCAAGCGTCTGGACTTTGCACTCTACTGCCCTGATGCACTGACAGCCTTCCCCACTGTGGCATTGCCCCATCTTTTCCATGCCTCATACTGGGAGTCCACAGACGTTGTGTCCTTCTTGTTGAGACAGGTAAGATCAAACTGCGGTTGAATAGAACATAGGGCAGTGTTCAGTCAAGCGTAAGATAATAATAATGTACTGTATCTAGGACACATATATCTGTGTAGAACTTGTAGAACTCTGAGAATGAAACCCTTAACTAACATTGTTCATTTCGAGCAATATGCACTATATTCTTATGCTACATGCTATGCACTTTCCAATCTACAGTTTGGATTTTTGCAAGGTAGGATTGTTTCAAATTGAACAATAATGTTTTGTAGTAAACAGAAATGACAGATTACCTTGCTGTATCTCACATCTAAGTTAGCAGGTTGCTAATGTTAGCAAGTTTTTCAACTGTTTGAAGCCATCATTGATCATTGCTGAGAGGAACAATATAGACTCTGTAAATGCAGTCTGCAAGTTTACCTACAAGACTTCAACATCCTATACAAAAATACTGTATCTTTTTGTTTAATTCTTCCTAATTTCCTTAGTCATGATTTGTTGTTAAGACTATTGAAAGCTTAATGTTTTACTGTTTTGGGCCTGTGCCATTTGTTTTGCACAGAAGTTTAGTTATACACCATTGTATTACCATATGGATTGTGTGTGAGAAATGTAGTAGATTGTAATTGCACATTTATCTAACACAGATATACACACACCCTTTTTTCTCTGGTATTTTCACCCTAGGTCATGAGGCATGACAGTTCCAGTATTTTGGAGCTGGATGGCAGAGAGGTGTCAGAGTTTACACCTTCGAAGCCACGTGAGAAATGGCTGAGGAAGAGAACTCATGTTAAGATACGAGTGAGTAGCTCAGAAGAAAGTGATGTAAACTCAAAAATAGGTTTGCTGTTTCAGTTTTTTAATGGGGCTACAGTTGAAATGGGTCATTACAATAGCAAAGGTAATTCCTCTACCAATATCTTTCCTAGATTCTGTGAAGGGAAAGGTTTTTGTCAGGAAGACTTCTTTGGCAGTAAACGGAGTTAGTCTAGGCATTTCAATTGTTTCAATTTCCAAATTTCACCACTGTTAATTGGGTTTGTCATCTGTATAACAGAATTTTATTGATATTCTTGTTTGATTACAGAATATGACAGCCAATCACAGAGTAAATGATGCAGTATTCACAGAAGATGCTCCGAAGGTTGTGACAGGGCGTTTTATGTACGGACCACTTGATATGGTGACCTTGGCTGGTGAGAAGGTAAGATGTTGAACAAGTGAATGCCAAATAGTAAAGCTTTGTTTACCCTGCCCAGCTGGCAAACTTCCCAATTGTGCACACACAGCCCAAGACAAGTAGTAGACTCTCTGTATATTTTTATTTAAACGTATAAGTGAAAGATCAACTACAGGAGTTTTGCATTGTCAGTCATTTGCCATTGGCAGTGTACAACTATAAAAATTGTCATTGAGCAATTGTGCCAAAAGACAGCAGTCATTCTGTAGTTATTCAGGCATTTTCTAAAGCCTTACACTTGCTTTCAGGCATTATTGATGGCTTTCAGCATTAGATGATTTAAAGATTTAGGGTCAATCAGGATGGAGAACTGACAATAATAAGTGCAAAATTAGTTTTTTCATTGAATTATTAGGTTTTTCTCCGAAGGATTTGTTTAACATTCCTGTTGCAGCAAGGCTGAATAGCTTGTGTTTGTTTATGTGTACGTGTAGGTGGATGTACATATTATGACCCAGCCACCTTCAGGGGAATGGGAATATCTTTGTACAGAGGTAACCAACAGCAGTGGCCGCATCTCTTACACAATTCCAGAACAAGAGGGCAAACTACTTGGTGTTGGCGTCTACCCAGTTAAGATGGTAGTCAGGTAAGATGGTCTTTTAAGATCATAAACTTACAAGCGATTGATAATTAGACTCTACTAAAAACAGTTCTGGGATTCCAGACTTGCATCATTTGCTTGTCATGTAAATTAAAAAGTCATGTGATTTTAAACTATTTTTTTTATTAATAATTTTGGGATTAGTTTACAGGTTTACACTGGATTATGTGACAAATAATCAAAGTTATAAAGATACCTTTATTTAAGTAAACACTTCAAAAAATATTTAACATTAATTTTATCTGTTTACCTGAGAAAGAATGTATTCTCTTTTACAGCAACCCCTGGGGAAAGAATTGTGGGGTAACTAGTGGAGTTGGGGGTGCAAGGAATTGCAACACCCCTGAAGCAGTTTTGGGCTAATTAGTCTTCTTTAGGGCCTGACCAGTATGAAAGTATTGTGACAGATACTGATTTTTTAAGAAGTTAAAAATTCCAGTAGCTGATAATATCAGCTAATATGATACTATTTTTACATTTTACTTTTATTTCGCTGTACTTCTATATAATAAAAAATATATGTTTATGCTACAGTAGTTGTAGGTAAATAGTACTTTCCTAACATATATGTGTCCACTCTCAAATTCTTTAAAGGAAACAGCAGAAACTCACAGTCTTTAATAACAAAAATATTGCAATATTTTTATTATTTGGGACTATAAGTCAATTCTTTGTGGTTTTGTTTCTGATAATAACCTCTTCTGTTTCTTGTTTTTCATTTTCATTATTTCATTGCCCTATCAAGAGTTTAAATCTTAGTAATTCTGCTGCCAAAAAGTCAGTCATTATCAGAAATTATTTTCTTCTGATCCTGGTAAAATGCAAGATATCACTTGTGGATAATATTATAAGCCAATCCAGTCTTCATTTGTAATCCTACCCTTTTTCAAAGATGTACCATTGCTGTGTGATTTGTAAGCATAACTGGTAATGAATGAAACCCAAAGATTTGTGGGTATTTTTAAAGATTGCCAGATTCTAGATGCAAACTACAAACCTGTAGAGTCCCTCAGTCAAAGACACATTATTTGCTAATATAACAACATTGTTAAACCTGTACTTCAGTGTGGCTTTTGCCATCAGGGGACATAATCGGTGTCATGAGCTGTAAATTTGTATTGTAGTTAAACAGAGATAAACAGAAAGTAAACGGGTCTTAAATGAGCTTATCTACTCCAGTTGTATCCATCCAGCCTGAGAAGAATCTAATACACTGTAGAGTCTATTACAGAAAATGAATTCAGGGCACCTGCATATGGTGATAGAGGCTTCAGAAATAGCAGCATCTTGTTCCAGTAGGCTAATGGTTTGCTCTAATTTCAGAAAAAGGCTTTATGTTTGAATGGAGGTTCACTGCAAGGCTTAATGGAAGAGAAGGGTTTGATTTTTGTTTTTTTGGGTTTGCTCCTGTGGTTTTTGTGGTTGGATTGGTTGTGGTTAACTGAACTGTTTAAGCTAGGGCTGTAGAATTCATCACATTTTATTGTCATTGTGATTCAAGTTTTCATGGTAAACATATCTGCTGGGATGAAGGTATGTGCACAGTACTAGTGTGACAAAATAGTATTGGAAGGAATATAGCAGTAGGTGCCATTAGAGCAATTACGAGTCCAGTTTCAGGTTGTGTACTTGCTGCACATCCAGTCAGACACACACTGAAATTTTACATTTAAATCATAAGATATTATTTCTCATATCCATATCACACAGCCCTACATGGTCAGACAAAAAGGTACTGTACAGGTATATTTTTGTTCATCAAGGTAATCATTAAATCATTAATGTAAGTGTACTCTCAAAAGTACAAAAATGTCCAACTATGTACCTTAAATTAATTTTTCTTAGGGGGAAGGTACATGTGTATACTTTTTCATTACTTAATGTTTTAAAATGAAAAAATAAAGACTCAAGACAGGATGTATGGAGTCAGTACAACTTAAAATATAACTTTTAATAGAACGTGGTATGTATTCCCTAGCTAAAGGTACTGAAGACATACCTGTAGGGGACCACCCCAGTGACAGCTTAGTACCCTTTTTTTCTAAAAGTGTATTTAAGCTGTTGATTGGCTTCTGTGTTAGCCCCTAATTTTTATTTCCAAAAATAGTAGTTGCATGAGTATTTAGACAATGACTGTTCTGTTAGTTGATGCCTATAGTCTGGCTCTTTTTGATTTGTGGTGATATAGAGGACAGATCATCAACTGTCATTTAGAACTATTTTCATTCGCAATATAATTTCTTATGATATTTACACATAGCATAGCAGGCAAATAGACATTCTGTCCTCTCTGTTCTGGAGTTTCTGAATGAATACTTTTGACAGTTTTAACAGTAGACTAGGTTGAAATACCTGTATCGCATTCTGATTTGATCTATTCTTTTTTAACAGAGGTGACCATACCTTTGCTGATAGTTATCTGACAGTGCTCCCTCCTGGCACTGAATTTGTGGTGTTCAGCATAGATGGCTCTTTCGCTGCTAGCGTGTCCATCATGGGTAGTGATCCTAAAGTCCGGGCAGGTGCAGTGGATGTGGTCAGGTAAGGCAGAAGACAGGCATACACACTAATTATTGTGCAACTGCAAGTAGTGCTTGTTCATAGAAATACTCAAAGACTGTAAACTGTTGAAGATTTAGTCATGCACAGGTTGTGCTTGTACTCTGTACCCATATGCAAATGAGGCAAAGCAGCATGAATGGAAGAGCTACAAAACAATTGAGCACCAGAAAGAAGTGTCTCACAGCCTTAAGGTTATATTTTAGTTTACAGAAACACTGTACTGATTGCATGAGGTTTATTCTATGGCATCAGACAGTAAAGTACGTAGCATGTGAGTAAAACTTCTGCAGGGCAGCCATCTTTTTAAAGACTGAAATAAGTGCATGTAACCATTGAAAATAATCTAAAATAATTTGGCAGGGCATATAGAAACACACTGCTATGTATACCATATGTTTCTTAAAATTTCAGCACCCGTAACATCTCATGTTCCTGTTGAATCCTGCAGGTGTATCTACATGTTATAACTGAATAGTATGTCCCTGGCCCTTCATTTACACACGTATCTCCTATTTCCTTTTTACATTGTGTTTATTGTCTTGGCCTATCCTTTCTCCTTCTCTTGTTCCTGTTTGTAGACACTGGCAGGACCTGGGTTATCTGATCATTTACGTGACAGGTCGACCAGACATGCAGAAGCAGCGAGTGGTGGCTTGGCTGTCCCAGCACAACTTCCCTCACGGCATTGTATCTTTCTGCGATGGCCTCGTCCACGACCCACTTAGACACAAGGCTAACTTCCTTAAGTCACTCATCACTGAGGTGTGTATGTGTTGTAGGGCTCGACCGATATTAATTTTGTCACTGATACTGATTTTAGGGATCAAAAGATTCTGATAACCAATAATGGCAGCTAACGTAGTTTTAGAATGGCAGAAGTACTCCAACACTGCCATTAACACGTTCGCCATTAATTTGGAAACCTAAGTTGAAGTAGATAAGCTGGAGTAGATATTTGTCCGAGTATATGTGAATGAAAATATTTGAGCATAACTGGTGTTTAGTTTTGTGAAAAAATATGTTTCGTTTAGCCCTACTTTTGTGTCTACAGGCTCACATGAAAGCTTGTGCAGGTTATGGTTCCACCAAAGATATTTCTGTATACACCTCCATCGGCCTGTCTCCCTCCCATATCTACATTGTTGGTCGACCCTCCAAGAAGATGCAGCATCAGTGTCAGGTACTCTTAATAGGCATTGCGAATGCTTTGCATTTGTAAAAAAATGTAAAATGTGACGTAAAATGTGATGTTCGATATAGCTGTTGGATGTCATGATGACTATGCGAGAAGCGATAAATTATTATTAAAAAAGTGACTTTGACTGGATGTGATGCAAGTCAGTTTTTTTTGGATGTATAAAAAGAAATCTAACTAATCTCTTCTTTTGAGGAAATAGCAAAATACAAAACTATAAAAGCACATTTACAAATGCAAAATAAAAAGAAATTAAGGACTTAGGTCAGAACTGCAAACAGATCTTTTGTGCACCCAAAGGCTGAGAAACAGTGAGCATTACCTCAACAGCTTTTTCTATAAAGGCTACAAAAACAAATTATTTGAGGATTTTTCCATTGCAAGTAATTATCATTGGGTTTACATCCTTTGAGTATCTGTGTGGTTCTGAAAGGGGCATGAAATATTATGATAATAAATGTAACGATAAAAAATACAATTTATCGTACAACCCTACTTGGCATCATGTGGTTTGCATTTCAAAAGGACACTAATTGTAAATGAACAATAGTAAGTATGCATGCCATGCACTGGCAGTTGCCAGATAACATTATAGGGTAACAAACAGAGTACACAACCATTAAATAGTTTTGCAACGTTTTTAGTAATATAAAACATGTATGAAATAATTATAATGTGATGCTAGCACTGTTCAAATTCAAGATTTCAAGTTATTACTACGATGTTAGAAATATTGGATATGTCCAGCATGATGAACAATGCAATAGGTGATTCTAAAGTGACTGAAAGCTATATAATATCAAGAGTGAACTTACAGTAAAAATAATATTCAGCCTCCTATTTCAAAAGTGGTAATCAAATCTCAGTGGAGATGTTGACAAAATATTTCATAAATATATTACAATATATGGTGTAATAACTTCTAACATCTCCTGAAATACTTGAAATGTTTTTTAAAAACATCTTAAAATGACCTTGGTGTTTAGTTTCTAATATTTAAATCTACACTGTACAAGTTATTTGTCATTACCAAAAATTTGTAAAATGACAAGTGATTCTAAACTTTTGACCTTTGACTATTGTGACGTTCTAGCTATAGCAGGAATCAAGATACAGTAACAGCACAGTGTAACATAAATGTTAGATATATTTTCTTGGAAACAGACAGAGTTCTGTTCTTCTTTACTTCCAGTTCATAACAGACGGCTATGCAGCCCACCTCTCTCAGCTCGAGTACACACAACGCTCTCGTCCAGCCAAAGCCAGCAGTGCACGCATGGTTCTACGCAAGGCCAGTTTTGGCCTGGGAGCCAATACAGATTTCCTGCGCAAGCGCAACCACGTCCTACGCAGCATGTCCTCACAGCCAGCACCCAGCTCACCCACCAGCATCCACGTGAAGCCAGAGCGCACTCAGAGCCAGTCAGATGGTGAGCGAATGCACACGGAACGGCCAGAGCGCGGCCAGGCCCAGCGCAGTATGAGCCTGGCAGCCGGCTGCTGGGGGCGCAGCAGCACCTCCAAGCTAGAGTCACGCCCTTTCCACCCCAAAAGCTAGAGAAGAGTGACAAATGGGGTGCTGGAAGGAGCTGGGAAAGAAAGGAATGGAGTGATAAAGATACAGAAAGTGGACAGAGAGAATAATATTGGACATTGGGCATAACATTTAGAAGAGAGATGCTCAGTTTAAGGACAACAAATATTGAGTTTTGACCTACATTATATTACTCCACTGTTTTTCAGAATAATCTCTATTTGCCATATATGTGTTGAGGAAGGAACAGACAAAAAAGCAGTTCTGGTTACTTTGGCTTTCCTTAAGGTTTTCTGGCATCCATGTCAGAGCCTGTGAAATCTCTCACACTATTACACTGGTAACAACTTAATTTAAAAATTCTGTGGATTCATGAAAGTATTCTACAAAAATATGTTTTGCATAAACATTGACTGACAGAATTAAGCAGCTTCCTAATAGCTTCTTTTAGAAGTTTATTCTGGGAATAGCATTCAGATTACCATCTATTGTAACTGACCATATGCTAATAGAGATTAGATTGAAAACTGAAAAATGCTTAAGTATTTTTTTTAGAATTGCCAACAGTGACTTATGACACAAGAGAAGTGAACCGAGCTGTCAAAGTTCAAAAGTGGCAAATGAACAACAGTAGAACCCTATGGTGCTACAAAAAAAATACATTAACTAAATCCACCATGAACAGAGACAGCATTTATGCAGTCCACTGGACTATAATGGTCAAATGGACTCTCATTTCAGCTGAGGAGTTCAAAAATGAGGACACATGGAGACCTGGTTACTTTCCTTAGAGTGTCTCATATTCACAATGCACTGTAAAACTATGGTCATGTTTTTAAAAGTATCATTATGTTCAGCCCCAAGATTCATTGCTTTGTCCCCCTACTTTGACTTCTGAACAAATTTTTGTCTGAACATGGTTTTATCCACCTTCTCTACTTAATGTGTACTGATTTCTGTAAACTGTTCTTTATCAAGTATGTAAGACTGTTGACTGTGCCTGTATGTGTGTGTGTGAGAAAGAGAAAGAGACAGGGGTAAGAAAGAATTTTGGGATTAATGTTTCTTTAGATTAGTGGTTGACTATTTTAGCTTCAAACAATCAGTTTTACCATGTAAAGCTGCTGTTCTGTTGTAGATTGTCCTGTATGGGAGATCATTTGACAATGTGAGTAAATATGCACAATAAGACTCATACTTTGACTGTATAATTATGAAGTGGTATATGTACATTGATGTACAAAGTAGTCAACATTGGTATCATATCTATCTTTTGGGCCATATCCAGTTATAAGATTATGATGTTTTATGATTATGATTGTTTTTAAAAAGGATTTACTTGACAGTTTTTTGCTTCTTTGTTCAAGAGAGTAATTTGTTTTTGCTGTTCTATGTAGTCAATCTATTCCCAATACATATTTATATGCAATTATTAGTGAATACTAACAGATTCTATTTATCTTTCATCGGGTAGAGTATTTTTGATGTTGCTTTGATCTTTCATGCCATAGAAGTGCACTAGTGTCATCAAAGGCTTGAGCAAATTTTTTTTCAGTTATCACAAGCTCTTTTAGAACTTTTCCTTGGTTGCACATGAAGCATTGGATGTGCTTTGATGTTACACTAAATATGGTGAGAAGTTTGTATAGTATAACTTTGTAAGTTCATAAATAATAAAAATGGTCAATATTGTGTAGATACTGTAAAAACTGTAAATGTATTCAGTGTTGGATTTGGACAGAGTGAGGGTCTATGTCATTTTTAAAAATATGATCATATGGAGGTTTATGATGCTGAAATAATGTAGATGTGAATTCATAAATATTACTGTACCAATCAAGTATTGGACTAATACAGAGATTGGGAGCTGAGGGCTGGAGTCCAGCACAGTTAGGTGATTTCCCTGTGCTAACACCCCTGTTTGTACTAAACCTGATAATTAACTGCTACGTTGAATCAGGTTGAGCAAAGAAATCACCACACTGTACAGGAATTCAGCCGTCTAGCACTCCTAGTCTAACAGATGGACTAAGGAATGTTTACTGTTTTGCTCAGTAATTACCAGATGTGCCAATAACTGCACAGAGACAACAACTTTGCTTGACATCTATTTGTAATCTGTTTTCTTGGGATCAGTCAATCAATTCATAGTAACAACTGATTAAATTGATCAAATGCTCATTTTCCTCACAACGATTTAAGGTTTTATTTAAAAATTTACTCTGCATTTACAGTAATTTAGTTATGTAATGAGCCAAGACTGTCTTTTCTTCCCTGAGCCTTCTTTTCTTTTGCCCAATTTCTGTGAATATAAAAAGTCTATTGTAAATAAAGCACATCTGTTTCAGGATCTAGTTGTGTCAGAGCAGGTATAACTCACAGTCTTAAAACCAAAGTGCCTCTTTCCCCCAAATTCCATTACATAATTATGTATCTCTTGGGCACAAAGACAAAGTATTAGTTTATTTAATTATTGTCTGATGACTTTCACGTGATTTTTTAAAAAATGACTGAAATGTTCAAAAATTACTCTAAAAATAAATTTTATGTCTCAGTGACCAATTTTCAATACTGTGTTTTATTGGCACAAAACAATGCACAAGAGGGACAAGCTTCTGATGTGTACATGACATTGATGGTACATTTGTAAATAAAACAAGTCCACTGACATTTGGCATATATCTGATGTTTTGTTTTGAACTAACAGTTTGCATTTACCCTTGCAGTATCTCAGAATATAATTTGGTTCCTGGAAACAGTTTTGCTACTGATACTCATATGGCTATCTACACAAACAATTCAGTGCATCATGAAATGCGACTGCGATTGAATTCTATTTGCTTATTTTGGTACCATGCAAATCTGACTGTAGGTCATGAGTGTATTATTAAAAATATGAAATTATATAAGAACTGTTTTGTGCACTGAAAGTTTTTTGAAGACATTGCATTTCACTTTTTTATTTATATGTATTTGAGAAATACTATATACTTTTTTCCTACATCCTTTAAACATAGCATGTGCCCTTTACATTGTGTATAAATTACATGAACGGACCCATAAATATGCTCTAAAATAGTTTGGAATGAAATCTCTTTACATTGACTTGCATTAAAAGTAAAAAAAAGTTTTGCCATCTTCTGTAAGGTTGTCATGTTGGAGATGATGTTTTTATTTTATTTTATTTTTTTTCATACAACGACCATGATCTTAATTAAGTATACCTCCTTGTATCTACACTCACTGTCCATTTAATCAGCTCCACTTAGCATATAGGGGCACTTTGTAGTTCTACAATTACAGTCCATCTTTTTCTTTACATATTTTATTAGACCTTTTTTTTACCGTGTTCTTCAATGGTCAGGACACCACTGCTTATAAATATAAGAAAATCACTGTGCTTAGTACTACTTTTGAATGCGCAAATACAAAACTTGTTACACCTTACAACATCCAATCAAAACACAAGGTGAAGGTTGCCCAAAAAAAGCAATCCTTTTTAAAGATGTATGCACACAAACATTTTTTTTTCTGAGATTTGATAGATCTGATTTTTTTTTTTAGTACCTCTAACTTTTTTATCATGAGAACCCCTGTTCCTACAGATTTAATCTGCTACATAGTTTCACATGCCACCTTGACCTAAGACTTAACAATGAGCTTCCTGAATGCAACCTTGACTCCTCTTTAGTCACATCATGAGACAAAACATCACCATTATCTGATCTGGGTCCCATGTTATAGGATTACTCTAAGGACTTTTCCAGACCCATCACATCTAAAGTAGGATCAATGGGCCTCATTCACCAACTGTTCTTAGGAAGAAACAACTTCTTAAAACTCACTAACACAGTTTTCACAGAGATGCTGACATTCATCAATGTTTTCTTTTTTTGGGATTTATTCTTAGGTAAGAACAAAATCTACAGACACTGAAGAGCAATTTTAAGAACACGTCATGACTCTGAAGTAGACTTTTTCTTAGGATCTTTCTTAAGAACAAATTTAAGAAAAAACTTGAATGAGGCCCAATGTCCTCTGACACCTGGTTAGACCTTTCCAGAACATGAAACAAGTACAGTGTCATCGGACACATCAGACACATCAGTGAACATTTCTGTACTGATTAACTGATTTACATGCCTCGTGTAGATTTTTCCACACACCTTCACCAAATATCCATAATAAAGTGTAATAATAAGTTTATTTTTACGAATAGTGCGCCCCAGTGGTCAAAGCTTTTGAAACTTGATTAGTTGTTAGAAAGTGGCTACATGTAGACACCAGTCAAGTTTCATGATGATTGGTCAATGATAAGCTTGTCAAAAGCCTGCTAAATGCTGATTGGCCAAAGGCGACAATATACTTCAATGAATCAAATTGTCCTTATGATCTCACTTATAGTCTTTCGAACAAATGGTACATGCAAAGTTTCAGCTTGATCGGATGTACGGATGCTCTGAAACAGCCATGTAGCATTAACTCCGCCCCCTAATGACATATGCACACAAAAATCGATAGGCTGCATCAGAATCTTCTGCCAAATATGTCTGTCAAGTTTCAAATTTTTTGGCTGAAGGATTGTCAAGTTACAGAATTTTAAGTTAATTCTGAATTATTTTGAATTTATCCAGAATTTATTACTGACCTTCAGGCTCTTCTGAATTTTTTGACACCAAAAACATGAGGATCGGGCGAAAATGGTAGGACTAGTTTGCAAAAGTAGGTTTCGCATATTATGCAAATTAGCTCAAAATCTAAGTAGGCAGAGCTAAATGGTCCAAATGGCAAAGTTCTTTGTTTGGACCCAAGGAACCAGGAAAAAAATGTTTTGTCTGTCAAAAATCTGGTCTAGGAGTTATAGGCCTAAACACGTTGTGGTGCGCAATAGCGCCCCCTTTAGGCCGATTGGGCTCATGTTGTGTGCCTGAGTAGCGGGAGGGACTACTACCTATTGACCAAGTTTCATGTCTCTAGGACTGATGGTTTGGTCTGTGCGTTTCGTTTCAGGGAAGAAAAAGAAGAATAAGAAATACAGCCGCAAGCGGCAATGAGCGGGTTCAAGCATGCAACAGCAGTATGGGCCCTTCTCCAGGTTTAGCCCATTAAGCCTAAAAAGGCCTCAAGCTTTTGGTTTAGCCCATTAGGCCTAGAAAGGCCTCAAGCTTTTGGTTTAGCCCATTAGGCCTAAAAAGGCCTCAAGCTTTTCGTTCAGCCCATTAGGCCTAAAAGGCCTCAAGCTGTGGGTCTTGTTTATAGGCAGAGTGAACAGAACTGAAAGGAAGTCAGTTCATCAAAAGGCCTTCAGTTGCCATAAACAACGAGCAGAGGTCTTTAAACACATTATAGGTTTACACTGGTTTGTAGAACATCCAAGAGGTTGTCAACATACATGTCAAAACTACGTGACTAATGGCAGCATTTCTCACATAGAAGCGCTTGCACAGTGGATTGGTTCTATATTTAAGCCATTGATTTCATGTAGGCCATAATGAGGCCCAATGCACTCATAAGAAGCCCTATTGGTGTGAGGAGCTCAGTGAAAGTGGGTCAGAATTAGTGAAAAGGCCACAGTATGGTATCATTCTTGATCAGGGACCATATCCAAAGACGTTCACCAAGTTTTGGTCAGAATGACCTTTTGACCTTTGCATAATAAGTCTTTGTATAGTGAAATCTTTGAATGAATAAGCCAAAATAAAAGACAAGCAGTGCAATTTTTGACATAACATGTTATTAGAAAGTTGTTCTTGTGAGTGAACTGAGTCACATGGCACCAACTGTTTATATGTCAACTTTGTAATAACATTGTAATAGCATTTTAATTGATTTTTAAGTGTTTTTGAGTGCTGAAGCGCCCACTAAAGGCTAATCTGGACCAAAATTGGCATGCTCCATTATAGTCTTAAGTTGAATAAATCCTCAGAAAAATGGAGATGATCTGACCAATGAATGTTGAGTTATAGCAAATCAAGCTAACAATGCAATGGCTGCAGCAATTAATTGATCGTTGCACACCATGCTGAGTAAAAAGCTCAACATGTTTTTGATAATTATTTACCTAGAGATGCCACAGAATTGTTCTAGACCAGTTTTGAAAAGATTGGATCAAAATCCAGAGAATAGTTCGAAAAGTATGGTTTTCAAACAGTTAACGATCAGTTAACGAAAAAAACTATAGTTTTCTGATAATTATGCATTTGCAAAATTGTTTGGAATAACGTACTACATATGATACACAAGGATGTTCAAGCAAACTTGAAATAAAATAGTAATAATATGTAATAATATGTAAATTTTTATGAATATCAAATTTTTTCAAACTTGATTGTTTGTTAGAAAGTGGCTATATGTAGAGATCATTCAAGTTTCATGATGATTGGTCAATGTTAAGCCTGTCAAAAGCCTGCTAAATGCTGATTGGCCAATGGCGACCACATACTTCAATTAATCAAAGGTTCCTTAAGGATTCATTTATAGTCTGGCCAACAGATGGTATCTGCAAAGTTTCAGCCTGATAGGATGTAGGGATGCTGAGAAACAGCCATGTAGCATTAACTCCGCCCCCTAATGACATATGCACACAAAAATCGAATGGCTACCTCAGAATCTTCTCTCAAATGTGTCTGTCAAGTTTGAAATTTTTTGGCTGAAGGGTTGTTGAGTTACAGAATTTTAAATTAATTCTGAATTATTTTGAATTTATCCAGAAGGGTTCATTTGCATATGGCAGCCATGTTGTTTAGAAAAGTCAAAATGTTTCTGATAATTGTTGACCTTCAGGCTCTTCTGAATTTTTTGACACCAATTACATGGGGATTGGGCAAAAACTGTAGGACTAGTTCACAAAAGTAGGTTTCGCATATTATGCAAATTAGCTCAAAATCTAAGGGGGCGGAGCTAAATGGTCCAAATGGCAAAGTTGTTTGGTTGGACCCAAGGAACTAGGAAAAAATATGGCTTGTCTGTCAAAAATCTGATTTAGGAGTTATAGACCCAAACACGTTGACCTGCGCTATAGCACCCCTTGTGGGCGACTGGGCTGATTCCTTGCACCTGAGTAGCGGGAGGGACTACTATGGACCAAGTTTCAAGTCTCTAGAGCTTACGGTTTGGGCTGTGCATTCCGTTTCAGGGAAGAAAAAGAATATGAAGAAAAATCTTGACAATTCCAATAGGGTTCTACGCACTGCGTGCTTGAACCCTAAAAATCTTGACAATTCCAATAGGGTTCAATGCATTGCATACTTGAACCCTAAAAATCCTAACAATTACAATAGGGTTCCAGCACTTCGTGCTTGGACCCCCAGTCATAATAATAATACGCAGATATAGATACCAATAAACAACAACATGAAACCCGAGAGTTTAGTAGAAAAATGTTCAAAATGTGTTAAACCAGGCTATTAAGGGCCCTTTAATATATCTAAGCTGGCCACCGAAGAAAAAAAACAAAAAAACAAAACAGTTGCAGGCCTGAATGTGGCTGGGATGTGTTGTTGCCAAAAGAAAAAAAACACTGGTACCTTCGCTCATGGAGCAAACCGAAAAAAATATATAAATCCAGTAGCGGGCTGTTTGAAGGGTAGGGGCAAAAAAAAAATAAAAAAGGGCACCTGACATGGGGCCACACCAGTATGCAAAAAGCTTTGATGAGAAGAAAAATCTTGCTAAGAAAGCTTGCTGTATTACCCACAGTGCTGCTTGTGAACCCTTTATCTCAATGTAAATTTCTACATAAATGTGACTTACAATGTGATCAGCTCTTCATTTAAGTCATAACAGTATGTAAAAGAAGCCAGTGAAACAAATAACACAATTTATATAGTTCATATTTATATCATTTATTTTTTAAACAATGTGGTACAACATTAAATGTCTCTGTTAGCAAAAGTATGTGAACCTCTGCTTTCATGAACTGGTGTGACCCCTTTGAGCAGCAATGACTTTAACCAAATGGATCAACTGTTGATCAGCCTTGCACAGTGACTTGAAGGAAACTTGGCTCATTCCTCTTACAGAACGGTTTTGATTCTGGTCATACCACGCGACAAAGTTGAGCAGAATTAAATTTATGCAAATAAGGAGCGAAACGACCTAGCGATTACCAATAGGAATTGAGCATTGAGCAGCGTAGTACGGTCCATTTTTGGTTCCTAGATAATCCTACTAGAGATGGAATAATGGTGTTCGCCTCAAATAGACAGTAATTGCAAAGACCAAATACTGTTTCACCTCACATACTGACTGCACAGACAGGCATTAAATAAAAATAAGCACAAAAATGATTTCTCACCAGGATTTTTATTTTTAGCCGGAACACATCTGATTTGTGCTTGGCGTCAGTAAAACCATGGCAACCAATAGTCCGCTCGAGTTCAGAACCGCCCACAGATGATGAGCGACCAGCATTTTGGGCAACAACAGGCAAAAAGTCACTGCCGGTGTGAATACAGGGTAACACAAAATTTCTATTGGCCAAAATGTAACATTTCTTCTGCTTTAACCATTCTTTGTAGACTAACTGGTGTTTTTCAGGATCATTGTCCTTCTGCAGGACCCACCTTCTGTTGAGGTTCTGGTCAGAGATGGATGCCCTAACATTCTCCCGTCCAGCAGCAGCAAAACAATCCCAAACTGTAATACTGCCACCACTGTGTTTCACAGTTGGGATGAGGTTTTTATGCTGGAATGCAGTGTTTTTGTCAAACATTACATCTCTCATTTAAGGCATAAAGATCTATTTTGCCTTATCCATCCATATAATGTTATTTCAGCAATCTTCTGGCTCATACAGGTGGTCTTTAGGAAACTTTAAACAAGCAAAAATGTTCCTCCTGGAGAGTAGTGGCTTTACAATTCTTGTTCAGTGTTTGCCTGACTGTGGACACTGACATTAGGCAGTGTAAGAGAAGCCTGCAAATCCTTAGATGTTACCCTTGGGTTCTCTGCGATCTCCCAGAACATTCTATGCTTTACTCTTGGAGTCATTTTTGTTGAATAACCACTGCTGGGAAGGGTAACAATGGTGTTGAATTTCCTCTGTTTGGACTTGAAGACCATACTCTTCAGAAATTGTTCGACCTTTTTTACATCAGTAACAGTAGTTAGCTGTCTGGCTAACTAACTGAATTTTCACTACATATTTATATTTCAGCTATTCGCACATGGTCAGGTGCTAGGTAACAGGCATAACAGTTGATTGCTGACTTTGATGGAGTAAGATTTCCTAACTTAGGATGCTGTAAGATTCCTGAATTCAGATAAAATTTGCTGTTGTAACACAAATTTGTGAAAATCTTATCTTGACCTGTCAGATCTCAAGTTAAAACAAAAAGATAGGAATTTTCTTGAATTTTCCATTCCACCTTAAATGGTACTGCAGTAACACTGAGGATCCTTAAATGTAGAATGGATTTCCAAAGTTGGCGAATAAAAACAAACATCAGCTTACCACAATGAATGCATCAGTTTATCTCCATAAATTATCCTTAGTCAACAAATACCTTTAACTTTCACGTAGAGATGTTTAATGAGCAACTGTTGACTATGGACGCGTTTCACTGGCTGATCTAATGCTGCGTCCCAAACCACACACTTCTGTGCTTCACCTGCTACACTAATTAGGGCTCTTCTAATGGTATATGCACTATTTTGTCCATACTACGACGTGTGCTAGTATGTGGCCTGGGACGCAGAAATAATGCAGACAAATCTCATCCCTTTAGATTTTAGCATCCATTTGTTATCACTACAGCAACAAATCAAATAAAATCAGGGCAATATATTTGCCTAGCAGTGTCTGCTAAAGGGCTAACCGTGACAGGTCAACTTTATTTCACGGCAGCAGTAACTCGTAGCTGGCAGTAATCAGTGGTATTTTCCACACTTTGCGCAGTGCTACGTTATTTCCCTGGTCTCCTGAATCCCTTCCAATGGCAAGATCAAAGATTTTCTACAATACTTAATATTTTGCTTGTGGATTTTATATTATTTATATTTAAACATTTGGTACAAAATTAACTCCATACCAGCTGACACTTGGCCATGGAAACCCATTTCATGAAGCTCCTGATGCAGTTTTTGCACTGTTGTTGCTTCCAGAGGCAGTTTGTAATTCTGCAGTGAAGTGATGCAACAGAGGATAGACGCTACGCACATCAGCCCTTGGCGGCCTCAATATGTGGGTTTGTGTGGTCTACTGTTTCCCTGCTGAGCTGTTGTTGCTCCTAAACGATTTCAATTCACAATAATAGCACCTAGGGTTTTCCAGCAGAGCAGAAATTTCACAAACTGATTCATGGCAATGGTGGCATCCTATGGTAGTGTCACATTTTTAAGTCAATGAGCTCTTCAATATGACCCAGTCTACTGCCAGTGTTTGTCTATGGAGACTGCATGGCTGTGTGCTTGATTTTATGAACCTACTGTGGCTAAAACACATGAACTCCATAATTAGGAGAGATGTCCAGATACCTTTGACCATTATAGTATATTACAGCATTCTTCAGCTCACAAGTGGTGTATAAAACCTCAATCAGATTAACTGTATTTCAGATTCTGTATACAATCTAGGTGTGGAAATAATGATAACAATGACAGCTGGATTCACTAAGGCCACACCAGTCTCAACTCATTTATGCTGTTACATTTGTGGTGACCTGTGTCAGCGTGTGATGGATGACCATGTCATACTGTTCCTTAAAGGGCTGAGGGTTGAAACTTGGCTTCTGATCAACAATCACAAAAGTGAATCACTGCATTTCTGTATGTCCAATTTATGTACCCTACTGAAAACAACTATCACCTGAAGGATTAAATTACCAAATCAAATGTAAACGTAGACATCATTTTGAAGACCTTCAAGAAGTAGCTTTGGAAAAAAGAAAAGTGAACAGATGTCATATAGGAACTGCATCTTTTATGACCTCTTAAGCATTATATGCAAAATGCTCAAATAACATATTTGACAAATTCTGTGGATCTAAGGCATTGGAAATTAAAGGACAACTATCATAATTATGATGATAATGATTGTGCTTTGAGATTCCTTAGGGTTCAGGCTTGAGTGCTTTTACGTGGATCCGTTGCTGCTCTACTTGTTAATTCCTAGTCTCTTCTGGAATGCAGAACCATCTCCCTTGGTGGCTTGCTGTTGGTAGATAAACCCACATTAATGTCAGAATACATTTATGAAAAGCTGTATTTTATATGAAGCAAAGGAAAATGAGTTTTCAGATACGTTTGTTTTTATTTAACATAATGTCTTCAGATGTACACGCACACACACACACACACAAATATATACATATATGAACAGTATTCAGGCACTATAAATCAGATATGTGAGAAGTTATATAAGAAGATGTTAATGCTGCAAAAGAAAAGGTTTTGTGCCAACTGCAACTGGTATCATCATATAAGACGCTGCAGTTGGGTGGGAAGATTTCATGCAACATGTAGATTATTGACATAAAATGCGATATTCAATAAGCTATCAGATATCACAATGACTATGAAAAGCAATAAATTATTATTAAAATAGTGTGCCTGTGACTGGACATGATGTAAGTATAAACTTGTTTTTTTTTTTCAATTTTTACCCGATTTTCTCCCCAATTTAGTCGTCTCCAATTCCACCCGCTAGTTCGGACTTCCCCAATCACACACGACGCTATCAACGCTAGGAGGACGAAGGCTAACACAGGCTTCCTCCGAGACCTGTGAAGCCAACCACCGCATCTTTTCGAGCTGCTGCTCACGCAACGTCATTGGACAGGTGAGCGCGCTCGGAGGAAAGCGCCAACCGCCAGATATGTTGCGTCAGCTAACAGACGCCTGTGCTGACTAGCATTGCGCTGAGTGAGTAATGGGGGGAGAAAGGCAGCCATCCCACCCACCCAGAGAGATCAAGGCCAATTGTGCTCTCTCGGACTCCCAGCTACGGATGGCTGTAGCATCACCAGGGATCGAACTCGCGATCTCCTGATGATAGGGCCAACGCTTAGACGGTTGCACCACTCGGGAGCCACACTTGTTTTTTTTGGATGTGTACATAGAAATCTAACCTCTCCTTTAAGCTAATGAAAAATAAAAAATATAAAAGCACAATTTACTATAATGCAAAATAAAAGAAATGGACTGCTACTTACATCAGAACTGCAAACACATTTATTGTGCACTGAAAGGCTGAGAAGTCAGCATTATCTCAAGTTTTTTTTAAATAAAGGCTACCAAAACAAATATATATTTATTTTAATATAGGCACACAAGAACAATACATATGTTTATTTATTTCTTTTTTGCTTAGTTATCAAATGTTTTTGTATGACAGTAGAAATTACTGCCTTGCACATGTAGCAAACACTGGCTGAAACTTTACTTCAAGCTGAGTGTTTACCCAAAAGCTAAGGGCCTTTTGGCTCCAGCGAGTCTGGAGTTGAAAGTGTAAATCTGTCGACTTAACACTCCCAACCCCAAACTCAGTCAAATTTACGGCTGAATCAAGAACCAGCACCCCTCTCCCTTGACCCAGGGGCCAACAGAACACCCCCCTCTGGAATGTGGCATATGGCTCTCCAAAGTCCTGTGGACAACTTTATCTTTAAGTAACAGAAAGTACATTTCTAAGGTATATATCCACTCCAAACTGCAACCATTCGTTAGAACTCATTTTAACTAAACTAGACATACCAAGAACGGAACTGATATGACAATCTGAACTGAAAATTTAAAACTTTCTTAATCCCCTGAGGACCTCAAACATGGACCCACAGCACCCCAAGGTGTGAAAACAAGAATTACCACATCACCACCGTAAGGACTGTTGCTCACAAAGGACCCCAGAAACACTCACTGATATGCATGTTTGACTATCAATCCTATCTAATATGCAAAAGATGATGCTTGTATTTGTGTACCCAGTTACTTAAAGTGTGTATTCTCCTTTATTTTACCAGATGTTAGGGATGTGTAGAATAACTGTCTGAAAGTTACTGAAATAACCATTTAAAGTAGTGATTTTAGAACACTAAGCATGCACCTAGGTTTTCTTTTCATTTATTATATCTAGTGTTCTATTTTACTATTCTCGTTTACTTGATTTTATTCTTTGAAGTGATGATTTTACTGTGTTAAATCTCCTGCCATGAAAAGACATCCAAAGGGTTACCTGTAAGACTATTTCTACCTTTACAATAGTTGTTTTCAGGTAATGTTGATAAAAACTGTAGGTTGACACACAAATGTTAGTTGTCTGTGTGGATTTTAGGAACTTAATTCAATGATCTCAAACTGTTTGGTTTAATCTAACTAAACTTTTCAAACCTAGAGAGAACAAAGAAAGAAGTTCCCTGGGAAGGCGCTCACAGAGAAACCACCCCCAATCAGAATCGAGAACTAGGAATAGCTAATTACCCGCTAGGTAAGAGAACCTATCACCAACTTCGCTCCACCCCTGAAGGGAGGGGCCAACAGCCGGGTAAAACCAGCGCGCACGCCAGTTCCAGTTGGTTTGAGCTCGCGTTCCAGAGAACAAGGAGAAACTTCCAGAAGTCTGTGCCAACCGCGGTTAGAAACAAAGTTTAGCAGTTTAGAACGCTTAGATCAGATCTGGATATTTTGTTGTTCGTGTAGTTTGTCTTTTGTTTATACCTTTAAGTTTAACCCAACCTTAGAGAAGAAAGTGAAGATTTCTTTACATGGCCAAGTAAGGAATTTCTTCAAGTTTCAGCTCTGACGAAGATAGGTAGTTGATTCAGGTTAGCACCCTCGAAATTTGACTGCACTTCCCCAGCCCTAAGAAGAAGCCCAGAGACTCTGAAGCCCAGCCAGAGCCGCGTCTCGACCGGCGAACCGAATCCTCGCCAGAAGACTGCCCTGGTTTCAAGCTCCATCCTCAAACAGCCCTAAGAAGAAGCCCAGAGACTCTGAAGCCCAGCCAGAGCCGCGCCTCAACCGGCGAACTGAATCCTCAACAGAAGACTGCCCTGGTTCCAAGCTTCATCCTCAGGCAGGCGAGACGCCGAAGTCGGTCATCAACTGCAGCGCGTCACCTGTGCGAAGTCCCACCAAGACTCCAGGGCCAGCGAAGAAATGCCCAGCGTGTGAGCTCCAGCAGGTCCTCAAGCGACCCATCTCAGAGGACCCACAGTCCTGTCTCCCAACTTCCAAGTAAGGCTGGCTATCTTTCATTTGTGCAGTCAAGGTTCGACGCTATTTTATTCGATAAGAATTCTCTTTTAGATATATGCTAGCTTAGGTTAAGTTGCCCTATAGATCCTTTGTCCTTAAGTCTCGAGTCGCTTTCCCAAGGAGCGCCCTCAGCCACCTTTGCATACCATTTTACACTGTGAAATAAGTTACATAACCTGAGCCATTCCTTTGTTTGTTTATTTCTTTTCTTTTGTTTATTAACCAAGTTATCCAACTGTAGTGTCATATTTAGCCAATCAAGTTACTTTTGATTGAAGCATCCTCGGCACTAGTGTCTGTCTCTTCCCTGCATTGGTCTGTAGACTTTAAACAAAATCCAAGTTACCCTGACCTCCTTTTTAGTTTAAGCAATAATAATCATTTATAATCAGATTAAAATTGCAATAACTGTTACACACACTTGATACTGGGTGTGAAAATTCTAATGAATAATGCATTTTTACAGGCTCGTAGTTCAGGATGGAGAAATTTCTGAGCTGTGCACATGTATGTTCTTCAACTGGACATTTAGCCTAATGGTTAAGTTACTCATCTTCTATGTGGGAGACCGCCAATGATATGATGTCTCTCTGGCACTACGTGATTGCTCTGTCATCACCACTCTAAGGATGTGACTATCACGATAAAAATAGCATTTATCGTACAGCCCTCATGCTGGGGAAGGAGCTTCCAACAATTCTCAAGGACAACAACACTCGAAGAATAAAAGATACACAGTCATAGTACAGACTTTAAACAGGCCTGTCAGAACATCTGGTTTGACAATAATAAAGTGGAAAGTTCACTGAACCAGAACTAATCATGCCCAGACAGGTTCGCCACACAAGATTTGGCAACGTATTCTTAGACTAATAAGGAAGGCAAGACCTGAAAGCAGCAGGAACAACAGTTACACAGACAACAATAAGCAATGAACTGTACTGCAACCACCTCAGTTCCTACACCCCGCACAAAACTCCTCTGCTAAAAAAGAAGCACAGCAATGCACATCAAAACTTTGCACAGAAGCATCTAGACAAATCAGAACGCTTAACAGATTTACTCTGGTCAGAGAAAAAAAATACAACTCTCTCGCAATATGTCAGCTCATCATGATTGGACAAAGAAGGTTGCACGTATGATCCTAAGAACATATACCCACAAGAAAGTACGGATATTTGGAAGCATCATGATGAAATTAAAGCTAATTTTTCTTAACATAGATGTATTGAAGCTCTAACTGCCAACAAAGACTGCAACAAAATACTAATGTTATTCATTTGTAGTGTCTAAATATTTTTTCCCCTATCACTTTTGTTTCTCAAACATATCTTTATGCTTCTGAATGCACTCTTTTTTGTTCATATTCACAGGAAAAGAAGACATTGTGTGTGAATTTTAAGTCCATATATGCACTGGAAGTATATTAGACAACAAAAAGTATCTGAATATTTCTTTCCCCTCATACGCTGCAGTAGGACATGTAGCCAGTAACAAAGTATAACATGTAAACTCAGTATACCCAAGAGTGGAAAGAGTACTAAAAATCCCTACTTAAGTACTCTTACTGTAGTGATAATTTACTGGAGTACAAGCATTAATAAAGGAAAATACTCAAGAGTAAATAAGTAGTTTGCTGGAAAACTACTTGAATAATTGAGTTCTTGGTATTATATATTACATATTACACAAGAAAAAAAGCTTTAAGTCCTGAGACTGAACACTGATCTCTCTGTGTACTGTGTAAAAAACAAAGTTTACATTACAAAATGCATTTTATGGCTAGATTGTTAAATAAGGCTTTCTAGTTCACCTGTTTCCAAAACCATTAACAACAACCAAACTGCATCGTGTTGATTTTCTTTTTTGTGATATATTCCTCTGATAATCATTTTTTTAATTCAATTGACAGTTATACATCTGAACAGCCTCTCTTTCTCTCTCACACATACTCAACTTCATACTCCACTCGCAGTCTGACCAGATTACTGTTTAGACCATGAAGTCTAAAAAACAGAAAGTGAAAAACAAATCAGAGTGCCACAGAATTACTGTGCAGATGTGTATTTTCACTAGGTTTCCCACATCACAACCTTTTAAAAACTGTATAATCTTCAAAACTGTGATAAAAGCGTACTGCAAATGGGTAAACCGTAAGCTATGGGTTAACTAAAGTAATGTTAACTAACTAACAAGCACTCGCAATGAAACATATGCAACGGATTATAAGTTTAAATAACAGCCGCCAATTTATCGTAAAACAGGAACGTAAAAAGATGAGAGCAAACACAATAGCAGCTACTTGTTAGGATTTGCCAGGTTAGCTAGGCAGTTGCTCCTACAGGCTCTAGATGAGATGTTGAATGCGGGGATCTCGGCAGGTTTCAAGAGTCAGGTTTAGCAGCTGATAGTTTTCTTTACTTCATTTTAAGTTGACCGTTTAGATAAAGCATGTCCTGTGTGCGTGCTGGTAAAGTATCTCCTCTTAACTAGCCAAATCTCTCTATAGTATTTTTGCAGCTGCTGCTCTGTTTTTGACTGGCTATAAGAACTAAATATTTTAAATTTAACTGTGCTTTCCTCTAATTGGTTGTTGAGTTGATATGCTCATAATATATTTTTACTTTGTAATTTCATTATAAATTGAAACAGCAAAATAGAAGTATTTCATTAAAATGAATGATTATTAGTTATTTATTATGTATTATTTACTGTAAAGTATACCATTATAGGAAAAATTGTACTCATGGACAGCAATAAGAGTAAATTTAATTAATTACTTTCTACAGTATACCTTACTGATTTCTTTGTGCCGCTCCTTGCTGACAATCTCTTCCAAAACCTCTCCATCTCCCCTTACAAGCCTGTGAAAAAATAAATATATATGAGTGAATGGCATACGTACACAATGAGTCAATGTACTTATCTATTACATTTCTACTACACACCTTGTGCGCCCTGTGGCAGGGTCAAGGACTCTACGGATGACACTCTGTCTGGCTTCATACTCCTCCTTTGTCATAGGCCGCTTGGTGGAAAAACTAGCCTTCTGCTCATCAGTCATCACTGATGAGAATAAAAGGACAAGAACATTAAATCCTGAATGAAAGAAGTACCAAAATGTTTCCTGTTTCAGCAGTGTTTATACACACATTTTCAGGAGTGTAGACTGAATTTTTCCTTGTAATTTTAAGAACCATTTCCGGCCTTTTATATTCTAAAATATACACTGAGCTGCAAGTTTACTATTAACTCCTACTTTGTACCTACACTCTCTGGCCATTTTATCAAGTATACCTATCATATAGGTATACAATTACTGACTGTAGCTAATCTATGCTGTGTGGACCCAACTCACAAACACAATTTGTGTTTATCATCCTCTAGTCCAGTTTCTGAGGAGTTAAAAAATCCCTGCAATGCACGTACACTCGCACCAGCAAATAACACACTACCTTGACACTTTGTCAGTGTCACTACTATGTTAATAACAGTCCACCACTGAAAAATATCTTGTCAGTGGTGGTCCTATGGTGGATCCTTTTCATTGGTAAATAAAGGGTAAAGGGTGCTGATAAACTATGTAGTAGAAAATGGGCTACAGTCAGTAAACGTATAACTACATTTATTTACATGGTAGGTGTAACTAGGGGTAGGCGACATGGAAAAAAATTTGATATGCACATGATACGCATCATAATGTTTAGTTTTTCCAAGGTGTGATAAGGTGGCACAGGGAAAAATGATCCAGTAAAGCCACATTTAAAAAAATGAGTACAATGATTTTATGCAATGTTTCACATTGTTTTACACTGCACTAAATCCAGTTAAAAAGAACTAATTATGCTCTCTTTGTAATGAAACATGCAGTTGGTTAGTGCTCTTTATGTACTGAATATATCCACTATATGCTCAGAAATGCATAACATAATGTGATGTAATTATTCACAATAACAATAATTATTGTCATATTCCCCACTTCTAGGTGTATCTGTAAAAATGGCAAATAAGAATAAACAAGAGACAGGTGTACCTTATAATGTAGCAACTCTATTTTCTCTGTAATGTGAAGTGCTAAAATAACTTAGATTCCAACTATATATTCAGAGATATTTCAGCAAGGCTTAAAGGGCTCACATACCTGGACCATGTTCTGTAGTATCGTCACTTTGCCAGGTCTCTAAGCATGACTGGGGTTTTTCTATGTGAACTGATACTGGAACAGTAATCATAAGTGGTGCTTTACTCGCTGCTTTCTCAGCTTTAGCTGCTAACTTCTTCATCTTCTTTAGTCTTTTCCTCTCCTTCTTCTCTTTCTTCTTTTCCTTTGCTTTCATTTTCTTAAGTCGCTTTTTGGCCTTTCTGCACTTTCTCTTCTCCTTGGCCTCTTCATCACTGGATGAGGTGGAGGAAGATGATGAACTATGTAATGACGATGATGATGATGATAATGAAGAACTCCTCCGTCTTTTATGTTTCTTCTCTGTTTTCTGGTCTAAATACAGATAAATTTCTTACTTTTTAGTTAAAGCCATAAATAGAATCCCAGTTTTCTACAATGTCTGGTTGCTGTCCAGTATTGAATATTTATGTTTGAAAAACTCTGTTAATGCAGTACCAAAAGCTGAAGATGGTGAGTAAAAAAAAGCCTTCAGCTGGCCATTCATATGGCCTGCATGTATTACAAGACATGCTACAGACAACTATCTCTTGTTTAAAATTGTGCTACCAAAATATGTGTATTACAACTCCGTTCAACTGCTCAGATTTGATGTATGATGACCTGTTAGGTCCAATTAAAATGTAGGTGGCAATTTTGTTACCTATATACCAAGGGTTGATTTCTCAGACATGGTAAAGTGTAGTCTTGGAATTAACTGCAGGTTTGTTCATCCAATTATTCTTGTAACATTAAGGGTATTAACAAGGAGTTTGTCCCCTAGCTGTGTGCACAACTGAAAACCTGTGTCAGCAGTGGGCACACCTTTAAGTAAGTTACTTCAGTAACTTGAAGAAGGTGTTTTGGATACTTTTGGACAAGCAATGTATACAACAAATACCATTGTTGCAAACATAAGTACACTAGTATGTCTACAACACTCTTGAGTGTGGTAACATGCAACGTTATTTGGAATTAATGTCAAGAAAATGTCTCTTGTGGTCAAACAACAGCTTTGGTATCAGTGCAATGAATTTTGATCTATTTCCCATACTTTTCCGGTCCCTTTAGGAAGCACGAGGCTGATGTTAGTTACTTATTCGCAGCTTCCAATTCGTTTGGCTCCTTATTTACAGCGTCTTATTCGCCAGCTGAAGTTAGCTCCTTATTTGCGGCTTCCCTTTTTGCGAATGACGGTAAAAAAGGGGAGTGTTCACAAACGCTATATGCTGCATAGTTTTTACTTTTAACAGACTCTGAGAGACTAATGATGGAGACATAATAACGAAGGAGTTAGGAATGTGTACTGTGTTTGCCTTCCCATTGTGAATATGAAGATTATGACTAAAAAGGAATAAAATAAAAAATCCAAATTTAATGTGATTAAATCTAATGTGATTAAATTGAATTTTTTCTGTAAGGAAAACCGGGTTTTAGCCTGGCCCAAGCTGATTTAATACATTAAAATAACTGCCAACATGGCTCACAGAGCAGTAATGCACACAATGAAATGAATAGGAAGCTGAAATTCCAGGTGGATATTGAAGGCATTATTCACATCGGGCCAGGATAATTCCATATCCTAGACATAGATTGAGTCTCCCACTGTAAGGAAAAACTGTCTTTGGTCTGGCCCAAGCTGATTTATCACTAAAAAAATAACTGGCAACATGACACATAGAGCAGTGGTATCCACAGGAAAATGAATAGAAAGCTGAAATTCCAAGTGGATATTGAAGGCCTTATTCACAACGGGCCAGAATAATTCTATATCCTAGATGAAGATCCACTCTCCCACTATAAGGAAAACCTAGATTCAGCTTGGCCCAAGCTGATTTAATACATTAAAATAACTGGCAACATGGCAAATTATGCAGTAATGCACACAGGTAAATCCATATGAAGCTGAAATTCCAGGTGGATTTTGAAGGCCTTCTTCATGTTGGTTCAGAAAAATGACATATCCTAGATAAAGATCCAGTCTCATATGTCATATTCCATAACTAAAAATAACTGGCAACATGGTATACTGAGCAGAACAGCGACACACCTTGGTTTTAATTTCTCACAGTATTGTTACTGCACAAAGAATAAGTATACACACTTGATTCTACAAATAAATGAAAAGTAAAGAACTTAAAAAACTCATGGGCGTTAAAGCCTTATAAGGCCTTTTAACCAAGGGGAAAAAATATATTTTTAAAATATACTAGGAATTCAAGAAAAAAAATATTATTTTTATTAAAAGCAATGGTTTAGGATGTTTTCGTCATGTGGATGTGGAATTTTTCCAATATCTTCTTATGACGATTTCTAACATGACTGACCCCTGAAAAATTCAGCTGTTAATCTCCTGTCATTTTCATAACTTTATGCACAATTATTCAATATGACATTTTGCCAGCTGGTTCTAGCTAATAATCATTAATGCCTTCAAAATCTAAAATTTAACATTTTTATTAATCTAAATACACTATTGCTCAGTATACCATGTTGCCAGTTGTTTTTTGGTATGACGTCACATTGGACAAGACTAGGCTAAAACCAGGTTTTCTTTACAGTGGGAGACTGTATCTCTATCTAGGATATGTCATTTTTCTGGCCCGATATGAATAAGGCCTTCAATATCCACCTGGAATTTTAGCTTCCTATTCGTTTACCTGTGTGCATTACTGCACAATGTGCCATATTGCCAGTTATTTTAATGTATGAAATCAGCTTAGGCCAGGCTAAAACCAGGTTTTCCTTACAGGGGGAGACTGGATCTCTATCGAGGATGTGTTATCATTCTGGCCCAACGTGAATCAGGCCTTCAATATCCATCTGGAATTTCAGCTTCTGATTCATTCACCTGTGTATATTACTGCATTTCTTTTAACATATAAAGTCAGCTTGGGCCAGGCTACAACCAGGTTTTCTTTACAGTGGGAGACAGGATCTCTATCCAGGATATGAAATTATCCCGGCACAATGTGAATAATGCTTTTAGTATCCACCTGGATTTTCAGCTTTCTATTCATTTTATTGTGTGCATTACTGCATAATGTGCCATGTGGCCAGTAATTTTTAATGTATTAAATCGGCTTGGGCCAGGCTAACCTAGATTTTCCTTACCCTGGGAGACTGGATCTCTGTCTGGGATATATATAATTATCCTGGACCGAAGTGAATAATGCCTTCAGTATCCACCTGGAATTTCAGCTTCCTATTCCTTTCATTGTGTGCATTACTGCTCAATGTGCTATGTTGCCACTTATTCTAATGTATTAAATCAGCTTGGGCCAAGCTAAACCTAGATTTTCCTTACAGTGGGAGAGTGGATCTCTATCTAGGATATAGAATTATTATGGCCTGATGTGAATAAGGCCTTCAATATCCACCTGGAATTTCAGCTTTCTATTAATTTTCCTGTGGTTACCACCGCCCTATGGGCCATGTTGGCAGTTATTTTAATGTATTAAATCAGCTTAGGCCAGGCTAAAACCAGGTTTCCCTTAGAGGGTGTTACTGGATCTGTCTGAGATATGTAATTATTCTGGCCCGATGTGAATAAGGCCTTCAATATCCACATGGAATTTCAGCTTCCTATTCATTTTATTGTGTGCATTACTGCTGTATGTGCCATGTTGCCAGTAATTTTGAACATATTAAACCAGCTTGGGCCAGGCTAAAACCAGGTTTTCCTTCCATGGGTAGACTGGATCTCTGTCTGGGATATGTAATTATTCTGGCCCGATGTGAATAAGGCCTTCAGTATCCACCTGGAATTTCAGCTTCCTATTCATTTCATTGTGTGCATTACTACTGTTGTTATTTACCAATTTTTTTTTTTACAGGGACAGCGTTTTTCTGTGTTTAGAATCTGTTATTGGTTTCATTCCATGCAAATAAATCCCTCTGAAATTTCAGCTTCTTATCCATTTCCTTTTATGCACATTTACTCATTGTGCCATACTGCTAGAGATTTGAAAAAAAAAAAAAACTATTCAATTTAATCATATTAAATTTAGAGTTAGATTAACTTTAAATCTAATCTATAAACTCACCCTTATTTTTTTCTTCAGTCTCATACTTTGAAATGAATTGAAGGAACATCATACATTTACAGAATTAAATATTTTATTCCTTTTTAGTCATAATCTTCATATTCACAATGGTAAGGCAAACAGTACACATTCCTAACTCCTTCATTATTATGTCTCCATCATTAGTCTTTCTGAGTCTGTTCAGTAATGGAAAGGGAATTTGAAAATGCTTTACCAGTTGCTTATAGAGCAGTGGTCACCAACCGTTCTCCTGGAGATCTACATTCCTGCAGAATTTAGTGCCAACCTGCATCTAACATTCCGCCCCTTCCTTACCTTACAATAATGCAATCAAGCCAGCCAAGGACTTCTGAAGAAGTTAATTAGCTGGAGCAGGTGGACAAAAGTGTAGTTGGAATTAGATTCAGCAGGAAAGTAACGTTAGATCTCCAGGACCAGGGTTTGTGACCAGTGTTATAAAGGAAGCTGGGTTTTGGATTAGTTCAATTACGGAACAAAACTTAAAAATGTTAACAAATATTGTTTGCTTTGCAAAGGGTAGTCTTTGTGACTGTTACATTTAAAATCAAGAAATAGCCTACCTGTACTTTTGCTAGAGACACGTGCGTGAGGGTTTAAGCTAGCACTGCTAGAGCTTGAAGATGAAGAACTGGACCTCCGACGGTTCTTTTCTGGTCCTCGCGCTCTTCCTTTCCTACTTGCGGACCTCTCATGAGACCTGCTACGAGACCGGCTTCGCCCCATATGAATTGTACCTGTTTAATATTTACAAAAATGTAAATCTTTAATGGCTTCCTACTCCATATAGTGCAACACACTGGTCATGAAATAATGCTTTTTATAACCGAATAACGTTACTGCTCTAAGTCCAACATATTTTTTCTGGTAACGTTAAACGGCAGTTGCCTTGACCATTTATGTACTTCATTTGGGGTCCAAAACAAGACAGATGTGTGTCTTAATTCGCATACCACCCTCCCTAGCAAGGCTTTTGAATTTAGCTCACTAGCTAACGTTATCTCTGAAAAAGCGTAACCAATGGTTAGCTAACGATGCATGTTAACATGGCAACAAGCAACTAGCCGTTCATCGCGTTTAACTCAAACTGAAAATTCCGTTACCTACCAAGGAATCAGCAGTCAGTCTGTTTAAAAAAAAAATACAAAAACGCCAGGTAAATACATGAAACTTGGGCCAAATTCTCTACTTTGTGCATTTCGTTTTCTTGGTGGACCGTATAAACCCAAACGCACGTGCTGCCGCCTACCGTTTGGAGTGCAGACACTGGAATTTAAAGTTGGCTCAATAAAACTTGATGTGGCTGTTTTTGAAGGCTTCGTTGGGTTAACATGTGCTTAAGGTATTTATTTTAAAGTGAATAATAGTTTGTTGTTTACAATTGTAATTATATTTGTTATATATTTACATGTAAGTAAAAAGCAAACAAAACAACTAATATTGAATTCATATGCATCGGTGCATTTATACATTGGGAAATCTATATATTTTTAATGTGTTTTAGTGCTTAGAATGCATTGGAATGAACCAATACATTTGCAATGCGTCTCACCCATTGGCACATATACCAATGTATTTTTTGAAAAAGTCACCTGACGGCCCTTTATTTTTCAGAATGCAATTGTCAGGTTATTTTTTTCCCTTCGTTACTTATTTCTAAATATATTTTTCTTCATAAAATACACGGGTATGTATGTTTTCTATGGGAGATTGCAAATACATTGGAATGCATTTTGGGATGAACCAAACAAAGACAAACATTTTTTATCTTTTCATACATTGATATGATACAAATACAACAATGCATATTTATTTTCAATAGTTTATGTTTTTTTATTTATGTTCTAATTTATACTGCAATTATAAGTAATACATTATTATTTAGTGTTAAAATAAATATATTAAACGTTTTGGAGTACATTTTGCTCTTAATGGCAAATCTACATTCAAAATTCCACATAAAGACTATGCTTAATCTCTGTCTGGGAAACCAGCCTAAAATGTAAAATATGGCAGAGGAAATTAGTAACCATGACTTCGTAAAGGGAACACAATGATGCCAGAACAGGGATTTTTCGGGAATAGCATTTAAGTCAAACATATGTTGAAACAAAAAAAATAAAATAAAATGCCCCCCCCGCTTTGGGCCTCTGAGGGCATTGCATTGTGAACCATGTTTGGACAAGGCTAAACAAGAACCTGAACAAAATTATAAAGACAACATTTGAGTTGAATACTGTTATTTATTTGAACTACATGTACAAAAGCATTTGCAATGTAAACTTAAAGCTTTTTTCCATATAGAAATCTGACCTGTCATATCTGGGTGTTTCTTAATGTAGCAAATAGTGTTTCTCTTTGTTTCCACTCTCTCCCTTAAACCACTGCTCCAGGATCACCCCTCCTTGCTACACTCCTAAAACTATCAAGATAACGAATCGGTTAATTTACAAAAACACCATATTATTTACCATTGAATAAACTCTATTAAGCCACAATGATGTGAGCCCCTCTGAAAAAAGCAGATGTCTCAGCGAGAGGTCATTGAGGTCACTGAGATCTGCCTTGCTGACTGAAACATGTCATGGCCACCTTCTTTGCCCCATCTGTGTAAATTTATTCAACATATGTACATTAGATGAGCTAATAAAAGAAAAAAAACAGTCATGTACATATATGTATAAAAGAACAATTGAATTTCTAATATAAATGTGAATCTCTCTGTGCACATCAAAACAATGTTACATTTACTCTGAAAATAAATAAATATGCTTGCATTTCAAAGGAATGAGCAACTGCGTCCTATCAAAGAGTCTAACAAAGCATAAATAAGAAGCTGTAAAATCAAAACTTATCAATCTTTGTTAAATAAGCAGAACTGTTGAGGCATATTATCTAGATACATTACACAAAGCTTGTCATTTTTAGTTTGAGATGTGTGAATGCAGAAAACTAACACATTCACTTTGCCAAAACTTTAGTATTTCCAAAACATTCACTTTGTAGAACTGAGCTGATCTATGTGGAGCTGTGAACTACAAAGAGTGTGGTATCCAAAAATAGGACTTAAAGCTATTGCATTCCCATCTGGGAGGTCCTCCCAAAGTAAATGGGAGTATGGAATGTGAAATGCAGGGGGAGGGTGGCCAAGAGCATTAAGAGGATGCTACCATGCGCACCCTCTCTGGAGGGGTCAAAAGAAGGTTTTTCGCTGCCTTAATAGTGTTTTTCATTAACATGGCAACAGTCATGGGTCCAACGCCTCCTGGGACTGGAGTGATATAGCTGGCCTTCTTTCGCACACCTGAAAGAAAGAGAGATTCAGATTCAGTTCGAAATAACAACTTCAACTGGGTTTGTACACACAAACAATTTACATAAACATGTTGGTGTCACAACCAAACTATGTATCTCAAATAGTCTTAACTTTAATGTATGTTAACATATGTTAAAGTGTGTATGTACAAGATTTTATCAAAATAATTTATTGGTCCATTCATCATCAATCAAATGAAACAACAACTGGCATGTTCAAGTTGTGTAAAAAAAAATAAAAATAAAAAAATAATTGGTAGGGGAGGGCGGGTGGGACAGCCGCAGAAATTCAAGCATAGCAATCTCCACTGACAAACACTGAAGGTAGAAAGGGTCAAATTGAAGAGATCAGTCATGTTTAAATGTTATCACAAGGCCTCTTGTGGTTTAATGCTTTATCAAACAGTTTAAGATTTTCCAAACTATTGTGGTATATATCTCACAAAAAAAATCTGAAAAATAAAGTGCCTGAAATCCTAAGGTACATTAGCAAATGAACTTGTCAACACAATGTGCAAGTGTACAGTCTAAGCTGACTCAGTTGCAAGCTCTATATTTGTAACCTTCTTCATTACAGGGGCATTTGACTTACTGCAGCCAGCTAAACATTTTATCAGGAAAAAAAAAATTATAATTCACTCTACATTGATTGAATCGGCAAGTGATGATTAAAAAGATGATTAATAAGACTGTAGTCTACTCTCTTCCCTCTTTACCTTCAAAGTCCACATCACCAACAAGTTTGTTTTTTCCAGTCAGTGGGTCTTGTATTCTGTTGATGCCTACATCAATAACTGCTGCACCTTCCTTTATCATATCTGCAGTGATGAGGTTAGGAATACCTGCATGAAAGGTCAGAGATAACAAAATCAGTAGAATTTGCTAGAGATAACTGTGCAGTGTCAGGACAGAAAGTAACTGTGTGTGAAACCACAATAATCTCTTATGTTTCCTTAATGAATGTTACAATATGACATTTTGCAAATACGTTCTTGACTGAAAAAAATACAAGTAAATACTAGAAAAATAGTGGAATTGCAACCTGCAGCCGCAACAATGATGTCAGCTATTTTTGTGTGCTGGCGAAGTTGCTCCTTAGGAGTGTAACGGTGGGAGATGGTTACTGTGGCATCACCTAGGAGAAACAGAAGTGGATCACTGCAAAATTCTGCAATCATCATAATCCTCTGCATTAAAGGAAGAATCAAAACTTATACCTACTCTCGCGGTCATAAGGTTTCAGAGGTTTGACAACAATTTATAGAAAGAATGTATATGGTTAACCTATTCAACTGTAAGTATATGAAAAATCAGATTTTAACCCTTCGTCAGAAAATCTTTACATTTCAGATGAATCTGACTTACCTCCGGGCCTTTCATGCCTTCCATCTGTGTGTAGCAGCATAGCAATGGGCATACCCACATTCTTAGAACGACCAGCTACCAATACGTTCTTACCCAGCGTGGGAATGCCTATGAATAGAGAGAGAGAACAATCTTACACAAGCAAACAGGGCTTTTCCTACTGTGAGACCTTTCTAAAGGCAAGCAAACATAACAAATTTCACAAAACATAAAGCACATTTCACATTCACTGACACTTCTTACCAAGTACAACGTCCTAAAATAAGTTCATACTAGGTCAAATTATTTGCACAAAAATATCTGTGATATTTTGACAGGTCCTTGACAGTACAACACTACTATGACTTTTCTCATTGAAGTTTATAAGCATTACATAATTCTGTGACAATACCTCCACATTGTTTTATAATATGGAGAGCAGTAACACCTGGGCTGGGACCTGTTTTAAACTATCATTAATTAGCCTTTGTAAGTACCTGTACGCTTAATAATCTCCCACACTCCCCATGGTGTGGCAGGCAACATAGTGGACTGGTCCAAGCACATACGGCCAACATTGACCACATGGAAGCCATCAACATCTTTATCTGGGCAGACTGCATTACATATGCGGCGCTCGTCAATGTGCTCTGGACGTGAGAGAGAGAGAGGGTCAAAGGCTTTTAAAAGGTTGTGACCAGAGACCAGATTCAATAACATGTATGGATCCAGTCATGAAACGTCAGATATTTTTGTCTCTAACCTCTGGGTTAAAAGTGATTATCTGAAGTCAAGTATACACAATACAAATACCATTTCATATATTGTGAAAGGCACGTAGTGAAAATAAGTAGTAAATATTAAACCACAATAAATTGTTAAACTCATTCTTTATATATATATATATAATATTATATATATATATATATGAACTTACCAGGTAAAGGCAGCTGGACCAGAAGGCCATCTACTCTGTGATCAGTGTTGAGTTTGTCAATCAGCTCCAGCAGCTCTTCTTCAGAAATGGAAGACGGTTTCAGTATAGTCTCACTACTGATACCTACACACAAAGACAAAGAGACAAAAAAAACAAGCTCAGAATTAAGCAGGCCAATCTTAACTTAACTAGTATTTTAACCATATTGTGCATCCCTAGTTGAGATAGAAGTAAAAAAGACAGAAATGTGAAAAAAAAAGTTAAGGATACACCATGTGGGAAAAGAGGGGTAAGACATCACTTATCAGTAAGTGCCAGAGGCAACATACGCCTTTATCAAATTTGACACAGAATAGAGGTATTCAAGTCACACATTTATAGCATTCTATTTGATACCCTTCAATCCAGAGATGGGAAGTAAAATTTTGCTGAATTTACTACCACTGCTTATTTATATATATAAATATATCACTTTTAATTCCTGTGTCAAAATATGCAAGTATTAAGAAAGTACACTGCATTCTATAGGTGACCCTACTTTTACTTCTACTTGAATCATTAACACACTCAAGAAACAATTATGTTGGAGCATGTCTACTTCAAAACAAGTCAAAATGTGAGAATGATGCACTTCCTTTATCCCCACTTTTACAGCACTCAGCATGAAGACGTATACGGAAAACTGAGGGAAGATTAAAAAAAAATCTGTGCAGGATTCCAGTGGATAAATGTCCAGGTTAAGTTTCTGTTCTTACCCACATCAGCAGCAGCACGAGTCTTGTTCAGCACATAGGAATGGCTGGCTGGGTTGTCACCCACTAGCACCACACTCAGGTGGGGTCGTCGGTTACCAGCAGAGACCCACTCCTCCACATCAGCACGTGCCTCATCACGGATCTGACGGGCCAGCTTCCTGCCTGAGATAACCACAGCCTCTTGTCTGAGGACGGAGGAGTCAAAATTCTGCAATTAGTCAGTTAATCACATTCGATTAACCATAATTATAAAGTTAACAGTTTGTTTAACACGTTCCTTCATTGGAAACAACAATCTAACCTTTATCACTGATACTGAATGCACATAAATTGGTGTGTCCATCAGGCTCTGCTTCTTACTGTTAGAGCAACCAGTAGGAAAACTTAAAATATGCATTAATCATTGCCCCCTCACTGAGAAAGTAAGTATTAATCAATAATTTAAACTTTTTTACATTTTCATTTTTAAGTCTAGTAAACAAATTTAAATAAGCAATTGCAAAGCTCTAGTTTTAGCTCTAAATTTGAATCAGCCATTCTATTTTGAAAAGGACAAAAGCCTTTTTCAAATACAAGCAAAATACCCATTTCATGTAGCAAATCAAACAACCAGAGAATCATAACAGGGTAAGACACACAGCAGTCAGATCTTGGACATTCATAGTGAATGCTAACAGTCACACTCACTCTACAATGAGTCCCAAAGTAAATTGGGGAACTTAAGGTGAAGGTCAATGAAACTGGGCCTCCTTGAACATGATGGTAGACTAAATATAGCAGAGGTGGTAGCATGTTACAGTCTGACTGAAGGCATATAAGCTTCTTGGAGCTCCCAAAACCAAAGCCTTCCAGTCTGGAATGTGCTGGGAGTACACGAGGAGTTGCGATTGGAGATAACAATTTCAGATTGTTAACTGTTTTGAATGTGATTTAGCTTACATAAGAGGCCATATTGAAAAGTAATGAGCCATTTGGCATGATGTAAGAGGCCTCTTGATGTGGCAGCAAACAGTTCTTTCAGTGACAGGGAGTGATTTCCAACTGGGCTATTGCTGTTATACACACATTTATAGGTATTCTTAGTCTTCAAAGACCTGCCCAGTAAGTTAAGAGCTCACCTTACGTGAGAGTGCAAATCTCTACAAAAAATGATCAGCTCTAAACTGTATGCCTCATTAAAAACTATTGAAACAGCTACACTCGCCAAAGCCTTGTTTTTTCTAAATGATTTAGGCAGTTCACACTTGCTTCATAGCAACAATGCCTACAGGGTCAACTCTTTGCTAGATGTTTCTATGACCTTATGTGAACTTGTAAGATTTATTTATTTTTTTATCTCTTGAATCTCAGTTTCTATCCAAAGGCAATATAATGTACTTGTCCAAAAAACATTTTAAATCTAGGAAAATGCTTAATGTTGATTACACATTTACACAGTGGTTTAAAAAATATTGCTATTTTAGGAATTTAAGACTAAAAAACACTGCACATGCCCGTGAGAATCAGGGTGTGCATTCGTAAACGACCTTAGGAATGAGAGTGCTGATCTAGAATCAGCTTTTGTGACCGTTATCATCATCATGAATATCAATAGGAGTCTAATGGTAACTCATTTTACTCGGGATTCGTTTGTGAATGCCAACCCAGAATTTCCAACGTTTCGTCCTTTAATGAGAGACGTTTTGTGTATAGTAACTTGTAACGAAGTCATGTGTGTAAGCCACGCAGGAAGTGTATGCAGCGCCCAATCAATTTAGCCGCTCAACCCAATAAGAGAAGATGTGGTCGCAGTAAAGACATATTTTTAATAAGAACAAACACGTGACCGATGTTTAGGTGGCCACATAATAATACAGACCTGAAGCGAGAGGGAACAGATCACACACAAAATTATGTAACGTTACTACTGATAAGGCGGTAGGTTGCCTCACTGCAAGCGTTCTAAAGGATTTCATCAGCCACAAGTGAGTGATTTCTACCGGCTAACCGCGGGGGGGCGCACAGTGCCATTAGAACTCCCATGTAAGCTCCCATGTTAAAATATTTGTTACATAACGCGAACAGCCGAACCACGGAACAGCATCTAACGTACTTCTGTCCGCAGATGACAGGACATATTGCCTACAGGATCTACAAGTGCTGACAACAGTCCCATTTCGCAAACACATAAATCGTGACCGCTAAGTCGGCTTTGAGTTACTGTCAAACGCGACAGTACGCTAAATGAGGCTTTCTCTAGATTGTTTGGAACTGTGTAAGATACAAACAACGCATTGTACTAACACACCCACTTTGTTTTGCTATCAGCAGGAAGGCCACGTACCTTGACGCCGATAAATGAAGGCTACATGCTTGATGGTGAGTATGTTGGCAAAGCTTCCGCAGCGTTCTCAGCGTGGCCATGATGTAGCCTCTGTGACGTCAAATCGAATATATATATACATAAATGGATTGCGATCTATATCTAAAAATAAATAAATAGATAGATAGATAGATAGATAGATAGATAGATAAAAAGGACCCAGAACGGTGCCGTGAAGGGCTGAGGCCGGAGAGCCGGATACCTTCCTCAGTCAGAGCAAGCGGAGGGCAGTACGCCGTTTTAACCTGCGGTGTGTACGTCATAGAATGGGATGGATTACATCGCAGGACTCCGCCTATTGGCCTCCTCAAGCGCAGGATAGCAGCGACACACACACACACACACATACACATACACACACACACACACACACATATATATATATATATATATATATATATATATATATATATATATATAAAAAATTTATATTTTTTCTCTAATAAAGTTTATATTAATCATACAATAGCACTGATGTTTCTTGTATGCGTAAAGCCCACTTTCAACAACGTATATCCTGGGGTGGGGGAGAAAACTCTTGAAAGTGGTCTATAAAGCGTTTTCGTAATAACATATATCATTAAACTAAAATTGAATAATGCTGACAGATTACAGAAAGGAAACATTGGTGACTACTATTTAAAAAAAGTGAAATCTGAGCATAGAAGTTAATCGAGCTCTTACTACCTGCATAAATTAAAGAAACAAAATAAAGATAGCGCTCATATACACAGAACCTGGTGTCGGTTCAAGACCTGCTATAAATAAATCTTGCTTATTTTGCATATGTGGTACGCTACTGTTTTGAGCAGTTCAAAAAATCTGAAATTTATGGTGTCCTCATTACACTGTATTCGTTTCGTTTCCTTCTGGGCTACGTCAACCCAGACCAAGGGATACAGTGCTGTTGCAAACACTTCCTGTTTCAAGAACTTTTCATGTTAACTGTCTTTTCATGTTAACTTCGAGAAAGACTTTGTTTACAAATAACGTTGGTTTCATGCATTCATTAACGTATCCGTAAAGAATTTTGATTTAACCGGCCATACTTTTCTCTACCTGGTAAATTGTTTCGGTAACGACGTTACTTGGAGTTGAAGCAAAGTTAACGGAAATGAGTTTCTTATTGTAAGTACCCTATGTTTAACGTTTGTTTTCCAGTTGTAACAGTTAGCTCGCCAGATGTTAATATGGTATTTAGCGGGGCAACAAGATTATTAAATAGTTAAATATAATATTAAACAGTTTCAGCTCGAGCTAAGGTGTAGATAGTAGTAGCTAATGTAGCTAGCTAGCTAACCTTATCATTACTGCTAAAATGACTTCATGTCAGCTAACTTAGCCAGTTAACCAAATATGAAGCAGAGTATCTAGCTTAGTTAACTAACGTAATTCAGCAAACCCAACTACAAAGCTCAACCACGACAAAACTTTGTTTCAAATAAATTGCAGACTAACCTTTTGGGCTTTCCGAGCGTTTTATATATCTAGGCGTTAAAAATCCTCAACCGTCTTTAATCAAACTTATGTTTTGGCTAACCTGTTGAAAGGAAACCGACGTTTTTGACCTTTAAAAGATTTGTTTTGGTCGTCAGGTAGCTAGCTAGCTATGTTAATCTAGCCAGCTGGTGGTTAACTATGTTTTCTCACAACAACAGACCTCTTTAGAAGAGTTGCCTGATAATAATTTAATGCGAAATAATGTTAAAATGCACAGTTACAACTACACTGATTTTGATGCTATAAATAAAACAGAACAATGTAATTAAAGACGTATCAGCGATATATTAGGCCAGATTTTGTACTTATTTTTAACACTTTTCTTAATTTCATAACATGTTAACCTACGCTACGCAGCTAGCTAGAATAGTATTAATTCGTGGAAAGTATTCTATGCGTGACACTTTTCCTTCCTCAACTCTACTTAGCAGCACATTGGATAGAAAATGAGATATGAGTAAGAGGGTGAAGTGTAGCATGGGCTTTACTTCAAGGGTGTTTGCGTCTATGTACGAAGAACCACGCAGACCATTTAGTGCGACAGCCGTTTTTACATACAGCAGTCTCCCTATTTCCAGGGACCAAAATAATTGAATGGTTTAGGCATATTAAGATAAGTTTAAATACATTGGTTATGCGTGTTACTGGCCTGTCTGCTAACCACAGGCATCTTTACTCGTTGCACTGTATGTGTTTTTTTTCTTTTTGCTTGTTTTAGGATGAGTTTAGGTTGGCCATCAGTCTTGCCCCCAATAAGTAAAATAAATAAGTGGGATTGAGTTCTAGTTCATAGAGACAGAGTTGCTTTAGCTCTATGTATCATTTTGCTACAAGGTGAAGGTGCAATGCATTTGAGCCATATGATTGGACCTGAACATTTAAGATGCTTTAGATCTCATCTAGCTGCTGCCATTGACAATGATGTCAGTTTTACTGCCAGCCATACATGCCCAAGCCATATTGCTGCTTCCTCTGAAGCGGTATGACTGAGTAATGGCTGGTTCCTTTTTTTGCATACATGCCTATCAGTTTTTTACCATTTGAAATGATGGTGTACACCTATTCCTTCTACCTTTTTCTTTGTTTTAAATATAGGCATACACATTATTTTTTAAAAATTGTGATTTTTAAGGACATGCCCCGGTTGTTTTTCCACTGTGAGCGACTGAATGGTAATATGTGATCAGGTAGATCCAGCTACTGCACCTTTTTGAATGTGCAGCTCAGTGTGCCAGCTTAAAATGTTTGCAAAAAGCCTGTTTTTAAACAGATTAGCTTGTATATTACTAAAACTGACAAGACAGAGAAGACTGTACTGTATTTTCACCTAAAGAAAGTATGGTCAGACGTTTTTCATTTTTTCTTTGGCAGAGGATTAAGTTTCAAGGCCTTTGCTACCTCAAATGTACATTTGTCAGAATTTCTGGGATTTATGCTAGACATGAATATGTGTAGTTCTGTATAGCAAGGTTTGTTCTGCCTCTGATCCATATAATTTGGGAGGTTCCAGGAGGGCAAATGTCAAAAGATGAAGTCAAAACTAAACTCATATGTTAATACTGTGTCATCCAAAAACCTATGATATTTCCATTTAAACTATCAGACCAGTGTGCTTTTGTATGAGAAGCCAACTTGTGAACCGATTAGTGGTACCATACTGAGCTCTGTCCTTAGAATGGCTCCAGAGTGGCTCAGAGTAGTGACTCACAGCCCGTTATTGAATTATCAGAGGTATGCAGTCCTTCCTTTGGAGTGTTAAAAAATACAGTCAGACAACTGCAACGGTCGTCACCTTGGGATCTGAGACATTATTTACATGAAGCATAAAAAGAATTATTGTCAGATGTAAGAATTTTATCACAGTTGTTGTCACCTTGACACAAGATGATGTTCGTAAGTGAGCAGTGATGTACTGTTTGGTACAGAGGCACTGGGGTGATGATTTAAATCATGCTTAATTGAACTGTTTAAAGGCTAAATTGAAAAAAAAAAACAAAAACATTTTTTGCCTTTGCTCTAGTGGAAGTCGGTCCTCAAAGACATTCAAGCCAAAGAAGAACATTCCAGAGGGTTCTCATCAGTATGAGCTCTTGAAGCATGCTGAAGCCACTTTGGGAAGTGGCAACCTTCGAGCTGCTGTTATGCTGCCAGAGGGAGAAGACCTTAACGAATGGATAGCTGTCAATAGTGAGTGTCTATGTTTGCACTGTTTTGATCTTTGAAAAACACAGGAACTAGAGAGGTTTTTCATTTTTAGAACATTTAATAATGTTTTAGAGGTTTTTCTTCAAGTTTCGTTTCTTGTTTTTTTTGTTTATTTGTTCTTATTTTGCTGCAATGTTTACTGCACATTTATCTTTTGGGAAATTAACAAAATGATGCTGGAATCTCATTAGCCCGATCAACTACTTTAGTTTTTGTCTGTTTTAGCTGTGGACTTCTTTAACCAGATCAACATGCTCTATGGAACCATTACTGAATTCTGCACTGAGACTAGCTGCTCTGTTATGTCTGCAGGGCCCAGGTAAAGAATAATCCTCTTGATTTAGGGATTCTGTATATCTGTTCAGGTTCCTAGTATGTTTCACAAATATGTTGTGTTACTGTCTTTAATCTGTTTGGATTAAGTATATGTTTAAATATCTGTTATTCCTTCAGCCATTTTTCCCCCATTTTTAAATTGTACATATAACTGAGTACTATATGTAATCAAACATACTGATTCTATCGATAAATTTAACTTCTTATTCCTTAAGTAGAAAGTGAAACTTACTAGCATACTTTGCATACAACTGAAAAACAATGAGTTTTGACAAAGGTTTTGGTATTTTGTCCAAATACCCTTACACCCAATTGTGTGTCATGCTTCTACAGGTATGAGTATCACTGGGCTGATGGCACCAATATAAAGAAACCAATCAAATGCTCTGCTCCAAAATACATTGACTACCTGATGACTTGGGTTCAAGATCAGCTGGATGATGAAACCATCTTCCCCTCCAAAATTGGTAAGCATTGTTTTCATTCTGAATGAATTATTGTAGAATCAGTTAAAATCATGCTTATTGCTTGCTTTCATACACTGATATATAATAACCTTAAAATTCATTTATTTACATCTTTAATTTATTTACACCACTATGTTCTGTGTGTGTCTGTCTGAAGAAATTAGTTTGCAAATCTATACTGCAGTGGTGTAGTGTACCAGTAATTCGCCCATGGTGCATAGTGATAGTTCTTTCTCTTTTCCAGGTGTGCCTTTCCCAAAAAACTTCATGTCAGTGGCAAAGACCATTCTTAAACGCCTTTTCAGAGTCTATGCCCATATTTACCACCAGCACTTTGACTCTGTCATACAACTGCAGGAAGAGGCCCATCTCAACACTTCCTTCAAGCATTTCATCTTCTTTGTGCAGGTAAGAGGACACAGACTAATGCAGGCTTCGCTAGAGAAAGGCATCTGGTTTGTTGATGTGATATTTTGTCATTTTTATTAAACATTTACATTATAAAATTTATTTATTTATTTATTATTAATTTATTTGAAAAAGTGACCATTTTTAAATGAATGATAAAAAACGTTGTTTGATGTTCTATTTGAAACATGGTTACTGTCCACTTGGGTGAACATCCGGGGGGATATTCTTTACTTTCAACTATTAGTTTTAGAAGGAACTATCACAAAATCTATTACATTAGTTGTATGCATATGATCCATTCACTTTACGAAACTACAGGTCGTAGATTTTCGTGTTCCCACTGTTTTTTAAATCCAGGAAGTACCGAGGACATTGTAAGAGCTCATTGTCTAAACAGAAGATGCGTTTTAGCTCAGATATTTAGCCCAGACTATTTTCCAGCTCTTTTAGAAACAGGACCAGTTATATAGTATGATGCAATTAAAATGTTGATATGAAACAGAATTGAATTGGCAGTTAGCGTTCTCCTCCTAAAGCATTGAGCTTCCAATATTTGTTCCAATGTCTGTCTGATGATCTCTGAATCAATCATTATTAGAAATGTTGTAACACCAGTGGACAATTTTAAAACTGAAAAATGTTACATTTAAAAATGTTAAATCTAAAGTAAATAAGGAAACAGATGGGATCACATTTAATATTGAGTTAAAAGGCACATTTCACATTTCCAAGTTCTCACTTCCGTCCATTTATGTTAGCAGATAATTTTGTTTCCAGTCGAACCAAATCAAAGGGCACAGTCCAGCTTTAAGGCATTTTGCTGTGTTCCTCATGCCACAACTCCAAAGAAAAACAGCCATACCTGGGATTTCAGAAATTTCCAACCAAGCACACATCATGATCAAACTGGTTCCAGTCAGTCCGAAGAGTAGATGGTCCTAATTTTAGAGTAAATGCTGGTGTTCATGTCTGCAGCCATCACTTTGCCAAGAGTGATGTTTCTATGACTCCTTTGGGTTGATTCATGCTCAGTTGCGGTGCTGTACATTACAGTTTACTTTGAAATAACTTTAAAAAGCCCAAGATTTGAGAGTCTGTTTATTCAAGAGCATCCACACGGCTCAGAAAAGATGTTACCAGCCAGAATAAGGAAGAGAATGAAATCTGCTTCTCATTCAAATTTTCTTTCCACTTTTGACAAGAATTTTAGGAAATCCCTTTTTCCCCCCACTTTGGTTAAAGTTTGTGAGCTAATGTCAGTTACATTTAACTTTGTACATCTGATATATCAAGTAAATCAAGTACAGAAAGTATTAAGTATAATACATGAAAAAAATTGACAGTCAGTGCCTCTTTTCATTGTCTCTCGTTTTTGTTTGCATGTGTTTGATTAGGAATTCAACCTGATTGACCGCAGAGAGCTGGCTCCCCTGCAGGACCTTATTGACAAGCTGGGTACCAAGGACAGATAAATACATTCTCATCACAGAGTCATCTGTTAGTGCCTCCAAGCACCTTTTAAACATTTTATCTTTGTGTTTTATACTCACTTTTTGGCTTTGTGTTGTTCTTTTGTCTTGTAGCTTTTCCAACTGAGTTCTTTGAAATCTCAAGTAGGATATTTTAATGCTAGAATCAGCTCATTTCAGAAATTTCAGCTTCTTTTCAGTTAATGACCTTTTGTTCTGTTTTGGCCAAAAAAGTTTAGAATGGTTATCAATCATTCAGGCTTTTTCCCAGTATACTTATTTTACTCAAGTTTATATGTAATTAAACATACATGTCTTGATTGTACTGATGTACTGATTGTAGGTGTTCTGCTTATGTTGATTTTCACTTTGTTATTTGGGCCTTATGAACTAAACAAAAGGACCAAGTGCGGGAGGAGGATTAGAAACATTGTAATATTTTAAGTGAACCTTTGATCAGGATTTTTTATTAAAACATTGGATCATTTTTATACAAACAGTAATGCAAAATATACATTTTGTAATGTTTCAATTTTTAAATTTTAATGAAGTTGTTTGATGACAAACTGTGTGTACACATTTCACTGTGAGTATAGATTATTGTCACTCCATTGTCAAACAAGTTTATTTTAAACTGAAAATAATTTTGTGATCTTAGGTCAGTTTAGTTGTCTTGAATATTAAAATGCTACACAGTCACAGTATTTTTGTTGACATTTTAGTTACAGTCTTCTTATTTTACTTGCATTTAAGTCATTCTTATTTCATCCTGCATTGAATATCACCAATGGCTTGTGCTGGCACACTGTTATAGATTTATTTTTGGTAATATTTGACAGAACCAAAGTATTGTATATTCATGCAACAAAATAAATGCAATGTAGGATACAATTCCTCCTTCAAGATTAAATCAAATGTGTTTATTTATTTTTGGCCTTTAGTTAAATGCTCACTGCCTGTGTCTACTGTATCTGCAGTTCTTGAGGAATCAGCTGTATACTTCAGGCCAGTGGATGTCTTACATTTTAGTATTACAGATTCATTTGCATGAATGTCACATAACTGTAAAATGTCAAATGTTCAAAATGTTCTTGATTACTGTGCTGATACAGTAGCATATTTATCAAGTTAAATATTGAGTAAATGTAAAAGTGTATGAAGTTTCAAAAATGGTTGAATTAGTTTTCTAAAATGTACTGTAGAGATCTAGTACCTATTTTTAATTTTTTAATTAACTCTCTTTTTAATTAACTGAAGTCTTCAGCTTCCATTTTACAGCTTTTTCAAATAAAGAAGGGCTTTAGGCTATGATTTCCAGCCATGTCAGTACATGTCATGTACATTATGTAAGGCATATTCTTATATTCTACTGTTTGTACTAATAATAGCTTACATTTACTCTTACTAGCATGAGCTGAACTTTGTGCCTTACATTTTTTTTTTAACTGTACTTTTTTACTCAAAATTGTTAAATAAACAATCAGTTGCTGTCTTGCACTCTTAAGTGTCTTCCACAACTTTTTATTTCCTAGAAAAAAAATTACTTTAAATTGTTGAGGCATGTACTAATTCAAGTGTTAAATGTGCCCCATAAGCAATTCAGTGCTTTGCACAATTATGCTGACTTGGCTGATAATCAATCTTTACTTCAGTGAATGTGTTCCCTTTCCTCACACAGGTGTTTAATTGCTGCCATACACTCATTCATATTCACTTCACATTTCAGGAGTCATAGCTCATCAGTAATTTTATTATTAGTTAACAAGACATAACTCTTCTTATTCTGAAAAAAATGTTTGAAAGAAATATGATTGGTCGCTTTTGAAAAAATATACGATCAAAAAGGCCTACGTTGTGGGCATTTGTTGACATCAAACTGGTTGATTTAAAAAGAAATATTATAGTGGCATCGGTGCAGAGGAAGTCTTCACCAGTCACCCTGCCGGCATTTGCTCGGGGGCCGCTTCTCCTCAAGCTCCCCCACCGTGTAGCGCTGTGTTGTTCCTGATCAATTATATTGTCCAGTCCCTTTTTAAATCTTTTGGCAAAAATTAAAGCAAACTGTTTTGCATCATTATTTAATAGAGTAATTGGTCTCCAATTTTCTATATATAATTTATCCTTATTTTAGTTTGGGAATGAATGAAAGGCCTTGTTTCAGGGATGCAAATAATTATTTATTTTTTAAAGATTACATAAACATTGCTTTTATAAAGTAATCAATTGTGCAATAAATGTTTTATAAATTTCACTAGTTATGCCATCACTGACAGATGATTTAGTATCTTTAAGAGACATAATACAATCTTTAATTTCAGTGTAACTACTTTCTTCATCACAGAATTTTAAGAAGTATCTATCGATTTTCTTTAAGCTCCCTCATATCTAACTCAGAAAAAGATCTACGCCTCCGTCATAACATGGAACCGAGGTGTATATTTTTTATAAAACCGAGCAAAAAGGCCTTTGACTAAGATCAGGTATAGTCAGAACCGGTTTATGAGGAGCCTGGCCTCTTCCTATTCCACCCGTCATATCAAAACAGGACTGCTAAACAGCAGAGGGCGCCCGCGAGGGAGTCCTCAATGAATGGGAGTAAATGGCGCTCAACGGCTAAAAACGAAAAGTTAAAATAGTTTCTAGTTCTTGCCTAGAACGTTTTGTTAATTTTAGGAAGTAGAAGGATGTATTTCACTAAAAAAACAAAGTAATCTTACCTATATATTTTCTTTTTTCTACAGCAAACGGGTTTTGGGCAGCAGAAGGCGGGCATTACTGCTAGAGAGTGATGATTGATTGGCCAGCGGAGCAGCTCATTTGCTGTTCGCGCTCTCAGACGTCATGAACATACATGAGGCGCCGTTTTAAACTCCTATAGCTCGAGTTTAAAAGCTCTTAAAAATATAACAGCAAGTTAAAATGTTTCATGCTTTTCAATGTTCAGGAAATGATCGTATTCTTTTACATGAAAAATGTTTAAGTATTTATAAACTATGATTTTGCTCAAATGCTCCATATCAACCCATTCATTTTGGACTCACTCTCTACCGTTTGAGAAACCCGGAAGACATTGCAGAGTGGTAATTCTCCTCTCTACAAGTTCTCTGGTGTAGTATCTGTTATCAGCTCCATTCACCCCCATTTTTTAAATTTATTTTCTTTAATTATTATTCACCCTATTCACTGAGGACTCGCTCGCGGGTCCCCTTTTGCGTTTTGCAGTCATGTTTCTGATGTAATGGTGGCCAGGCTCCCCTTAAACCGTTGTAAAGCCCAATCTCTCCTCCCCGTCCTTATTTCACTTCCCATGGACCCTCGGCCAGAGTCAGCAAGTTTGCATGTTTTATCATGTAAACCTTTACAGTTAACTGCAAAACGTCACTGATTTAATTCAGTTGTGTACTAGTTTTGGTGCGTTTATTTACGAATACATTAGGAATTGCTGAATGAAGTCTTGTGAAGTTTTGAGGCTTTTCCCTGATTTTGCCGAAAAATGCTTCGAAGCCTCGGAGAATTGAAAATGGTGACATCTTGTGGTTTGCGTATATTATAGCAAGCACAAGATCATTGGTTAAGCTGCTTTGAATAAAACACTAGCAAACATCGTTAATGCAGGCTTGCTATTCGATGTGCACAAACACAAATCTAACAAAAGTTTATTTAATTCACTTATCAAAGTGTGACAATAAATACATGTATGAGTCAATATCTTCTCAAGGTGATATAATAGTATTTAACTATTTTGTGATTTGCCATGGCAATACCAGTCACAATTGACTGGTGCAATACAAGAGGACATGCCAATCAAGTTATCACAGTACAGGAAGAAGACTGAAAGAATAAGAATGTGTATTGTAGAAGAGTTTAAAGTGCTTATGTGACTTTAAATTGACTTTAGATTAACAGTGCATGTATAACTGAGTTTGGGAGTACAGGGAAGTGAAGGTTTTCATTGTGTTTTTTTGAGGAATAATAGTTGTTGCACTGTTTTCGGGCTGAGTCTAATCCACCTACTACCCACGAAATAGAGTGGTGGGGTTTTCAATCTACGGTAAAAGTCAGGCACATATATATCTAACTGTTTTTTGAGGTTCCGCCCAGAGATGCTGATTAACGGGTGTGATATGTCTGATTCATTCAATAACACTGCGAAAACCGCGACAGGTGTTACGGTAAATTCAGTTCCCCCTGTTCCCCCTCATTACACATGTCGAAATCATGACGTCTTCAGTTGACGCTGCTCTACGGGGCTTAGATAGGTTTAATTCATTTGTGTTTGCACCGTTATTTCGTCCTGTTCCTTGCGGTAAGCGAATTATAACGTTGTTTGTACAATGACATGTAGTTAAACACGTTTTGAAGTATAAAATGTGTTGTTAGCAGATGTTTTAATGCTCAAACACTACGTGGGTTATCTCTAATGCTAGCTTTGGCTCCGTTTTCAACTGCTCCGAGGAACATAGATTTATTGCGCCATTTCTGATTTAATTACCGTACATGCAGACACATTCTGTTGTTCAGACATTAAAGCTGGTACAGTGTGCATCTGTACAGTGGGTAAATCTGTTCTACCTGTTCTACCTGTTCTACCAATTACTCTCTGTATAAAACAATGTTCATATAATGAAGCAGGTGGAGTAAAATAAAAAAAAAGGATAAATTAATATGATAATAGTGCATTAAATCTTTAACAGCTGTAATCGACTGGTACACTGAGAATGCTGTTTCATCTGTATTCTCAGTGGAAAGTAGGTATAATATGAATAAAAGTTACTGAGTGAAAAGATCATGCACAGATATAGATTATCCGCATCATTGTTGTACTTTAAATCCACTCTAGCTGTAATATACAAGGGGAAAACACTTTTCTCAGGCTCTGGTTAAAGATGGTCCCCCTGTATTCTCAGTTCTAAAGGTATATAACATGAATAAAAGTTACTGTAAAGATAAGTCACATTAGTAACATAACAGTAAGACTTCAGCTTCAAAGACTATAGGGAAACTAACTTCCTAGGTGCACTGAGATAAGTAGTCTAACAATAATAACACAGACAGTTTATTTCAGCAACAAATGTTTCAAATCTATTTACACAACTTAGCGAGTCTGATGGGAATATGGGACATAAATGCACCTTAAAAATCAACTGAGTCTGAACAACAGAATGTGTCATGTACGGTAATTAAATCAGAAATGGCGCAATAAATCTATGTTCCTCGGAGTAGTTGAAAACGGAGCCAAAGCTAGCATTAGCAATTAGTGTTTGTGCATTAAAACATCTACTAACAAATCATTGTATACTTTAAAACGTGTTTAACTACAAGTCATTCTACAAACAACGTGATAATTCGCTTACCGCGGGGAATAGGACGAAATAACGGTACAAACACAAACGAATTAAGCCTATCTAAGCCCCCCAGAGCAGCGTCAACTGAAGACGTCATGATTTCGACATGCGTAATGAGGGGAACAGGGGGAACTGAATTTACTGTAACACCTGAAACCAAGGGAGGTGAAATCAATACTGATGTGAGATTGGGCACCACATCCGCTCTGACGCAGCCTCCCAATTCCTGCACCCCTTCCAGGCTTCCCGTCACCAGAGCCGGTTTATGAGGAGCCTGGCCACTTCCTATTCCACCCGTCATATCAAAAACAGGACTGCTAAACAGCAGAGGGCGCCCGCGAGGGAGTCCTCAATGAATGGGAGTAAATGGCGCTCAACGGCTAAAATCGAAAAGTTAAATTAGTTTCTATTCACTTGCCCAGAACTTTACTTTAATTTTAGAAAGTGGGAGGATGTATTTCACTAAAAAAACAAAGTAATCTTACCTATATATTTTCTTTTTTCTACAGAAAACGGGTTTTGGGCAGCAGAAGGCGGGCATTACTGCTAGAGAGTGATGATTGATTGGCCAGCGGAGCAGCTCATTTGAGCTCACTGACGTCATGAACATATATGAGGTGCCGTTTTAAACTCATATAACTCGAGTTTAAAAGCTCTTAAAAATGTAACAGCAAGTTAAAATGTTTTATGATATTCAGTGTTCAGGAAATGACTGCATTCTTTTACATTAAAAATGTTTAAGCATTTATAAACTATGATTTTGCTCAAATGCTCCATATCAACCCATTCATTTTGGACTCACTCGGGAGCGCCCTCTAGGCGTTTGAGAAACCCGGAAGACATTGCAGAGTGGTAATTCTCATCTCTACAAATTCTCTGCCGTCACGACCAAAGCGCAACCTCATTGGATGAATCGGTGGCTGTCTATCAACGGCGTTGGTGTGCCTGATTCTAGGTACCGTTTACGAAATTAAATGCATAGGAAAATAAATACAACAATAATTCGAGTATACTGTGGTGGATAGTACTAAAGCGTACAATGTGTATAGCAAGATAATTCTTGGTTTCCGGTTTGCTAAGACTGCGGTATCACCTCTTTTGTACTGTATTCTAAAGTTTTAAAAATAAAAACGTAGCCAATAAGTTAGTTTTCCTTTCGAAGTTCGCTTTTGATGAGTCGGTGAAAGTGATGTTGGCTATAAAAATAATTTCTAGTCGTGCTAAAAACAGCCAACGCAGCTTTTCATGTTAAGCTTATGAATCGCATAAATCGCCTGCCGCATTTTTGTCTAATTAAACGCATGTAAAATAAAAATAAAAAATTGAATTATTTTTCCACAAACTAGTTAAGGCTCTGTATTAGCTTATCTTAGCCAATGGTGGCTGTGCGAGAGCCGGCAGGATTTTAAGTCAGGCGGACTCAAGGGGTCCTTGGGTTGTTGGCTGGCAAATGGGTTTAGACGGTGTTTGTACATTCACTTCTGTTTCACATTTTCCAGGCTGTGTGATATAGAGACACAGGTTAAATAAACTGTTCGGTTACATCATAAATACTCGGATTTCGACCCTTCTTTAGTCATTTAGAATAACAGAGGGTAAAGTATACCCTTAGTGATTGCTTCAAATCGTGACTTCTAACTCAACGCTGAGTTATATGCATGTTTAAGAGTATTATGTTTAGCTTAAACATGGTTCCTGTTTAGTCAGCCGTTCTGCTTTGTGGGGGTTAAGGAAAGGGGTATAAATGAAAGTCTGCGGTGTAACCATGCGTTTTGACACTGTAACAGTGGCACTATACCTGACTAGACGTTTCTTTTCAAACTCGTCCCAGTGTCATTTGATTCACCGAATGGATGGAATCAGCCATGTGAAGAGGGTGTCTATCGAAGGTAACATAGGTAGGAACATTTAACGTTAAGTCTGTGCAGAAAAGCACAGTGGAGTAGATATTACCCAGCAGTTTTGCATAATAATATATGCATTTTCAAAGTGTTTGTTTTGTACTAAGCCTCTAAAGTCTCGACTCGACCCGCTTTTGGGACTAGCTACTTCGTTTTCCACTGCAGATGTAGTACCCCGAGAGAAGAATTACCACCAGAGCCGGTATTCTAACAATTTGATGCAGAACACAGAACAGCACTTTAACATTTTAACACCACTGTTTCATTTTTAACCCAGAAAGATAAGCGGCTTAGAAATATGCGTCCACATCAGTGAGCGTGAACAGCTAATGAGCTGCTCCACTCTCCAGCCAATCAGCACTCAGTAGCAGTAATGCTAGTGTCCTGCTACCCAACTCATTTGCTGTAGAAAAAAGGAAACATACAGGTACGTTTGTTTTGGGCAGCAGGATGCTAGTATTACTGCTGCTGAATGCTGATTGTTTGGTGAGTGGAGCAGCTCATTGGCTGTCCGTGCTGAATGATATTATGAGCTTAATAATTTTTCATTTATTTTTTCAGAGGCTTATAAAAATATAACAGTGGTGTTAATGTTTTATGCTGTTCTTTGTTAAGAAAATAAAATTTTTAAGCATTTATAAACTATGATTTTGCTCAAATGCTCCATATTAACCCTCTAGCGTTTGAGAAACCAGGGAGATAATTCTCCCCTCTGCAAGTTCTCTGATTGTACCAATAAAGTACCAGGTACCAACCTTTGCCTCATGGAAAACGAAAAAGGCGAGGCAAGTAGAGTCGAGTCGAGCTGTTGCCACCATGCAGTGGAAAAGCACCTTAAGGTGCCACTACAATATTTTTGCATTTCCATTGTCAGTGGCAAAAAATTGTTTTGCTTAATTCAAATGGGTGCTGTCAAACGATACCTTTGCCACATTTTTGTTTTGAAACTCCAGCGGTTGGGAAGTCAACTTTTGCAAAGTTGTTGCAGAATGCAGGACAAAACTGGGAAGTCATACCTGAACCTGTCAGCAAGTGGCAGAACGTCAAGGAAGCAACCTCACAAGTAAGATGAACTAGAAACCAGAAATTCACGAGAATCATAAGCAGTGCAGTAGTTGCAAAAAGTGTGTAGGGCAGAGGGTCTTCATGACTAAAGTTGAGAACACTTTTTTTTTTCTTTAGGCTACCATACAGAACTGAAAAACATTTTCACGCCTTTATTTTTAAGAGAATATGTTTTATCAGGAGCTTGGTATGTCCTAACACTGCTGCAGTAGTTTCTAGAAATGTAGGGGATTTCTTGTAGGTTGGTTTGCTGATGTTTAAATGATTCCCTACATATTTGTGAGATTGCTGTCTGGGGGCTAGGCATACCAGGTCCTTAGCATGAGTTATTCTTCTCTTTTTTTTCTTTGTCAGACAATTCTTGCAAATTTGATGAAATGTTAACAAGAAATGCCCATGAAATAGGTAATGATGGCCATGCTGATTAAGATTACCATAAACTTGGTAAAGATCACTGAGTACCACCAGGCATTATTAAAGTGGCAGTTGGACCTAAATATTTAAAATATTGACTGATTAGCCAGTAAGACTGACTTCTGCTCCTTAGCTGTATAATTTGTGTGTTCTATGGCCAAGACAAGTCTCTTCATGTTTTTCCTGTTCTCTTAACAGTGTTTCTAGGCAGTGTTTTTGCAATTAAGCAAGTTTAAGACAGTCTCCTGGACATTTTATGTAACATTTGTATCTGTAGTGAGATTAGTTATCAGTTATCACTTATGGCATAAGTCACGCAATATGAGGATTGTTATTGTCACCATAATAAACAGTAACTCTTTCCAAATGTATCATAGGTATCGTCTGTACCTTTAGAACACCGAACAACCACATGTAGCATAAAAAACACCACATTTACACCAAGTGAAGGCAGCCTGTAAATGATAGTATGAACTACATAATTAGCAGCTGAGTTGATCTGACATCATCTAATCTTATTAATTCATTTTTATCAACTTTTTGACTTTTACCTTTTACTAACTTATTTAGGAAAGCTAAATATTGATACATATCTTGCATCATGAAAGTGTCTTGAAGTATTCTGACTTTATTGATTTATTTATGTTTCTCAAAGTCCTTAATATTTGCTATAAACATTGCCATTGTTCTCTTTACATAATTAGGGTTGGTTAGGGTTAGGTAGTAATGGAATACATGTAATGGTGTTATGTAATTAGGATATAAAATGTAACTGTATTCCGTTACAGTCACAGAAAAAAGACAGTAATCAGATTACAGGTACATTATAAAAACAGGGTGACTACCAACAGGATTACATTCAAACCACATACACACAAACTCGTCGCCTTTTGGTGAATTTTGCCGTTTCAGTGATACATATGTCACACGAACTATGTAGATTTGAGGAGATTTAAACTTTTTTAACTGCCAATAGAGATTTCTGAAGAAAGTCCCTAATAAGCAGCAGCACACGTTTTTTTTGTTTAGCCCATGTATAGAGGTTTAGCTAATATTTTATTTGTATTGTCAGAACTGAGATCTACTACATTTTCCTGAATGTAGCAGGAAAATATCTGTGTCATGTACCCTTGTTTTTCACATCTCCAGATTCTACAACAGCAGGCTGATCTGACAGTCAGCTCTTTTATTCTCGTTGTTTCTCTGTAAAATATATAAATGAAACTTTTCGGAAAGCTAACCTTCTAGATTTTAATGATGAAGTGAGCTGACATTAGCTAACAGTCTGAAACGTGAACAGAAAGCAGTTAGTTTTATGTGTATTCTTGAATGATGGGTGCAAAATGTTAATATGTGTAAATGATTTGTAACTTGTCTCCCAGCTCCCACTTAGTTTTCGTGTGAAATTAACGCCTTTTTTAAAGTCATAGCACATGTTGATGTCTATGGACTGCTGAGATGTCTGAGAGCTGATTAGTCCAAGCACAATGCACCAGTATATGATGAGAGCAGTATATTTTTAACTACATTGCATTTGCATTCCTCCATCTTCTCTCAGCCCCATGTTTTTTAGTCTCAGTGTACCAGTTTTTTTTATTTTATTTTGCTGTTAAAGTCACTCTCTTCTTTTCCTGGGGAGCTGTGCCTTGATTTCTAAACACATCACCTTTTCACTGCAAGTATACATGTCTAAACTGAAACAGTTTAAGCTGTACAAATTTATCTTTATGTTTGAAATATTTACATATATTGATCCTTTTAGATTTGGCCATTTTTTAAATATGAGATCAGTGACCCATTTCTGTGAGGCACAATATTTAAGTTACTTAAGCTCTATTGTTTTGCTTTATATATATATATATATGTGTGTGTATATGTATGTATATATATATATATATATATATATATATATATATATATATATATATATATATATGTATATGTATATATGTATGTATGTATATGTGCTGTTTTTGTGTTTGCCTTGTATTAAGTTAAATTGTTGTTGAAAAAACCTTGTTGAAATTATTCTTACATTTACAGTATTTAGCAGACGTTCTTATACAGAGCGACTTACACAAAGTGCTTTGTCTGTCTAGAGAAAGTATCTTTGCTAGTTACCAATAGGTTAGAGAGAAAGCTAGTCCTGAGCTCAGATACTGCTAGAAACAAAAGTCCATGTTGATACCTAGAGAAAAGAAACAGAGTTAAACACAGCACAGTGCAATACAATACCTTTCGATAAGTGCAGTAGAATACATTACAACGAATACTTAACTCAGTGCTCATTTAAGTGCTGTATAAAGAGATGTGAAGAACGCGAGAGACTCTGCTGTTCGGACAGCCTGTGGGAGTTCCTTCCACCACAAGGAAAAGACTGGCGGATTCTGTCAACCTTCTCCTCAAAGAGGGGGACAACATCCGAGGGAGTGAGAGAAGAGGGTGGAGGGGGAGGTTGAGGTGAGAGGAGAAAATGCTGAGGAGATGAGAGTGACGAAAAGAAAACATCTGTAGCTGTGTCCAGTGAGAGAAAAGAAAATGAATCAGGATGGGGAAGGGCGGTCAGGATAGTTGAAGCGAAAGACGAGGGAGGAATGGGGAGTGTAGGTTGCATCGAGTAGAAGAGCATGAAGGGGTGGAATGGACCAGAGTAGCAGGGAGGGAGAGTGTGAAAGATAGGAAGTGATCAGAGCGGTGAAGGGGAGTTAATGTCACTTCCAGTGCAGAGGTAGGTCTGCTGAATATCAGGTACAGAGTGTTGCCTGCTCTGTGCATCGGAGGAGTCTGTTCTCTTTTCTTTGTTTAATTATACATCTTTAATTAAAAACAAGCAATCCAAAAGTAATGGAAAGTAATCAGGTTGCTTTACTTTTGTATAGTAATCCCTTAGATAAAGTTAGTCTCATATATTTTTTTTTTTCGCTGTACACATTGCTGGACTGTAAATCACCCTGGCTTCAGTAACTGATTACAAAGTCTTTTACAGGTAAATCAAAGAAGGAGTGTTTGAGCACAGAAACATGAAATTGTGCAGGTTTTTCATTCATTGCAACTAAGATGTAAACAATCCAAGTGTGAAGTAAAAGGGAAATGAGCGAGGCTTGCTGTTCTCACAGACTAATATGCTCCATTTATCTTCATTAAATGCACATGTGTAGACATTTGAACAATGTTCAGATAGATGGTTTGGGCTTCTTTTAATTAAAAAGCATATTTTTGCATTTCCATTACTTTTATGCTTTATCTCTGCAGCTAGTGCTGTCTCCACAGCAAACGACCAGCAACCTGCTGCAGATGATGTATCAGGATCCCAAGCGCTGGTCCTATACCTTCCAGACATTTTCCTGCATGAGCCGCATGCGTACCCAGCTGCAGCCACCCCCTGCGAAATTAATGCATTCCAGAGACACCACTGTACAGGTGTACGAACGCTCCATCTATAGTGACAGGTGATTACACATGGTAGATGGTAGTGGGAGTTCAGTCCTCTGGTCTGTGTTAGGGATGCATGATATAGATAAAATATTATATTATCATGTACATAGTTTAGTTTACAGTGTGTTTTGCAGTATTTTTAAAATGCACTGGAGAACATTTAAGGGACCATAATAGGACTGGTCTGCATTATTTTTTTTTCATCAATATTATTTACTTTTATTCCATTATGTGAGTGCCTTGTTTAATTGAATGGCCTCAGAAAAGCTGAGGTTTTGTCACAGTGCTCACAGCGCATGAATTATTTGGTGATTTAGAGGCTTCACTTTGCTGCCTTCTGTAATACATTGGTAAAATAATAATGCAGGAGAGGCCTTCACCAAGGTTCACTAATGCTGAAAGGTGCAAATAATTTCTAATTTTGTCAAAAAGCCTGACTTTAGACTCTAGACTGGCTACCTCCCCTTAGCAGGTTATAGACCACCAAACAAGTAACTCAAACCTTGTGTGCAGACTCTTGTAAGAATAGATGGAAGAATAATTCTTGTATCTGCTTGTTTTAAATTTTCAACAATATTTATACAAACTGTCCTTTGTACCCTCTTCATTTTTCATTGTAGCAGCAAAATGATTAATTTTTTAGATGTTTTTAAAAAACCTGAATCATACACGATATGGACAAAAGTATTGGGACACCTACACATTACACCTACAGGAGCTTTATGAAATCCCATTCTAAATCCATAGGCATTAATATGGAGTTAGACCCCCATTGCAGCTGTAATAGCTTCTTCTCTTCTAGGAAGGCATTCTCCAAGATTTTGGAGAGTGTCTGTGGGAAATTTTTCCCATTCATCCAGAAGAGTATTTGTGAGGTCAGACACTGATGTTGGACCAGAGGGCCTTGCTCGCAATCTCCGTTCTAGTCCATCCTAAAGGTGTTTGATAGGGTAGAGGTCTGGGCTCTGTGTGGTCAGTTAAGTTCTTTCACACCAAACTCACCCAACCATCCCTTTATAGACCTTGCTTTGTGTACTGCGGCACAGTCATGCTAGAACAGCAAAGGCCCTTCCCAGAACTTTTCCCACAAAGTTGGAAGCATACAACTGTCCAAAATGTCGTGGTATGCTCAAGTATTAAGATTTCCCTTCACTAGAACTAAGGGGCCTAGGCCAATCCCTGACAAACAACCCTATAGCCTTGTTCCTCCTCCGCGAAACTTTACAGTTGGCACAGTGCAGTCAGGCAGGTAACGTTCTCCTGGCGTTCGCCAAACCCAGACTTGTCCATCAGACTGCCAGATACAGAAGCTTGTTTTCTCACTCCACAGAATATGTTTCCATTGCTCCGGCTTCCAGTGGTGACGTGCTTTACATGACTCCATCCAATGCTTAGTATTGTGCTAGGTGATGTGAGGCTTGCAGGCAGCTGCTTGGCCATGGAAACCCATGCCATGAAGCTCCCGTGTATAGTTTTTGTGCTGATGTTAATGCCAGAAGAGGTATCTAGGAGGGAAGAAATTTTGTGAACTGACTTCTTGCAATGGTGGCATCCTATTACAGTACCACACTCTAATTCAGTGAGCTCTTTAGCATGACCCATTCTTTCACAAATGTTTGTTAAGGCAGACTGCATGGTTAGGTGTGTTACTATATACACCTGTAGGCGTTGGACTGAATGATACACCTGAATTCAATACTTAAGGCCATATGGTGTACATATACTCTGTGTGTGTGTGTGTGTGTGTGTGTGGTGTGTGTGTGTGTCTTTCTATATATATATATATATATATATATATATATATATATATATATATATATATATATATATATATATATATTAGGGGTGGGAATCTCTAGGCACCTCACAATTCGATTCGATTACAATTCAGAGGGCTGCGATGCAATAAAGTTTTAGGACTTGGTACTTTTAAAGCAAAGTATTTGTAATGATCTATAATGTATTTACTTCCAATATCTTTTATTAATAAATCAAATGGAAGTGATGTGGCAAGTAAACTAGAAGGCTCTCATTCACTGCTATTGCTTGGAGCACATGAGACGCTGCTGCCACTCATCCGCATTAAAATGCGCAGTTACGGTGAAATAAGATCCAGTGGTAATGGATGTCCATGCAGCATGTTACAGCCATCCTGCCCGTTTTCGTTAGTGATTTTATAACTTAGGTTTTGGTCTCATTGTAGATAGGGGGGAGAGGGGGGGTCGCTGTGTCAGTAAAATATCGTCGGGTACGTGTGCAACATAGCGCGAAAGCCCCGTTTCGCAACGACTGGAAACTGGCATTCTCCGACTGCAGGTCACCTAGCAACGATGCGTTATTTGCATTCATAAGCGCTGCTGTTGGTTTTCTTGCAAGCTAAATCTGCAACGAGAGACTGTCAAACAGTAAAAAGTTGCGAAGATGAAGTCGCTTCTCTTTCAAATTTTTCCGTTCCGCCTTAAATGGTGCCGCATTTACATACGGCACCTCAGTCAGAATTTAAAGTGGAACAGGAAAATTCGAACAAGAAGCTGGAGCGACTTAAAGAAGCGACTTCAGCCTCGTAAAACAGCCGAACTTTGAGAGACATTTTACAAGAAACTGATCTACTTTAGAGGAAAAGTTTTCTGGTGGAGATGGGGGGAAAGCGGCTAAAGCTTAAAGCAGAGCAAAGTAAATCCGCATTTTCATTTATATTTTAACCTAACTTATAGCAGGACATTAACACATACTGAGAAATACTGGAGATAAATGTTGTGGCTGCCAAGGTGGTTTGATTTTTGTTGAAAGGACAACATGTCTCTTCTTAACATTTGGGTTGTCGACTCCTGACCTAACCTGGCTTTTAATGCAGAGGATGGCGGTCGGATTTCTCGCTCATCCATGTGTGTTTTTGTTATGTGCACCTCACAGAGTGTCCGGGCGCTGCACTTCCGCACTTCCAGGTTCCGCCTTTTGCGTTCCGTCAACATTGCGGTATAAATTAAAAATTTAGAAAATCGTTTTTTGACATTTGTGAATCGATTCAGAATCGTTCACGTCCACATCGCGATGCATCTAAGAATCGATTTTTTCCCGCATCCCATATATATATATATATATATTATATATATATATATATATATATATTAGGGGTGGGAATCTTGATGCATCTTTTTTTCTATACAGGATTTCTTTACTCACTGTGTGACAAATTGGAACTTTTTAAGCATTAAGGTATTTGTAATGTTAGACAATGAATTTAATTCCAATGCCTTTTATTAATAGAACAAATGTATATATGACAAATATATATATGACACTGTTGAAGATCAGTATTGTGATAATGATTAATAAACAATCTACACGCAGGCATAGTCTGAAAGGTTCATAAGAAGTCTAAACTATTTCAAATTCTATTGAATTGGCAATGTCATTGGCTATTTACAGATTTTTGTAAATACAATAAAGGACTACATATTTCACAGTCAAAGGTGGCTGAAGATATCTTAAGGCATATTGATGGTGTATGACAGGATTATTTGTTTCCAGTCCTGGAGAGTCCAGATCATTTTCCATCTTAACACCTGCTCATCTATTCAGTTTATCGTTTAATTGCCAAGTTTATTAGGTCTGTTTAAGCATGGAAATTACCAAACTGTGCCGGATATTGTTCCTTTGTGGTTTGGTATCAAATGTACTTGATGTATGATTTGAAAACACGTGCTGCAGTCTGGACTTGGGCACACACTTTTTAGACACTCCCTTTTTCTGGTAGCAAGTCTTATCAACCGTATCTGTCTTCTTTTGTTTTTAGGTACATTTTTGCTCAGAATTTATTCGAGCTAGGTGCTCTAAATTCAACGGAGTGGGCTGTGTATCAGGACTGGCATTCTTTTCTTGTTGAGCAGTTTGGTCCTAAGGTACAGCTGGAAGGGATCATCTACCTTAGAGCTTCTCCACAGGTGTGCTATTTCTCTCACCAATGCAAACATTAGCATGTGTCCTGTTTCAGTATCTCTAAACTCCTAATCCAGTACGGTTACAGCTCATGGTAAACCTAAAAAACAGTGGCAGTGATATATATATATATATATATATATATATATATATATATATATATATATATATATATATATATAACTTTGAAATTGACTTTATCAAATTATGTAGTTATGAGAGATTCATATTATGTAAATAGTTCAAAGTTATGCCTTAAGTTTTATTTTATTACCATAATCAGGATCATTTTGGTTAAATTCAAAATAGTGGGCATTCAGAATCAGATTTTTTCTCTTTCCTTCCAAAGTCAACTTGGTCTCGTTGTAAAATATTCACTTTTTTATTCAGTTTTTTCAGCTTATGTTGGCAATCTGTGTTCATGTTAATGTGAGTGAGGGAATGCAAATATCTGGCAGAATTTGCCCTATTTTCTCAAGTTTTCTGCCGTGCTGCAGTGCTATGAGGTGTTAGCTAATGACAGAGGGACCTGCACACACAAGTTAGTCTCATTTACATTTACATTTACAGCATTTAGCAGATGCTGTTATCCAGAGCGACATCTCTTGCTCACACGTTAGGTTGGTAAACTTGTACACAAGTAATTTTAATGATAACCTGACTTTTTTTTTCCTGCAGCCTTTTTTCTCTTGCTTCTGCTGTTAAGGTGTAAGAAAAGTTCTAAAGAATAAAATTGACTATCAAATTATGTAGTTATGATATATTCATATATAAACTTGTACACAAGTAATTTTAATGATAACCTGACTTTTTTTTCCTGCAGCCTTTTTTCTCTTGCTTCTGCTGTTAAGGTGTAAGAAAAGTTCTAAAGAATAAAATCTTGTCCATGTCCAACCATGTCTAATTATTTCCTGCCCAAATTTTGTGTTTCACTCAGAAAAAGGTCATGTTGTGGGGAAATATGTTCTGATTTCCGATTTACATTGATTTGTATCTTGTAAGCATCTGCTCTATCAATGCCTTGATTGAGATCAGCTCTGTGATTTTGTCCCATAGATCTGCATGGAGAGGCTGGGCCGACGAGGTAGGGAGGAAGAACAGGGGCTACAGTTGGACTACCTCGATACACTGCATATGCAGCATGAAAACTGGCTCATTAACAAATCTATAAAGTGAGTTTGCCTATCATTATTACATGCTACATTATATTAGAACGATGGCTCGGAACTTAAATGTATACATAACAGCAAGATTTAAAATGATGCCATTTATCTTGTGATCTTGAGGCACCTTTAGTTTCATTTTCCTCTTTACCCAAATGGAATAGAAGATTATAAGTTAACTTTGTAAAAATTGCATACTTAAACCACATTGCATGACATACCGTTACCTTTGAAAATCTTCAAGTACATCATATTGTCCATATTATTGGCCTTTTTTATAGAGAATTGTGAAACAGTATCAGAAATCATATAAGGGGCTCCCGAGTGGCGCAACCGTCTAAGCGTTGGCCCTATCATCAAGAGATCGCGAGTTCGATCCCTGGTGATGCTACAGCCATCCGTAGCTGGGAGTCCAAGAGAGCACAATTGGCCTCGCTCTCCCTGGGTGGGCAGGATGCCCCGCCCCCCCGCCCCCCCCATCCCCCCATCACCCAACGCGATGCTTTTCAGCGCAACAGATCTGGCGGTTGGTGCTTTCCTCCAAGCGCGTCCAACTGTCCAATGACGTTGTGTGAGCAGCAGTTCAAAAAGGTCACAGGTTTCACAGGTCTCGGAAGAAGCCTGTGTTAGCCTTCACCCTCCTAGCATTGATAGTATCATGTGATCCAGTCATGGCCCAGTTATAGCTTTTTGGCAGAGGCAGCAAGATTTAAAATGATGCCATGTATCTTGTGATCTTTAGGCACTTTTAATTACGGTTTGATGATAGGAAAAGATTTCTTCTGGCACCCATTCCACATTTTGTTGTCAGGGAGGTGTCTGATTGTAGTTTTGGAGACTTGGACCCAAGTATACCCCTACCCCTTGTTTTCGAGTATCACTTTGCCCTTTGAACCCAAATTACAAGGGGTAGTGTTTGAAATCTTCAAGTTAACAGGCTACTAGCGGTGCTCTCTCTGCAAGTCCGCAGTGATAGCAAAGAAATGTTACATTTAAGCAACCTCGCTGCTGGTCCTTAGTTAAAATTAGAGAATCATATGCCTTCAGAGGAGGGTGGGGCGGGTGCGACAATTATTTATTATTGCCCAGCCCTAATTCTTTAGTAATATGAAGCTAAAGTCAGCTGTTTGCTAGTATCTTGAATTTTTCTACTCCACCTTAAATAGTGCACCATTTAAGGTGGAATGGGAAATTTAGCTAGCGAGTTACCGAGACATCAGCATACTACTAACGTTTTTTTTTTTATGCTTGTTATGAAGAAAAGGACCATAATGCTTTGAAACAACATTACACTAAGATAATACAATGGTTATTGGAATTTTTTAACTGAGAAAATGTTTGTATTTGTGGGTTTCTTTAATCGCTTGTGCAGCTATCTTGCTGGTTTTTCTTTTTTTTCTCGTAACATTCCATTTGGAGTGTGCCTCTGAAAAACCTCCATTTGGAGGGCAATGTAGCTCTAACACTTTACCCTACCCCTCTATTTCAACAAATTTTTTGACACCCTACCCCTAGGCGTGAACATGTAAAATGGTGGGGTTAAGGGCTAAGTAGTAGAGGCAAGGGGTGAAAGGGGATTGGGTCTTGGTGATCCCAAAATGCTACCATCTTCTCCAAATACACAAGTAGGGGTAAAATAATTACTACAGCTCCACTACAGTTTTAAACATCTAATTATTGACCTAGCATTGTAACAGGACAAAACAAGCCAAACACTTGCAGATAAATCAACTCTTTGAGGCTTTACTAGAAGAAGGACAATCCAAACATGTGGTCAGAAAACTGCTTAAAATGTCTGCTAGCAGAGCATATGGTAATCAGCCTCAGGGTTTTTTTTTCTCATGTAAGATCATGTTTGACTTTAGTTTTGTTTGTAAAAATGATATGATATTCAGTTATGTAAGTCAAGTCTGCTCACAATATTTTCAGATTGTTATTATGGATATTCAAAAAAATAATCTGAAGTAGTTACTCAGGACATTTTCCAGTAAACAGTTTATTTCCTTTAGTAATATTAAACACAAATAAATTGTCAATACAAGAACAGCACTGTCACTTAAGTAGCAGGCCTGGATCATCCAATGGGCTTTATGGACGTGTGCCCCTGTGGGCAATTATGACAAAATCTAAACAGCTGACTGACTCGCGGTGCCAGTGGCAGTGAGAACCTTACCAGCTGTCATCATGGTGCTGCTTGGGACTTGCTGCAATATCATATAAAAATAATTCACCACCCAAAAAAAGGTAGCCAGGTAGGGGACCACCAAACACTGCTAACTTAAATGATCTAGGACTGTTAAGTAAGGATTTTCAGTACTCTCTCTACAACTGCCTAGCAGTGTATATGGCCATTTTCAGGTTGTTCATTTGTGAAGGTCACCTCACTTTTATCTCATTTTTGAAAGGAAATATTATTGGAGGAGTAAAGAAGAATTTCTAGGAGTGTCAAGAATTGTGACACATTTTGTTAAAAATATATTATTTGGATATGATTTTCATGTATATTTAGGGTTTTCTAAGACTAAATTTGCTTCAAATAAAGTATATAATTATAAAGTGTGTAAGCTTTTGTTACTTGTTAGCTACGTTAGCCTCATAGCTGCAGTGCAAAACTAAAGAAGTAAACTTTGGACTCAGTATGTCTTGGCTCATTAACAACATTAGGGGCAAGAGGAAAATGTGTAATTAGATTTTTTGGCCAAACCATTCATTTAAGAGCTCAGTATGTAGTTAGCGAGTGATGGTAGACAAGTTAGATATACCACAAAAATTTTGGCCCTGTTTTGGTTGTGCCTGATTACTGTGGTTTCATTGCTGATGTAGAAGATTCTTAAAAAGTTGTTGTTTTGTTTTTTTTTAAACCTTTACTACAGGGTTCATTTTGATCACTTGAAGAATCTTCCTGTATTGGTATTGGATGCAGGTCTGGAGTTTGAGAAAGATCCTGAGGTTCAGGCCAGGCTTATTAAAGAGGTAGAGTATGTGTGTGCTGTAATCTATGCATTTTGAGTTTTAAGAACTGGAGTAAAAAAATATGCATGAATACCTGTAAACCTCAACTCCAAAAATTTGGCACAGTAAAATGTAAATAAAAAAGCAGTTATTTGTCAGGTATTGATATAAAAACAGTACAAAGAATATATACACTCATTCTGAAGTTTATGTCTGCAATACATTCCAAAAAAGTTGGGACAGGGGCAATTTAAGACTAGGAATATTGTGAAATGTTCAAAGAACATTTTAAATAGATCATGTAATCATGCTTGTACGTATAAAAGCAGCATCCAGGAAAGGCCTGTTCCTTTATGACTGAGAATAGGTCAAGGCTTGCCCGTGAATAATCCAACAGTTTAAGAACAGTGTTCCTCAATATCATTAAAAGATTCAAGGAATCCAATCAAATCACAACTGAATGCCCATGAGCTCCAATCCCACATGCTTTTGTGGTGAATGGGCTTGGGGATACTCCACGATATTGTGGAAAGCCTTTCCAAAAGAGTGGAAGCTGTTATTTCAACTCCATATTAATGTACATGGTTTTGGAACAAGCTCATATAGGTGAGATGGTCACATGTCCACATACTTTTAGCCACATAGTGCATATACACATTTTGGAGCAACATATGCCATCTTGTAGACTAGGTCTACAAGATGCAGTCCAGATTGGCCTCCCACAGTTGGGGCATATGAAGCACAAAAATATGACAACAGTGGCAGCTGAGGACTTGTATAAAGGAACAGTAGCAAAAATTCTGCTTTCAAAACTGGGTCAATGGGTGTCAAGTGTAGTGAAAAGGTAAGGTGATGTGACAGTGTTAAGCATGTTTATGTCCCAACTTTTTCTTTTTGGAAAGTAAAAATTTGGAGAGTATATTTACTTAAAAAACCAAAAAGGTAAGGTAAATAAGGTCAAATATGTATATTGTGTGTAAATATCATTTTTGTACTGTTTGAAGTTTAATATAGGTCAAACAGAATTTACTAATCACTTTTGTAATGTTTAAATGTCATAGTCACAAAAAAATTCACTGCTTAGCAGAGCATTATTTTTTTTCTTTTCTTGCCTGCAGGTTAAGATTTTCTTCCATGACTTGTAAATGCCAAAGACCAAACACCAATGTGTAAAATATAAGGATCACTGCATTCTGTTCAAAAGCTTCACCCTGCATGTTAGTGCTCTGACCAACACATGGGGGTGTGTTCTTCTCTAGACCAGCAGATTACTCATCAGTTCAATTGATTTTTTTTTTTTTCTGCCTTCTGCCATTCCAGAGCAAAAAACATAAATGTTTTGTGTGTTGGAACTAACAAGATCACCTGATCACTGCTCCTGTGTTGTTTGCTTTTTTTGCAAATTTGACAAAGCCGTCTGTATCAGAAACTGGAGCTATGATGAAAACGTGTCAGTTAGTGTCACTGTTCTACAGTATGTTGAAACATAGTATCATATATATAACACAGTGTAATATATAATTTTTTTTAATGTGTTGTAGTTGTACATTATGTGAAATGTTACGTTATGTTTTAATTGTTTGATGTTCGAATGTTTTACATCATTATGTTCTGTTTTGGCTGTGCAATGGGTTGGTTTTCTGGGCACAGAGTCAAGCTACGCTTGTCCTAGATTACAATGTCAGTAAAACATTCTCCACTGAAAATCATTTTTGTCATATAGCTAGGGTATGTTTTAGTTCAGAAGACTAGGCCTGACTTGAAGCATACAATTCCGGCTTCCTCAAATTTCACTGCAGTGTTGCCATATATCTGGGTGATGTAGTCTTCCTGGATGTTAAAGTTAGCTCTATGTAGTGCTCCCGCTTAAGGAAAATTAAAATCTTTATTGATAAATCTAAGCTAGAAGTCATTTCTGCACAAAAAACTGAACCACAGGTGAGTGTGTCTTACATATTCAATACTCTTGTTCACTGTACAACTTGTCTATCTTTTTAACCAATCGATTGCCATGCACCCTGCTAAGTATTTTAACAGAGAAATGTAATACAAGTTTATGAGCGATAAGACAGAGAAGATCATTTTATTTTATTTGCTTTATACGAGAAAATCCTTTTTCTGCACATTTTAATACACAGTTACTGTTTGTTTGCTGAATTTAACATATTAGAAGGAAAAATAAATCATTAAATGTGGCCTGTGCAAAAGTTATGGGACATTTTATATTATGTTCTGTTTTTTTCCAATATGTTAAACTATGTTAAAGCAAATAAAAAGAAATTTGAGGTTGTTCCCTGTGGAGAAGATGATGTTTTAACTTATTTCAGTTGAAGTTCAGTAGGCATGCAATTTGCTGAGTATTTTATGATTTTGAGTCTTACAAGAATGAGCATTTGAACTGCCTATATAAGCACAAGGAAGATTTAATGTAAACGCTATCTAGGTTGTGAATACTGACTACTCTTCCACCACCCAAAATATCTATTCCAGCACAGGAAAGTCTTGATAATTACCCGTTGAGCTAGATGAGGTGTGTGTTGGGATAGAAAATAGTTCACACTGTGCATGGCCTTCTAGGAGTAGAGTACAAGTTCCCAATCCCAGTCCTGCACGTTTTTGTGCTTACCCTCATCCAGCACACCTGATTAATCTCAATAATGAATTAACAAGCTTCTCATGTTCTTTGTCAGGTGTCCTACAGTAGGGAAAACCCAAAAAAATCCCCAGGACTGATTTTGAGAACCACTGGACCAGAGTTTAGAATCGAAAGAATAGAAAAGAAAGAATATAATGGAAAGTTGTTCTAGAGCAGGAGTGTCGAAATGTGTTAGTTCAGGCTACAGCTCTGCAGAGACTACATTTTCCCTGTTTTTACTTTGTATTCAAAGTTTGTATTGTATGAAGGGCTGTGGCCGGAAAGGAACTCCTGCTCTGGAAATTGTCAAACCTTTCTAAACCATCACAACCATATTCCATCTTTTGCTATTTTATGCCACCAAAGAGCAGAAAAACACTTGCCCACTTTAAGTAGGACGAAAGACATGAGAAGTTAGAAAAACATTTTAACAAATTATACAATTACAAGAAATCAGTATCTACTGAAATTTGTTTGCTCCTAAGGCCCTGCTCATCTTTACAAAAACAGACAGCAGAATTCTTTCATCAGTATATTTTCAATAAACACTGAGCATTAAACAGCAAACCCAATATTAGATTTATTTTCACCAAGCACATGCTATAAGCCTTGTTTTCATTATAGACATTAGGCTTCCATTAAAAACGCTCTTAATAAATGTCATAGACATTTTCATCCTATTTGTGGGCACACCTACCCCAAGTCATATTTGTGAGACGTAATGCTTCATTCATTTCACTGAAGGGAAATGTTTAAAAAATCAGATGTAAAGAGAGACAAACAAAAATATCTATGACCTATACAAGTTAAACACAATCTACTAAAATGTTTTTGTTTTAATGAATTAAATAAATAAATAAATAAAATGTTATATACTTGTGGAAGCAGCCCTGTACTTAACATAAGACAAACAGGAAAACTGCACTCTTTTATGCAACAAAATGATATGTGACATTTCATTTTCTGCTATGTGTATGTCCATTTGAAAAAGCCTATGCATAAAGCTTTGCTCAGGGGGAGAGCTACTAGCACTGGAGTAGGTTTTATGTGCATCATTGAAAGAAAGAAAACAGGTTCCTTCAATTAAAGTAGGATATAAGTTAACTTAATCTTTACTAAAGGATTCACTGTAAAGCTGCACAGTACAAAGTAAATAATGTCTGAATGTCTTACAAGCAAATGTCTTTATTAAGCCACAACAGCCATAATTGTCTGCACGGTGAATGTACACCAACATTTTCTTGGAGCTAATGTAGCATTTCAAACACTGTAGAGAATTAAGAATTAATACCTCATTAATTTTACTAGGATTATCATAATGCTGATAATCGGATAACAAAATGTACTTTAAAAAGTTACAGTTTAGGTTGTGGAGAAATGTGCTTGTGTGTTCTCTGGTTTCACATTGAAGTTTCCTCATCATGCACATCATACTAAACTAAAGAGTTGCTACAAGTAACTGTATGCTTTTTGATGTGTTTAAAACATATTTTGACATGTTATTGTATAAAAACATGCATTTTGTTTGGAGTGCACATGTCTGAAGCTGAAACTAACAGTAGTTAACATTACGCTGAGGGAATGAAAACACAGAGTTAATAGCTATAGAGATCGGGAAGCCACATAATCAGGAAAATTGAGGGCACCACACATCCTATCTATATTATGTGGGTTAAAGTATTATTTTGCTGTGATATCTTAATGTTGGCTGGCTATGCAAGGCTGGAAATTAAGTGCAGTAGTAAGGTTAAGTGAAGAAAAGATAGAAACAGCAATGATTGACAATAATTACCTATGCTGTGAATGAGAATTGAAAAATACCTAGGAAGGCTTCATTTAATGTTGTTCTTACTAAATTACATAGAATAATATTTAAATGAAATGTTTTGTTCTGTTCAGAGGTATTAGCACTAATGTAGCCTTTGCCTTTGAAAGAGAGCAACGTGGCAGAAAGGCATATGTTTGCAAGTTTTTTTTTTTTTAAGTTGACAGCAATTTTTTACTGTGTAGTCACAAATCTCAAAATAATGAGCAGAGTTTTTATTACCCATCAGAGTTGCTTTATTCATTATTTTTTAACGTGATTTCATGTAATAACTTGTCTCAAAGAAGATATAAGGTAAAGATGGTGACAGTCTAAGCTGTGAAGGGGTGTTGTAATTGACAGTCATGATTTTACCAGGACAATATTTTGATTATTTTTTGGATTATTAATTTTTGATTATTTTTTAGGAACCTTTTAAGACCAAATATTAAAACTTTTTCATACATGGTTTGGAATTATTTTGGTATGATTAGACTGATAAATATATTTCATACATCTGAAAGCTGTTTACAAACTGTTGCCATTTATTTGTCCTGGCTACATGCCCATAAACCCCGTACACGATCTCTCCGCATAAAAAAAAACCTCTTCACCAGCAGATGGCGCAGCACCAAAACGAACTTTTTGTTAAGAGTCAATACGCCTGTGCTATCTGTCCGAAAGACAACGACAGCAGCGTTTAATCTCTCTATTTGCTGCATGAGAACTCGCTTTTTCTCTGTAACACATTGTGGTTACCTCATATGAACCGAAGAGAATGCTAAATGTAGGCTACCTATGCTCAGTTCATTCAGGTAGGCTAGTCATGGTTTCTAGAAGACATTTGCCCTAATACTTCCAGCTAGTGCACGAAAACACACGAAAATGCATCAGATAAAATACATTATGTATTTACAGTATTATACTCACAGCATGAGCGCTAATGTAAGGCATTTCTCAAAATGTCACTTTTCACTGCTTTGATTTGAGTGGGCTACACCTGTTTTGCCTGTTGGATGTTAGACTCGGGTTAAGGCCAGTTCGAACGCTCTTTACTCTCCCACCCCTGATTCTGACAAGCTCCGCCTCCTGCGCTAGAACATGCTAGCAATTCGGACTCGCCTTTTTCTGTTCCTAGAGAAAGAGACGCGATACAACTAGCCAGTCCTAGCGCAGGAGGCGGAGCTTTCCTGAATACGTGCGGTGGAAAAATAACGCCCTCTTCGCCTCAGCACAAGGCAGCTACGTTTGCTTGTAATTCCCAAGGGGGTAAGAGAATGGAGAGAAAGCGTGCGGTGGCACACGATAGTTCTTTGTTCATATGCTCAAACAGAGCAAGGCCTTTTGCCCTAAACCTGGAGATGAACAGCAACTGGCTTAGCTGGACATGAAGTAAAATTCTCCCAAAGATTTCACACTTTTTATTTGACCCAACAGAAATAAAGTGAGGATTAATATATTGCTAATGCTACTGCCAACAAGAGGGTTTTTTTAAATGCATATTGTTTTTCTAAGTTTTTATTTTTCTGCTTTGGATATCTATCTATCTATCTATCTATCTATGCATTTATTTAACAGCCAGAAATTCTTGTATCATACGTGTTTTGTGCTCTCTGTCAGACGCCTGTTGCTCAAATATAATTGATGAAAATTAACAAAAAAAGAGTAAAATGTTTGACAGTTATTAAATACATAATAACATTTCTTCTAAACTTATCTACCTTCAGTTTTAATCAGAATTCATAGAGCTGATAGTGACAGTCCATTCTGAACATTTTGTTTGCATTATTTGAACTGGTTTGCGCAAATAAATAGTCGAAACTTTCTGGCTGTGTAAGCAATGCATTAAGTGGTATATATCTTAACGAGTTCATAAATGTCCTTCAAAGTAATGCAGTAATGCATGTCCAACAGTAATGCAGTATAAACCCAAATGACGTGTGTGCTGCCATGTGAATTAAATAAGTGAGAGGAAAATGTAAGAATGAGAGTACATTGAACAAATGATTTAACTTCATATAACTACGCTGGCCTGCTCTGGACCGGATAGCCAGCCAGTGCTGGAGTTGCCTGATAGGATTCGTGGGCCTGTGTGTGTGTGTGTGTGTGTGTGTGTGTGTGGTGTGTGTGTGTGTGGATTCCGCGACAGTCTGCATAATTGGGCGAACAGCTGAGTCCGTGGCGCGCTGGCAGATGGCTGGTGGAAGCCGGGTGGAGGTGTGTGTATATATGAGTGTGTAGGGGGGGTCACACTCATTGTTTAGACGTTTGAGCCTCGCGCACAGACAATGCCCCCAGCCAAGAGGGAGAGAAGATGGAAAGGCCTTCCCTTTTCAGAGCGCGAGGAGAAAAAAGCGGAAATGCAAAAAAGTTTGGAGAAGTCTTATTGTTTTGCCTGCCTGCTGCACTCACGCTCGCAGCTGTCAGTCTGTCAGACTATGGGCTTTAGGTCTAAAACTCTGTTCGATCACGAAGTCATATGCCCAATATATCAACTCCCTGGGGTGCAAGAAGCGTTTCCCTTTTGTAACGTTTCACACTTACTTCAAAATATTAAAATATAGTTAAAAGAAAACAACTTTTTTTAATGTCAGAGATCTCACGCATCCAGTGCAGTCCTTGCACAAGTTAAAACACTTTAAAGAAAGTGAAATTCGCTTTTTGGACAAAATCGTTAATGGAGAACAAATAAAGCCCTCTCGCTCTCTTGTGCTGGATTGCAACGTTTCGTTCGTGCCTTAACCTTTGTGTTAATAATATTGAGTTTATCAATAACTCAAAAAATAATTAACATTAGAGGTGGTTTTTAACTGTGCGTTCATACCCAAGAAACGAAGAAAAAAACAAAATGATCAAAATTTTAGACCTTTTTTTACGCAGTTTACGGCCTTAAAACTCACTTTTTCCATCCAAACATGGCTCGACTCCTCCTCCACTTTCTGGTCGCTCATTCATATCTCTTGCAGCATCATTACGTTCTCCGAGTGATAAACGCATGTTTTTCCCCACCTGTTTTCCGACTAGCACCGCCCCCCGCGCTAGGATTGGATAGCAGTCCACCACACCCCCCTAACACACACACACACACACACACACACACACACACACACACACACACAAGCAGCTCATAGCCAATCCTTGCGCAGGAGGCGGTGCGCTCCACAATACTAGTGGTAAAAAAAACAACCATCCCCAAATGCTGAAACGATGACCCGCGTCTAAGTATGAATTACCAGCCAATCCAAGCACGAGGGCGGAGCTTGTCGGAATACAGGTGGGGGATAAACCCTCACCGTTCCCAAACGCTTTGTGATTCCCTGCATCCTCACCTTTCAGTGTAGGGCTATGGGACCAGCGCCGTAAGCGTTCATACAGTGGACTGCCCGTGGATGGACGCAGCGCGTGGGCTATCTTTCTTATTTGTTGTGTAGCTTTTTTGAGGAAAGTTCACTCTCCATGTAGAAACAAGTGATCTTTCTCTTTTTTTTTCAAATAGACAGAGCACACTTTCCCTACTTTCATTCGAACAATGCTTGCGTCGCAAAGCTGGATACATCTGCTCTCAAAGCCGTAGATAAACTCTGAAGAGGAGAAAAAGTATTGCTTCAGAAATATTACAACTCTCGATGTCGGTTTAAAAACCTCATAGTGTGTATCGAGGAGTCAGCAGCATCTTTGGTCACTTTTTGGACTTTTTGTTGCCTCCCGTGTGCCAGTTTCGCACAGGTGAGCGGATCTTGTCTGTACGGCGTGTTTGTAAATGTTCGGAGCCCAGGAGCATCTGGCTGGTGAAGCTGCCAGTGTGAAAGAGCGAAGTTTTGAGGAAGAAATGGATTCGGTCCGATCATGGGTGCGGAATATCGGTGTTGTTGATGCAAATGTAGCAGCACAGAGGTACGGCACCTTACACATTTTTACTTTTGTAACTAGTCGAATCGTGGGCAATTTATTAGTTATGAAAGTGTCCGGTTCCAGACAGCTGAGCGGTCAACTCAATTCACATTATTCCAAGTGCATTACACGAGAAATGTTCAGATTCACGTTTATGAATCAGGCCTGCACAAGATGATTGCATGAGTGTCAACATAATTCAGCGTTGTTTTGCCTATTGCATGCTGCAAAACAGTTAATGACGGAAATTTAACAAGTTACAGCTGACGTCTGATTTTGATCAGTTTGGTCGCTTTAAGGTTTCTAAACGCACATTTTCTCTTACCAAAATGAGCCATCAACAGGTCTGGAGCTTCACTGACCGTGACCCTAAAATGCCAGGGAGGCGGAGGGATAGTGCCCGGCGAGGAACTCTAATAAACACCAATACAGCCAAAGCAGAGCTGTTCTACAAGTTTTCAATAATGAAATAATATTTTATTACAACTGCTGAATATTTTTCTTACGAATTTTCTCCTCGGCTCTAGTAACGAGCACTGAAGAGTCGCTTCCAGAATTGCAAAAAGTGAAATAATACCAGACTACAGTAACAACAAAATAAACAAAACAAAAACAACAATAATAATCATAGCTAGAAAAAGATCACACTGTTAATTGTTTTCGAATGTACTTTGCCGATTTTCAAGCATCAAAATTGAAGACTGCACGAATAAACATACTAAATAACTAAAAACATCGTTAAATCTTTGAATTTCTTACTTGACTATTCCGTGTTCCAGTCAAAGCCATGCTCCGACATTTAGTTTTCTTTACCAAGTTTTAACCATTTACAGCTTGAATTAGGCAAGCGACTTGATCAACGTGCATTTATATACATACTGCAATCAATACGTAAAAGATGTATACAATTTAAGTAATACACAATGTGTACTTGTTTTAGCCTAGAGACCTGCATCTTGCCAGCAGAAGTATAATCCCCAAAATTAGCTACTGCTGCACACACACATATTTCTATATGTGACGCACATAACACTATAAATATATATTTTGTCCTTCAAACTAAAAATGAACAAGCAGTTTAATTCAAAGCAAATAAATTAATTGATTAAAATGAGCAAAAAGCAAAAATAACAGCTCGGATTAACAAAAGATCTACTCATTAAATCAAATCTCAAAAATATTTCAAATCAATTTTTGTTCTTTTCCCGTTTTTTACAGTTAACGAAGACTAAGTGTCAGTTAAACTATGGTGGACTGTCGCCATTAAAAAATTAAAACTTCCCATTAAACTGTCAATTTAATGACGCTAAAGAAACCCTAAGTGAGAATTAATCAGTGGTGGACTGTCGCCCTTAGAAACATCAAACATTTTCCCAACGCAGTCTGAGGACATTTACTAAAGTCTAATATTAATTTTAATTATTACCATTTTTTAATATAGGACCTTCAAGGCCGAAAGGCTGAAGGGCTCTGCTGGTAAGTGCCATTCTACAGGTCTACAATAGGTGACATTAGTATGAACTTTACAATTTAGTATATTTTCTAAAGCTTTTATTACGTTTACATGATAGAAATCCACATTTCAAGTCTTCAAGTGTTTTCTTTCACCTCTCCGAATATGCATTAGTGAAGTTTGTCTCTGCTTCTGGATTACTTTATGATTTACAAAGTATTTGGAAAAGCCTTTCATTTACTTAAAATTACAGTTTATAATGAGATAAAAACTTCATACAGAAAATCTGTGGTTTTGCCCTTTTTTTACACATCGCTATAGAATGTATAAAAGTTTATGACCATTCTAAGTTACAACAAACATTTACTGCATATTTATAGACATATGAGATTAAATAAATCATTTGTTCTGTGGGTTCGTCACATTTGATCTGGGCACATTTCTTATTTTTTCAACTTGAAAATTGGAGTATCATATCTTGTCTCTTGAAAGATGTAAGTAAATATGATCAAGAGTAATACAAAATGAAAAATGTAGTAATATAATCCTATGGTTTGAATTAAAACATAGATACACCTGAACACTGTGTTGGACTAAGACTGATTGTTCCCAAGCTTTACTTGTTTGCTATAGTTTTCAAAACAAGCCTGCCAAAACCTGGAAATCACAAAAGTGAATTTATGTAGTCATTGTATTCCACTCAATTTCTTTTACAAGTTTTGCAGTACAAAACTTTTAAATCCATGAAATCCTTGCATCCACAGTGGAGTAGCCCTGTCCCGGGCACACTTTGAGAAACAACCCCCCTCCAATCTGCGCAAGTCCAACTTCTTCCATTTTGTGTTAGCCCTCTATGACCGGCATGGACAACCAGTGGAAATTGAAAGGACAGCCTTTGTTGATTTTGTGGAGCATGAAAAGGTATGTGTATGTGTTTTGATACACTGAAATGCATATTTTTGTATTTCATTAAACTAATGGAAGACAGTAAGATTGAGCAATAGATGTTAGAGGTACAGGTAATTGTTCCAATATATTACTGTCTTTAAAAACACAAACTTCCACAAATACATGCTGTTTGAATCATCTTCTCAGAAGACATTAGTGAGCATAAGTATAACAAATGTTTAATTCTCCCTTGTATTAAACATGTATAGAACCCAGACATCTGCAGTGTTTAATGCCTCTAAAAGCTCTGTCACAGAAAGTATTACATGAAACGGTTAAAAACACATTGTCTGATTCCTGAAACTTTTAATGTAAGGTTTTGGCTTAAAATACATTTTTGTAAAGCCATTCATGGTGGAGTGGAACATGCAGTGCATTGTAAGAAAAAAATAATACCAGAAAATACAATCTGTTTTTTTTACACTATTATGATGATACCTGGTTCCTATCACCACCACTGTAAACAAAAGCTGGTTTCTCAACAATGCAACATATCACATCAAACCACTCTGAATGATTTTGTTTACACTGAATTATTCTATTGTGCAAAAATTTAAAAAAATGGTGAAATTCCTCTTTATTAAGGTAATGAAGTGGAGGCTTAAGAATTACTGAAAGTTAAAAAATGTTTGTGTGAGAGAGAGAGAGAGAGAAAGAGAAAGAGAGAGAGAAAGAGAGATTGTGTATGGTGATACCTAAGTTGGTGAGTTATTGTCGTGCCTTGTGGTCAAACTCCAGCCAAGAGTAAGTGGTTGTGGTTAAGAATCAAAGCAGCATAACCTCAAACGACAGACAGAGTAGACCAGCATGTCAGCAATGAGTTCTACAGAAGGATGATTAACTAATACACAGAAATACATTGGAATTGCTTCATTTATTAATAGTCATGACTTTGTTTCAAGTCAATTAAAGTGCAAGTGTAAGATTGAAGTTCATATGGATATTGGTCTATGTAACAAATAGCATACTTTACACCTCCCCTGCAGACAAAACTGTTTTGTGATACTTAACTAGTAATGATTGCTGTCAGGAACAATTTCGGAAAACTAGTCTTAGGCAGCACGTTGGAGATCATTTAAGAGTAATATTGCCTGATATAATTGATTGCTTCACTGTGTGCTGTATGTATAAAAGTGTGTAGCAAATAGTCTTTGTACTATGGTATTATCTTCTTTCTTTCTCTCTCTCTTTCTCTCTCTCTCTCTCTCTCTCTCTCTCTCTCTCTCTCTCTCTCTCTCTCTCTCGCTCTCTCTCTGTTCATCCCTCCTTGGGGTATTGGGCCTCGGTGCATTCTCTGGAGGCCAGTTAACAAGAGAGAAGTTGGAAAAGCAGGAGAAACTGAAAAGGGGCTTGGTTTATAGGCCTCAAGCAAGACTGGAGTTTCTCTTTCAAGGGCAACTGTGCCTCATTTCTTTTAAGTTTTTTTGGTCTCTATTTGTCTCTCTGTGTCTTTGTCCCTCTGTCTCTCTCTCTCTCTCTCACACACACACTCACACACACACACACAAACACACATGCAAACCTGTGTGCACATCCAGTGATTAGCTCTGTATTTGATTTTTGAAATGTATTCAGGATTGCTCCTCAAAAGAAAGTGCTTTGTATAGAAGTCTAAACTTCTATTAGCTGAAACATGAGTGTGCTAATGGCCCTTGTGAGTAATGTAAACCTGTGTATTTAAGACATTACTTATTCCATTTCTCCTTTTTTGGACTCAAATGATTATATGTTAACTAAATCCTTAACCCTTCAAAACCCCAGGCTTATTATGTACTAAGGCTTCTTAGCCAGTAGGCCTTGGCCTTGGCCAAGTCCCAAGCAAAATTGCTCAAACAGTGCCCCTTCTGTACAAATTTGGATTTTAAACACAAAGATCTTGGTAAATGTAACATATATTAAATAGTATGTAATCAAACTGTGCTTTGATAAAGTACTTTTTCTTATTTGGGGGCAGTCATGGGCAGGAGGTTAGGGAACCAACCCTGTGACCGGAAGGTCGCCGGTTCATCCCCTGAGCCAACAGTACATGACTGAAGTGCCTGTCATGTACTTGACTGAAGCACCTTGACTGAAGTCATGTACAGGACTGAAGCACCTAACGCCCAACTGCTCCCTGGGCGCTGTGGATAGGGCTGCCCACCACTCCGGGCAAGTGTGCTCACTGCCCCTAGTATGTGTGTTCACTAGTGTGCATGTATGTGGGTGTTTCACTGCACAGATGGGTTAAATGTGGAGGTCTAATTCCTCTGTGTGCAAGCACAGTTGGCTAATGGAAGAACTGTTGTTGCTGTAGCTTAAAGTTTTGCTGTTATCCACCATTAGAATTTTAAACAAGCATGATCTGGTTAGTCTTAGAGTAAATTACACCAATGTTTTTATAATAATAAGTTGGGTTGACATAATATGTGGTTTATGTACAGGACAAATTTATTGTGTTTATGCTGAAGCACATTTGTTTCACCAGATCATATGTTATGTTGTTTTGTGTCTCTTTGTCCTGTTCTTCTAAGGAGCAGATGGGAGAAAAAACCAACAATGGCACGCACTACAAGCTCCAGCTCCTTTACAGTAATGGTATGTTTGTTGCTCTTTCTCTTCTTACAGTGTGACCTTTAAGGACTAAATGTATAAAACTTTGTTAAACATATTGAGGACTGTGTGCAATTTTGTAAAGTACTGTTTTAATAGTCTTAAAAGAGAGCAACATGCAATATACAAAAGATGTATGTCCATAATGTCCATAAAGACATTTGCTAGGTTTTCTGGATACTTAATTCTCAACATGCTGTTGCCTTCCCATCACATAATGATAAAGGCCAGAAAGGTCTGTCAATCATTGAGTCAATTAAATGTTCTAACATTTTTATGCTTTTCATATTAGTATAACAAGACCTCATAGGATTTTAGTGCTATCATATAGTGATTAAAAAGTCTTTAAGTGAAGTGTTACCACACAAATATAGATTTTTAAATATTTGGTCACATGAATGCAAGTATGAATGAATTTTCCTCTGTCTGTTGTCTTACAGTCCTTGAACTATAAAGTTGCCAAAATGCGTTCAGTGGAACAATGCCCTTTGTAACTTATTTAAATAATTAACTTGAATGTTAAACAGACAAACAAACAAACAAACAAACAAACAAATAAATGTGAGTGTTTAGATCTTTATAAAAATTTAAAGACCATCCACAAAATGAGAAGATTCTGTACCAAATCTACACCATGAATCCATGACCAGAACTAGACTGGAGGTCTGGATTGTAAGACAGTTCTATGTCAATTTCAAGTTTTTTTCTAGAACTATATGTCTACATCAAAAAGTACTTAGGAATCTTCATTTCTAAGAGTGAAAAATAGGCATCAAGATGTTTCCCAAAACAGTCACAGTCTGCACCAGTATGTTGAGCTGATATCACAAAAGATACAGCCTAACTTGTTCTTATTCGCTTGCTGTATGGGCAAATGAGACTCTGTGATGCATGAACCTCCCAGTGGTGATACACAACAAAAACAAGAGGCGCATAGAGATGTGAGTTCCCATGGGCCCTCACTTCCTCTCCTCTGCCATCACCAAAGAACCCATGGGAGAGTAGATGAAAGATGCCCACTCTGAGATATACTAATACACATACATTCACATACACCTCCTCTCTCCAGATGATCCCCCTTTCAGCTATGTTGTGGCCCTCACTGTTTTAACCTAAGGTAGATGCTGAATACATTAATGAGCATAATTTATAAGGAAAATGAGAAGTTGAAACCTAGTTGAAACCTATTAGACTTTAGTGTGGGCCATATCCTAAAAACTATAAGATAACATTTGGCAATTTGACAGCCAACTATTAACATTAAGATTAAGATAGCTTTAAAGATAGCTTTTAACTAAAAAAACCTTAAAACTAAATCTAAAATCCTAAGAGCAATAACCATTGAACAATACTAACTTGCCAATATACAACTGACTAAATGAAGTGCCTTTTTTGCTTCTTTTAATGCAATTTGTCGTTTTTGGTTTCCTCAAATGTTCAACCAAAAAAAACTAATTTAAAAATGAATGAATGTGAATAGCCATAAATCAACATGAAATAAGTAAAGCCTACTAATTGGTGGCTACTCGCTTCTATCCATAGGTCAGGCTATTGTTTTGTGGTTAAATGTTGTTCATTTGTTTTCAGTATATCAACTTGTACATGCGTGTGTTGACAGGTGTGAGAACTGAGCAAGACCTTTATGCTCGCCTTATTGACTCTGTCACCAAACAGGTAAACTTCTGGGACAACTTGAAGCTTCTTAGACAATGTGAAGCTTTTGTAGTTGGACTGCAGATGACATTTGTTTCCCTTTTTCTATGTTTGTGTTTTAGCCCATTTCATATGAGGGACAAAACAAAAATCCTGAAATGTGCCGTGTCCTGCTTACTCATGAAGTCATGTGCAGGTAAAAGTCACAGTCAATCTATGTTAGCAAGCAGTTAGTCAGTTCATACAGTCACATAGGACAGTGATTTATAAATCTATGTTCACCTGTATCTAAACAAAATCAGTACAAATGTATTTAAAGGTTTGCCTTATCCACTTCATTGTTTTTTGTACATATATGTTCATTCTGAAATTGATGCATGCTACATGCTCCGAAAACTTGAGACAGGGGCACTTTAAGACTAGGAAAGTTGTGAAATGTTCAAATTATGAAAAAGTTGTTAAATGTGCATGTGAAAAAACATTTTAAACAGGTGATGCAATCATGCTCGGATATAAAAGCAGTGTTCAGGAAATGTCTAGTCCTTTGCCATAGGTTAAGGCTTGTCACTAGGCCAAAAATGCATGACGTAGTCCAACTGTTAAATGAATGTTATTCAGCCATGGATTTTAGATATTTCACCCTATACTGCGCATAATATCATCAAAAGATTCAGGGAATCCAGACAAATGCCTGTGATCTTCACCCCTCAAACTGCATTAAAAACAAGGCTGCTCCTGTGATGGATGTCATCACATGGGTTTGGGAATACTTTAAAAAAACATTGTCAATAAATACTGTTCATCACTGCATCCACAAATTCAAGAGTGTACTATGCACTAAGTTATTTAGTAAGTTAAAATATTGTGTTTTTGTCTTGTTTTGTGCCATGTAATACTGGTTAAAAAGAATTTACTAATCCCTGCTTTCTGTTTTTATTAGCATTTCACATACTGTCCAAGTACTATTTTGGAATTGAGTTTGTATTATACAAAAATTCACAAAGTGATTTTTGTGTGTGAACACTACATTTGTGAAGTACTTTTTTAATTAGAACTGACAGTATACTTTCTATTTACTCTTGTTTAAGAGTTCAACATTGTGAGAATTAATGTCTTTTACATGTTTTAGGGTCTGTTTTAAGTTTTAGGGTTAACATATAAATTTATTCATAAGGAGTTTATTTTATACTAATATTATTTAAGACTGTGAGTTTCTGACATGAGTTTAAGAAAATTGAAAATTGAAAATTGAAAACTGAACTACTGACAGATACATCTGTCAGTGAAAGCTAGTAAAAATCACTGTCATTTTTGACCATAGAGAATTAGACCATATTACTGTTTATCATAATTTAAGCTCATTATATTACCTTAACCCAGACTAAGGCCAAACTAAGCAGCAGGGCCAACAGTGACACCTGCGTAATCGAAGACACGGACACTGGGTAACAGACAGACAAGAAGTCTGGGTGGGGGAGGTACAAGGCGTGCGGTGTGGTGACCTCAGGCCCAGGGACATGACGGGGAGGGCAGAGGGGGAGTCGAAATCGGCTTCGCCTCCATTGTGCGGCCAGCAGATGCCCGAGTGGGGTTCACAGCTGGCTAATAACAGAGCCAGGCCAGGAGAGGTTGGGGGTGGCGTTGTTGAGGGCAAACAGCACAGCTGGGGAGTGGCTCTGTCTGACAGAGGGGGAGTTTAGGTGGGGAGGGGGTTCGAGGGACAGCATAGGGGCAGATGGCCAGGGTGGGGGGCACCTTTGTTATGCAGGGGGGCGGAGTGCGGGGCAAGTGGGAGGGGTGGAGTCGCATCTACAGACAAGAGAGGCTTGGTGCTGGCGTGTGTGGCTGAATATATGTGTGCATGTGCATGATGGTTTCTTGAGTCCCTTTATAGATGTGTATTTTTGTATAGTGCATTTTAGTTAAGTATATGGTGTTCACATGTTATCAGTTAGGGGAAGGAGTTTATCTGACATGTTAAAAAGAAGTAACCAAATTCTTTGTAGCAAATCTATACATCATATCCACATGAAATAAATATATTTCTTTCTTACTAATTGTGTTTTTTCCTGTGAGAATGATGTACACCTTTAAATCAAGTAAATTTGGTGCATTGCTGTTCCACAATTTTCTTTCTGCCCCTCCTCAAGTCTTTCTTTTCTTTGTAATTCTGTTTTACATATAATTACAGTACATGCAGTTTTTCCAGCTAATGGGAAATTATAACAGGTCACGGGGTCAGAATATAATTTGCTGGCATCATTTAATATCCAGTCCACCAGCATACATTTTCATTAAGCACCATGTTTTACCCTAACATTATATGTAAACTTGACTTGAAATTTATATTGCCTTCTCTCTTCCGCACACAGTCGTTGCTGTGAGAAAAAGAGTTGTGGAAATCGTAATGAGACACCATCAGACCCCGTCATCATCGACAGGTAAGAATAGTGGTCTAAAGTCAGATCTAATAAATCGTCTTTAGTTCCACTAGCGCAGATGTCATTGTACAGCACTCCTCACACAGCAGCTCTGTAGGGATTCCTGTCATAGCTGGTTTGGACCATTTAAAACCAAATGCAATTAGTATTCAGTTCACTGCATGTACAGAATGAGAGAAAACAACTGAAGAAAAAAAAAGGCCTTTAATGGTCCTCAAATTGCTTGTCATGCAAAAAGCACATATGCATGTTTTATATGTGCACCTATGCACAGTCTGGTCAAGCTCCCAGGGCCCTTAGCTAATGGAGTAGAAGAGTGTCTATTTTTCTCCAGTTTAGACATATCTGTCAAGTATACAAGTAATCTCTCTCTCTCTCTCTCTCTCTCTCTCTCTCTCTCTCTCTCTCTCTCTCTCTCTCTCTCTCTCTCTCTCTCTCTCTCGCGCACACACTGTCTCTCTCTCTCTCTCTCTCTCTCTCTCTCTCGCGCACACACTGTCTCTCTCTCTCTCTCTCCCTCCCTGTCTGAGTTGATGCTGTTTACAATGCGTCTCAGAGGATCTGCTCGGGCTTTCTCAAAATGGAAAAAACGGGCTGTTGTCTTTTGGATTTTCCCAGAATTCCTGAGCACTACAGCTGTTTTTCTCCTTTACGGAGTGGCTCTCTCTCTGACCCTCTCCTCTCTCACTTCTCTAAAAAAAGCCCTACTTGACTCTTGACTCAAGGGCTCAATAAAATGAAGGTTTCTGTTGGCTATTTTGGTCTTCACAGCCTGTTACTGTAGCTAGGATGTGCTTAAGTGACTTGTTGACCTGGTGCTGTAGCTGATAGCCCCACACTTCTCAGGGGAAGTGCCTCATTAGTGGGTCGAATCGTTAGGCTAATCTGTGTGTTGTGGCATCATTGAAAACACATTTTTTGTGACTTCCAGCTCAAAGTTAGCATGCACTACACAATCTTTGAAACATTATTTAAAAACTCATAGTGCATCATATTGAGAATGCTATAGGAAGAATCCTTTCAGAGCAAAGAAATGGCTCAGAAATGTATGTTGTTTTCATTGAAGCAAAATTTAAATTGGCACACACATACAGTAATTAAACCGCTAGTTTATGAATTTGCAAGCTGAAAAGGCGATGTTTCATTGATTAATTGGAAATCATATTGCTTTTTTCTTTTTTGTCATTAAGTTACTTGCACTATTAAATTTGCTTACACTAGAATCTCTTTTTCAGACACAGATTCAAACACACAAAATCTCTCCCAGCACACCCCCCCTCCACCGACACCTTTTCCCCAACTAATATTGTCATAATTAGTCAGCCTCATCACCTCCGAAATGCTCATGGGAATTGGAATCCCCAATGTGTCTGCCCCCAGCCCCCCTCTTTTTTAATCTGTCTCCATATTGTTCAGGGCCTGTCTTGTCTTTTACTCTCCTCCCCCTCTTCACAATCTGCTATTCACCCTTTTCTCTACTAATCCAGTTATTAGTGAAAGGAGAGAGAAGAGATCCCATCTGATCCCTGAGGCAGCATGCCTTTTGCCACTTTATGACCCACACATCTGATCTAAGGGATGCTATGGTCACTGCTTAACTAGCTATGGTCACTGCTTAACTAGCACTAAGCAGTGACTAGTTAAGTGCTTAACTAGCGCTTAACTAGTCACTGCTTAACTAGCACTAGGCAGACACTAAATTTAATCTTAAATTCCAACTGTAATCTGGCATAGCCATTCTTTAACAATGTTTTGTGACTTCAATAATTACATGTTAAATTAAAGAGTTGCTACTTTTGTTTGCACGTAGGTTTGATTGATATTACATTTTCAAAGCTTGTACATTGTACATTCCACATTTCAATGTAGGCAAAAAAGGACGTGTTGTTTTTATAGACGCTCATAGCCAGTTTCTGATCCTGCCATTAGCCACCTCATGAGGTTCTTTACATTATTGTTTTGGGATGGTTGATCTGGCCTGTCAGTACAAGCACACTCAGTGTCAAGTACTTCTTAACATGGATTTGACCCATATAAATTGATTGATAGATATTCTTAATCAATCTACCAATTAATTGATCAGTGATTGATCAATAACTCTCTGGTGATCTGGATATAGTCTTTGGTGCTATGGAGAACTGTTTCATTTGAAGATACCTAATGCTTAATTAGAATTTGTAGATACTTAATTAGAAAAGCATTGCTGAACCATTCAGTTTTCTTAGATGTGTCAATTGAGTATCAATCAGAAAAATAAGAAGTAATAAGGAAAAAAATATTTAATTAACCATTTCTGTTGATATAAGATCCAATCACTATTTCTGTTCATCCAGAAGATGAAAGATGGTCCATTCCATTTTTAATCATTTGAAAATGCTAGCTGCCCCTCCCACAATGTATAGCCCATCTGGCTTTCATAAAAGTAGGAAACGTAGGAAAAAAGTATTGATATGACACCTACAATTTGTTAACCCCTTTAAATCTCTCATTATTCAGTAACTACAGGGGCCCTGGCCATTTAAGGGGATACAAGGGAATTTCTGATTTTTCAAAATTTCAAAATTTGTTGAAATGTAAGCAAAGTTATTCATGGCAGTTTGTGAAACTGTACTGCAACTTTGAAACTTACTGGTTTGGATATCTTATATCTGGTTGGGACCAGGGGTGATGATGTCCAAAATGTTTTATAGATATTTTATTTACCATCTAAAACTACACTGTCAGAAAAAAGGTACTGTGCTAAAAAGCCTAGAGACAAGACAGGGTGTGTGGAGTCAATACAACTTAAAAATATAAAATTGCAATGAATTATGGTAGAATTATTTTTTCTAAGAGTGTACTAGTAAACCTATATGTAATCTGCATAATGGCAAAATAGTGGCAAATCTGAAAAAATAAGTGAGTTAGATTTAGAAGTAGAACACCCATATGTCTGGTTCCTATCTCCATCGCTGTGAACAATTTCTCTGGAGTGGTGCATTTCACATCAAACCACTCTGACTGGCTTTGTTTACATGTTGATGATTTATAAAGAAATTAATAATTAGTGTCATTCCCATTTAATTTTATAAATATCAGATTAATATTAGAAAGGAACCCATCTTAAATGATCGTATCAGATATCTTAATGTGGTAAGTTTTGATAATATAGTAAAAAGAAAGAAATAAAGGGAAAAGAAACAAATCAAAATAAGTATTTCTCTATTTTAGTCCATTTCACTGCTGCATGCCATTAAGCCAGACCATAAAAGTTCAGCCATCTTTTCTTGTGATCTCTTGTGAGCAAGTGAGGTACAGTCATGAGGGCTTGAGGATTAGCAAGTCAGTGCCAAACCACAATCAATATATGGATGCATAGAAAAACGAAGGGGTAGCCACGGTAAAGCTTGAGGAGGGAGGACGAGAGAGATCAATGCCCTGCAATATCTCTCTAATTGATTGCGCTTTCCGCTGGGGTCTCCCTTAACAAGCTAGTGCTCCAACAAAACAGAAGAATCAATAGGAGTACCCCAGCCTCATCAATATCACCCCCTTCCCCCCAACTGTGAAACCACAGATGGTTTCACAAGGCTTTGACAGAGGGGCTCATGTGTGGGTTTGCCTGTTTTACTTTAGTTCTGAGGACACCCAGCTCTAAGACATTATTTTGAAAGATGTATAGTCTGTAATGTTAAACATATGTAGTGTGTGAAATGGGTAAACAGAACAAAAAGAGCCTCAGCTGTGCTTCTAACCATCAGAAACTGCTTTATTTTATAGAGAAAAGACTTTATATGTATGAAGTTACAAATGTAAGATGTGTACTCTTTGTTAAATGTATATAACTGATTTTTGTGCTAGATGGATTTTGTTTCTTATTTTTTTGTGTTTTGAAGATCTAGAAAGAACACCTTTACCCTGATCATGCTCTTAATATGTTAAAGATTAAGTTCACCTCCAAAGCGTTAAGACCTTTGTTGTAATAGTGTTAGAAGTTTTACAATTGCAGAGTAATAATTATAAAATTATTTAATTTCTTCAGTAAATCCTAGGACATACAATTAATCAGAAAATACACATAATAATATAATTTCTGTGCAATTGCTATTGAGATTTTGAAATACCAAGTATGGAAAATTAATTTCTGTTGTGTTTTCTGGGGTGTCTTCATCAGCTTCCCTAAATTTGCCTCTCATTTATGTCAAAGATTGTAGTATAAGTATGTATGTAGTACAGAAGGACTCATAATGCTTCTCCTAGAGTGACTCTTGATGCTACTAGCCCGCTAACTTTGTAATGGCAGAACCTGAGATGCCAGGATGCCCTTTACAGTCTGTGCTATTACCTGTGTTCCTGAGTAGGAATATATAGCAAAACATCAATGAAAATATGGATTTCTTTTCAGGCTTTGATTGAACACTTTTAAAAAAGGATTAAACAGTTCTTCATTAACCTTTGAACAATAAGCCTAAATTTTAGCCTGATTATTTAGCAACTACTATAAATTATCTGCTAACTATACTCTTAAAAATAAATGTGTCAAAAAGGGTTCTTTGAAGCAATACCATGGAAGAACTAGATTTGCTTCCCTCAAGATATTTTCAGTGGATTGGTCTTTAAAGAATCATTTATGTAAAGGAGATGTGTGAGTGTGCGGATCCATTTGAAAAATTTAAGAACTTTCACATGATCTATGTATACCAATTAAAGGTTTGTCCTCAAAATGTATGTCCATTTAGGAACCTATTTAGTTATGAGGGTGAAGATTTGTGGGTCCACATGTTCATGCCTTTGCAGTTTAAGGGGTTAAGGCTCAGTCAGAGTTTCATTAGCACTGCTTGTTCTCCCAGTGGTAACGGCTCTAAAGTATTAGCGTCTGACAGTGCTAGGATAAGAAGAGAACATACCATTCCACCTCACCCTTCTCTGTCTTAATCGAACCCCTGAGAGCCAACAAGCCTGGAAAAAAATTGTAAAAGCACATTAAACAATTGAAAGGTTAATGGAAACACTAAATGATG